TCACCGTCTTCTTCGTTTTCGCCAATCGCCGCGGAGGAACCGCAGTGATCTGTCGAAGACTTACGTGGCCCCAGTCAAAACTCAATTGGTTACTTCTCTTTCCTTTTTTTTTCTTCTTCTCCCAAGCCCCCACCAGCCGTGTATCCAACCGTTCTAGAGGGCTATTTCGAATACCCCATCTCCATTGCTTCCGCGACACGAGTCACCAAAGTGGTACTTTGTGGATCTTGTTTACTACAGTAATCATATGTTATTCTTCTTCAAACTGCGTGATCTTTGCATGTCGTCGACATGACGTCATCAGAGTCCTATAGCCTGTTTTACCTGGGAAATGTGCAGGTCCCCAGTCAAAAATTTTGGCGACCAGGCTGGAGCAGTGCTTCAGGTTGGCTCACTGACAAGAGAGTCTGATATTTTCTGGCGAGACTGGCTGTTGAGACGCGCAAACAACACATCCGGCATGGAGGTTTCAAGGATTCGAAAAAATCCAGGTTCGCCGCTATAATCTGGGATATGAGTCGTCTTTTGTTTCTGGACGTCATGCCGTGTGGATCTTCTGGCGCTCCTCAGCCCTTCATGCCAACCACTGACGAAATCCTTTAAGGACGCTGATAACATGGATGCATACTTGGCAAGGGCGCTCTTGAAAATCTTGGGGGAAATACAACAGTGTGCTCATGCATGGGATTCCTAAGCTCATACACGTGTCGAGGATCATGGAAGGGTAGGAAGAAAATCTCTTTCCCGATAAGGGACCCCATGGTCTCGGCGGTGTGTGGCGGGGTGCGAAGAAACCTGCAACACCAGACGCGGCAGGCAAAGGAATGACGACGGTCAGCTCGGGGCCGATCCAAAGCCGGACATGAGTCGGAGGTGGACGCCGTATCACCCCACCTTATGCTGGGTAGTGAGTGGGCAGGGTGACCATTGCCCCGTGCCGGTTACCGTACTGCAGCCCAGGGCTAGCACACAACATAACGCGATCGAGGAATTTGGCAGCCAACTGGGTTGTTCTCTCTATTACTTAACTGTGTCCTTCTAACCGTGATTCGTCAACATGAACTTTTCAACAGTCATAGCTGATGAAAGAATGAGTAGACGGGTTGACGGGCGAAAATTTCAGGGTCCATTATTAGCACCACCTGTTACAGGGAGTAGCTGGCAACAGGTGGCACTTGACTAGGGATTTAGAGAAGATCATAGCAGGGGGGAAAAAGGGGACTTCTGGAAACTTCGACTCCTGTGAACTCCTTGAAAGGCAGCGGTTCCGTTTGTCTGCGTTTGATCTGGTTGGGTCATCGTTTTGCAGGGCAGTAGGGCAGCAGGGCAGTAAGGCGAGGCTAGCCGGAAATTCTGCCGCGATGTTATTCGTAGCTCAATGGCCATTCCTTCTCCCCGATTACATACTCACCAAGACGAGGTTGGAGTTGCTTCATCTCGACGGGTCGCGACATGGGTTGGGCGGACTCGCTAGCTGTGGCACAATGCTAGTCATGGCCCTGGCATATAATGAATCGAGAACTTTGTCATCGGCGATCTGGTATCGTGATTTCTTTAATAGATCCAGGGCATCGGTTGACTTCGAGGAGAAGCGATTGTTAGCCGAAGGCGCTATCCTGTAAGGCTTGCAGACGCGCAGCAAATCACGGAACGAACCCGGCACTGCCGGATAGGTATCTGCAGCTGTTTGCGAAACGGCGCATCATGGAAAACACACGTAAGTAGGTACATAGTAAGCAGATAGCATGATTAGGCCATTGAATTCAACACTAAAAGACAAGTCATTGGCATCTGAAATGTAAGAAAGTCTGACACTACAGCCAGGCAGATAGACCAAGATACATACCTACCACACTAAGTACGAGGTATTCAGTGGGGTTAGATAAAATGTTGGGGTATTGCTGCTGCTGTTGTTATTGTTGTGGTTGCTGTTGTTGCGCTCTCCTGCTCCAACTACATATCTGGTACTCGTGCCATAGCAGTGGAACAAACTCTGTGAGGCACACGCCAATTCCAGCTTGCGGCCTCTGTCTCGGCAAGCACGAACCACTTGGGGCAGTTCTTGGTGGTTTGTTGGCGTGAGTGCCCCTCACTTTCTCCACCTGACGCTCCCGAGCTTCCCCTGTTTCTCACCCCTGCGCCTGCCAGCCATGCCACGCTGACCACGGCTAGAAGGACCAAGGCCGGGCCACTCATTCAGCTTAATGGGCTTGGTTGGGTCCCGGGCAATGTCAGTGTCACCTCCCAGACTCCTTCTCCTCCCCGGTCCCAACCATCTTGGTGGCCTGTGCTCGCCGAGCTGGTTGGCGTCGTGGTTGCGACGAAAGTGTGGTAAAGAGGGGACCCCTGGACATAAATACGGCTCTGTCCCTGTGCTGTAACTTCTCTACGGTTACCCAACCTGATAAGCCGAACCTTAGCAGAGCATTCAATGCCGATAAATCCGCAGATAGGCGAGAGCCTGTTTGTAATCCGGCTCGCATTCGGCACATGTGTCGAGTGTACTATGTATAGTGCATGTGTTGCCGCAGGGGAGCGTAAACAGCGACCAGAGCGTCTTGTGAAATTTTCGGAGACTTTCATCCGAAAGGACAGGGGGCCTTGGGAAGTACCATAAGTAGCGTTCCTGACGACAGGTCAAGCCCCTCCAAGCCGAACCCCCAAGAGGAAATTGGGCAGGGTAGCTTGCTGTAGGTATCCTGGGCTAGTTGAGCACAATGCTAGCTTCCGAAGCAGGCTTTGACCTGACAGCCCACTATTGGAAACATGATGCAGGACGCCTTTTTATCTTTCCCCCCTTCCTTTCCGCCTCTCTTAATTGTTGCGGACAGCTCATGGCAGGTAGTGAGTGAGGTGACCCGAACAAAGAGGGGGGGGGAGGTAGATGGGGAAGCAGCCGTTGCTGTATACACTCCTGGCTTAGCTGCATTTACTTTACGGAGAGGGAAAGCGCGGGCGAGTGTGGGAGCTCTGGGCAATCAGAGAGAAACAGTTTAGACTAATGCAGACGTGCCTGCCTCACTCTGCCCACTCACTACAGCATAGAGGGTTCAGGTAAGGTAAGGTAGGTTGCTGTAGGTTAAGGTAGTTGCGTTGCTATCCTACCACTCTCAGTCGCCAGAAGTAACGAAGTAGAAACCGGGTATTTCAGGTAATGCGATTGTGGAAGCATCCCCTCACTTTCCCACCTTAACTCACCTCCCGCCCTGCTTCTTACCTCACTTCCATGTTGGCCGCCCACCCCCAACGACACCCGCCCGTCACATACTCCCTTGCAGGCCTCTCCCACTTGCACATGTACCAGTGCTTCGATTGTTATGAACTCCATCCAACCCGAATCCATCCTTTCGTCACAACTTGCTTGCCATCTTCTGAGTCAATCTCATTCTACGTCGGAGCACACTCCGGCTCATCCTCCAGTGTTTTCCAACCTCTTGTTCATCTCCTTGTCCATAGTCCTGCACGCAATTCCCCTACCGGCTGAATATCATTTGTGTACCATTCATTTTCGACCTCCTCTATCACCACCTGCTTCCCATCCCCTTTCACTTGCCAATCTTCCAGCCCATCCCTGCCCAACAGGCAACGTCCTCCTGTGCGACCTGCGACTGCCCCATCACCCTGCAAGCACTAGCAGTGCCCACCCACATCACCACTTGGACATCCTTGTTTAGAAGGCTGTTGCGCCGCCATTTTCATTGCCTCCGGCAACACAACAATAGCGTGCCATAACATTGGCATCCATCGCAAACCAGGACTGCATCCTTCCAAAACTCGACGCTGTCGGCTTTTTTTTTTTCTTGTTCAGTTTGAGTCGTCCCACTTGTCGGACTTCTTACTGGCGAAAAGAACGTACTGTCGGCCCCGGAACGTTGAACAAAGTACGTCGCGATACCAAAACGGCTCCAGCCACCGTTTCGCTACCGTTGACGAAGCTCTTTCTTGCTCCTTTTTTTCTTTGGCTCAAACGACGCTGTATCACTCGCTCGCTCAATTGGCGTCACTGTTGATACTGTCAACATCCACCATCACCCGCTGTGCAAGACTTGCCTAGGGGCACGAGGTCAGTCGATGTGAAACCTTCATACCAGAACCCCGCAAAGCCTTCACATTCCGCAGCCATATGCCCCCGGCCTTGCTCCGACCTTTCTGATCGGCCTTGTTGCCAACACTTGCCTCCGCGGCCTGGTAGCTCCAGTGCTCCCCTTAGCCCCTTGGGTTTTCTCTGACCTTGCTTGTGATTACCCACGTTGCCCTATCCGACAGCGGCCCCTCCGATTTGAGCAAGAATCAAGGTATACTCGGATGTCCTTGGCAATGCCCACCGGCTCCATTAATTCAACCGTCCTACACCTACCCTGCATCATCAGCCCGTCACAAATTGGCCTGGGTCCCGTCCAGGCCTCATAACACCCAATACTCCTGCGCCCCCCTCTCCGAGTCGAGCACAGCCTTTACTGGGAAATACTGACCAATGGGCATTGTAGCTCAACCTCTCAAACCTGTATCGCAGCGAGGGACAACTTCTATCGATCTTGACTAGAAGGGGTGAATACTGTATTCGCAACGCATCGTCGCAGAATCGTCCCCAGCTTAACCTCCTCTACATCCATCGCCAAGTACACGAGAGGCGTTGAGATTGTTCGAGGTTCCCGCGGCGCTGTTTCTCTTGTTTTTCTTTAAACTCTCAGTTTCGTTCTCCTTTGGCTGTTCCTTGCCATTGTCTTGCCGTCCCCTATCGAAAGAGCTACTCTGTTGCTACTGGCTTGACTCTGCTCAGCAATTGTGTCGAGGCCAAGGGGCAAAGATTTTGGCTGTTTCCTGTAATTTGTCTCTGAATTTCACTTGACAACCACTGCGAACTGAGTAGGTGAGGGCACGCCAACACGTTCATCCAGTCACTTTGGACTGGCGCCATAGTCTTCACGGTCAACCCAGTACAGCCAGAGATAACCATACCTGCGGCGACTCCAACCCCGGCCTGCCTCCCACAGAAGACAATGAATACCCCTCCAAGTTTCTTCAATGACGCGGTTGATCTTGCGACACCGACTAACGAGATTTTCGACAGCGATCAGCCCCGGACTTTGCTCCCAGAACCTATTCCGCTCGAGTCACAGGTAGACACCCCTCCGGCAACAATGTCGCAGAACCCTTCGGTCTACATGCCCATGCCAGATGTCTGGGATCCGTTGGTTCCCAACATGCAGTCAGTTTACGGACATGCTTGCCAGGCGCACTACACCACCAAGCGAGAGCCTTTCGACGATAGGCCGTCACTGTTGCAGGTGCCCTCTGCATCAACCTCCAAGTCTAGCTCGAGAACCGACTCTACGAACTCAATGCAGACAAGAACATCCAAGTCCAGCAGGACAACGGACCCGTCCGAAGCCAGTCCGCCGAGAAAGAAGGGAAGAAAGGGCAAGGCCCCCGTGCAAGATGACAACGACGATAAGCGCAACAAATTTTTGGAGCGAAACCGAGTAGCAGCAAGCAAATGTCGGCAGAAGAAGAAAGAATGGGTATCCGACTTGCAGGAAACTAAACAGGGGCTGGAGAGCCAGCATGCGCAGCTTCAGATGGAGTACAACGGACTGGTGGATGAAGTGACCCGCATGAAGAATGAACTAATGTCCCATGCTAATTGCAACGACCCCAATATCAACTTGTGGCTTGAGAACGAGGCTCGGCGGTTCGTCCAGAGCAGTGCGGATCGCGTCAAAAAGCAAAGTTTCGACTCCAGCCGGGGGGCTGGTGAAAGGCCACTCGGCAATGGGGGGGCGTACAGGCCGTTAATTGATAGTAAGTGGCTAATCATATGCCACAACGGCAATAATCTGACCAAAGCTAGGCCAAATGTCTGTAATCTCTCCAACTCGATCTGAGCGTGCGATGACAAGCCTGTCGTCGATATCAGCAAGCAGTAGCGCAGACATCAACTACGACCACATGCCGGACAGTGCTTTCGAGCAGGCGTAGTGCGCCATTACGGGAGATGAGCCGATGTACCGCTGAGGCTATGTTACAAAGGGCCAGCCGGTCAACCCCCACCAAAAGCTGTTGCCGCAGTTTATATCGTGAAAGTTCTTTCTGGTTTGGCGTTGGGGTGGGTTTTGTTTGATACTGCCCTGCTATGAGCAATAACTTGGACGAGAAGTAATGATGACCAAAAGAGACCAAGTCAGAAGACTTGAGCAGCCAGCCAATGGAGAATGCTGGGTCTGCAACCTGATACCCCGGTGGATACTTGGGCGGTATAGCCGGGCGTAATGGACTTTCCAGATGGAATTCAGCAGCACAAAGACGACCATGTCAACGGAGAAATTCAATAGATATGGCTACTAGCCAGGTACCTGGGCCCTTACGTGCAAGAACCTAATTTCACACCCGTTAGACGGCAGCTGGGGTCGTGTCCAGCCGCACAAACCAGTGTCCAAAAGCAGTTTTCAAGTAACAGTGCAACTTGACACAAGGAAATAGCTGGGTACTGGCCAGCCTATGTACTCATGGTAGTGTTGTGTGAGCAGCGTCGTTGGAAGCATTCGACGAGCTTATTCAGGCCAGCTTTGATGATGCTGACTGGTGCCCAAGTAAGATTCCTGACGTGACAACATCTGAGCATACTTCAAGGCGGGAAAATGGACCTTTGCGATTCCGAAGGTAATGTAAGGTGTAGGATATGGCTATGCTATACTTGTTGATGGAGGCATGGGCATCGTAGGCGTGGTGCTGGTCTCCCACCGTGCTGGTCCGTAACTGATGGAGGACAGGCCCTTCGAGACACGCCGTGGCTAATTCGTAAGACTGGATTCGTTTCTTTTGATCGACATCGTGAAGGTTTTGAAAAAGAAAAGGGCAGTCCTGTTGATAATTTTACCATGCCATCGGTTGCTGCCGTTGAAACTGTCCGCCTGTGAATGGCCCTACCACGATGGCACTGCGCTGCAAAGAGAGCAAAAGGGTGAGTGAGTACATGCAACTTGCGAAGCTCTCCTGGCGGGAGGGTATCGAATATATGAGGAAGCTAGTCGGCCGCCACGCAGGAAACCTCCGGATGGAGCACGAAAGGAGGCGAAACTCCTCTTCCTAGGTAGCTTAGCTTCGGAAGCTTGGCTTGAACTACGTCAGTAAGGCTCCTCCCCAGCCCCATTCGCAACGTCGGTTGAGAGAGTGGCTCTCGCTCCCCCTGGGGGCCAACTTTGTCCGCTTTACCGCGCCTATCTGCCTGAGGAATAGTCGCCAGGTGGTATTGCATCAGAATCCGACGCATTAGGATGGGGTGGCAGAATAGCATTTTTTGCCAAATACCAAGGCATGGGGAATGGGGATCTTGGCTCAAGAAGGGAATTTCACGAATGAAGGGGGCTACTTCACCTTGATCACCTACATACCCCATGTCTACGTCACCAACAACCCCTTGCCGACCGACGAAGGATAGTCATCCTAGCCGGCTTGCTTCCCAATGAATAAAATTTAATAAATAAGGGCATAGGTATTACAACAAATTTGGTTGAAGCCAAATAGATGACCGACTCTTTAGATTTGGCACCTGGGTTTAGGGGTTTTGTTTCCGTCCCCGTTGTTATCGTTACTTCACTACTGCAGGCCTCTGGGCGGGAAACAGGGATGTTGCTAGCCCTGCAGGGCTCTCGAGGAGGGAATCCGACGTTGCTGCTTCTCGTCATTACGCAAGGCCATAAAAATTAGCAATATGCCTGGAAGGAAGGGGGGAGAGATGGGGAGGTGGAGCATTGATTGTATGCTTATTCAGCGGGAGAGGCAAAATGCACTCTCACTCTTTCCACGACGCCATGAAGCATAACGTGTATAATGATAATGATGGGGTTTCCCACCATTTTCTTGGGTCGTACTTGGGAGGGGGCCCTGCGCATAGAGAAAAAGAGCATGGGAGTGATATTGGGGACATGGAAACTGGTCTTGGATTTGGGGAGAAAGCTCCATGGCAGCCAAGATGGGCTTCCTGCCCGCAATGACGTAGCATGTGTGTGCACGCCGTACCGGCGCCGGATACACTTTCCGGTCCCGGAAGAAAAGACCACCCCACTTTACAACACCGGCGGGAAACACGGGGATTGAGGCCCGGGCGGACGCGAGAGTGCTTGGCGTCTGCAAATGAGAATTGCCCTACCAATTTTACTGCTGAATTAATCAGAAAAATAAGGATTTCTAAACCTAAATTCTAATTTCATCGTTGAATTATTTTGTCTGAAAAAGAGTTTCTTCAACCCTCATATTCGCGGGGTTGCTTTTCCCTCACCCCAGGAAAAAAACATGGCAGTGGATTCCGCGAGTCGTTCCAATGGCTGGGTGTGAGTGGGCTGGGGCCTCTTAAGCGGGCGACGTACCCGGTTCTGCCAGGTTCTTTTGACGTAGCATGGCGTATGGTTTCCAGAATGGAGGCAAGTCGGACGTTTCAATGTCTCCATTGGGTGAAAATGGAACTCCGCCGTTTTATTTTTCTGCCTTAATCATGAGGGATTCGATATGCTCATCCATACCGCTGTGTTTTGAATCGACGCTAACAAAGAAAATGGAGTGAATCAGATTCCGAGGCTTTCTGCCGTTGGGGTCGTTTCAGCCGAGTGGCTGACACTGCTCAATCGATTTCTGCTCCCCCAAATTTAACGCCAGTAGAATGAATTGAGCTGCTTTGAGAAGCTCAGAGTCGGATCCCTGGAGCAGTGGAAATCAAAATACACCACACGGACATGCTCGCGAACCACTATTACAGTGAATGGCAGTATCTGCCTTCTATTGCTACATGCCGGAGAGGCGCCTTCTAGTCAGACAATCTCTGCTCCTTGATGATTGATGTTACACGATATCCACAGATTTCTTCCCCTCGTCCCCCTTTTCCGCGCAAGTCCACTTTTACACCAGCGACTCACCAAGAGTCGGGCCCGTCCTTGTGATGCCGTTGATGAAGATCTTGCTGACCAAGTCGCTCTGGTGCGCCTCGAGCATCTCCTTGAGCGCTGCCCGCTCAACCACCACACGTCCTGTCTCCAACAAGTCCTTCACGTCTACATCGTTGACATTGAGACACCTGCCCTGGTCTCCTGCTGCCTCCATGGTCTTGTACAGCCTAGGCTTCTCACCGGCTGTGACGAAGAGCGTCCGGCCATGAGCCTTACCCCACTGGTTGGCCTCAAGGACCTGAAGCATCCACTTGCGGCGGTATTCATGCTCCATTTGAGGGCCCATGAATCCTTGCTCGGCGAGCGTAGTGAAGTCGAGAGGGAGAGGCAGCTCCATGCCGTCCTCGCAAACGACGAGCTCACCACGGCGGTAGCGATAGCTGAGAGCAGTGCGCCAGGCAACGTCGTATACCTTGCGGTTCAGGCGAGTGCTGAAGTCACGGGGCTTGGGACCGTGGGTAACACCTCCGCCGCGACGGATGGGCGACTGCCGGGTGCCGGCACGGGCGCGGCCGGTACCTTTCTGGGGGTGGATCTTGCGGTGCGAACCACGAACCTCCCAGCGCGTCTTGGTGCTGGCTGTACCCTGGCGAGTGGAATCGCCTTCGTAAACGACGGCAAGATGGAGAAGATCGCGACGGAGGGGGAGGTAGAGGTGTTTTGTCGAGTAGGACTCGAGGGACTGAGGCTCGAGGGTTGGGAAGGCGTGAATCGTGACGGGGACGGAAGTGGCTTTAGGACGACAGGTTAGCAATTGCATCATGAAAGCTAACGAAAGGATATCGGTGCATACTTGGTGTCCAGATCTGGTTGGGCTTAGAGTGAATGGAAGTTGTGATGCCGGGCAATGGCGCCTCGGTGGCCATTGATCTCGTAAAGTTGGATGAGCTGAGGAATGATGCTGCCGGGCTGGCCGTTCTGCATGTCGTCTGGGACGAGAGGGATAGGCCCCTCATGGCCTCAGCGAGGCTTCTGACTCCCTTGCCGGCCATTGCGTGTGTGCGAGGACTTCACAATGGAAAGGACGGTCAGAACGTCGTTGAATCGGGGCTTCGCGCGATTGTAGTCGTCGATAAATGGGTTTGGAACCGGCCGACTACGAAAATTTGGCCCGTCCTACGCCTCTGCCAATCAGATGGCGCTAATTTTCGATACGTACCCGTCTTGCACCTCCAGATGGGAGCTTTGTCCCCTGTACGGGGCGGGATATTCCGTCCTTCAATTGGAAAAATAATTATGGAGACCCGCAAAGTGCCATCCCGTGAAGCTCTGGGTGAAAAACCTCCTTCGTGTGTGAGAGCGCCTGTCGTCAGACAACCACCCAACCACGCCCACTCTCCACCCCCAATACAGCCCACATAATGTCATCGTCGTGTAGGCAGGCCGCTCGGCCGCTGCGGCGATGCATAAACAGCGCCACCACGACAACCCTGCCGATACGGAGAAGCATCTCGACGACGCCTGCCCCGGCCGCCCAGGTCTACAAAGTGGTGCGCGAGAGACCCGAGGCGCCGGATCCCCTCGAGCTGGACCCCAACACGGCGGTAGCACCTTGGGCTGAGAAGGATCTCTGGAAGGCTGGAACGCCCCCCGTCGGTTCGCGACGTCGCCGTTATGCCATCCGTACGAGCCAGAACCTCCCATTCGAGCAGCTGCCTTACCAGACCTTCCAGGAGGCCCGCAAGATCCTGGCTGCCGACCGCGAGGAGAAGTTGGCCGCTATTGTCACCGAGATGGCCAAGATTAAGAGATTGGAGAGTATCGACGCGAAGGAGGTTAAGGGCGGAGAGAGGATGCGCCAGATGAAGTTGAGCAGTCTGCGCCAGCACGTCGAGGAGCTCAAGATTCTGGCGGATATCAACGACCCGGCCGTCAAGAGGCGGTTTGAGGATGGACTTGGTACGATTCGCATATCGCGATTGAGCCTTCTCTTCTTGCATTGAGTGCTGACACGACGTAAAACAGGCGACATGAACAAGCCCATCTACCGCTTCCTTGCCGAGCGCAAGTGGCGCGCCTACGAGGCACAGCTGACGGAACAGCGTATCTCCCAGTTTAACATCGTTCCCGATATCCTTCCCAAGCTGAACCCTACGTACGACGTCCAGCTCTGGTTCCGTCGTTCCAAGGTGCCCCCCGGCAAGGTTCTCCCCAGCAATGTCACTGAGGTGGCTCCCAAGCTGCGCGTGACCCCCTTCAATGCCGGCGAGCGTCTCGTGTCCATTGTCATCATGGACTCAGACGTTCCGCAGGTCGAGACGGACGGCTTCGGCAAGCGCTGCCACTACCTCGCCGCCAACGTTCCTATCTCCCCGACCGCCACCTCCGTCCCTCTCTCCAAGCTGCGCGACCCTTCCCAGCTTGCTCTTCCCTACCTGCCCGCCTTCGCGCAGAAGGGCAGCCCTTACCACCGTCTGTCTATCTTCATCCTCGAGCAGGCTCCCGGTCAACGCCTCGACACCGCTGCCCTCAAGGAGCTCTACTCCAACCGGGACGGCTTCTCCCTGAAGTCTTTCCGCGACAAGTTCCGCCTTAACCCCGTGGGCTTCAACATCTTCCGTACAATCTGGGATGAGAACACGGCCGGCGTCATGGAGCGTGCCGGTGTTCCTGGCGCAGACATCGAGTTCCGCGCGACACGCGTGCACTCGCTCAAGGGGCCCAAGAAGGCCCGTGGTTGGGAAGCCAAGCGCCAGGGTCCCAAGTTCAAGCACCTTTGGAAGTACACCAAGCGTATCAAGGGATACTCCAACGCCAAGGGTCTTATCAAGAAGTAAGGTGCGCGGATGTTCCGGGGAGAGCGAGGCGAGATGCGGTTCTGGCTGGAGTGTGCCAGCGTATGACTCAGCGGAAGCTGAATCGCAAGGAGGAGGGTGTGTGGATGTTATCAAAAAGTGTAGAATATGTGTACTCTATGTGTCATCATTTGGCTGTAGATGGGTGCAGTCCCAAGGCTGCGGCTGTTATAGATCACCTACTGTCAACTCTCCCCAATGCTATCCTCATCGCCGTGTGCTATTGTGCAGTGAGTGGATGCAGCTGAGAGAACCTCGGCATTACAATGGGGAATTCTAAGAGCTTACAGAATGCGGGACGTTGATTTTCACGAACGTTACAAAATATGTGGTTCTTGAGTTGTCTCTGAGCCATCAATCTCAACCTTCTGACCCTAGCCCCTTGGTGACTTGATTGGTAGAAAGGCCGTCTCACTGGTGCAGTTGCTCCGAGGATAGCCCAGGATGATTTCAGTTGTAGCGTTCACTTGATGCTACCGTGTTCGGATTCCTTGACCCTTACACTTGATATCTGCAATAACCTACCCCCCTTTCAACGAAAATCCAAGTTTGATAAAATAAGCAATCGCTTCGATAAAATATGCCCTATATTAGTAAAAGTGACATGGCAATAGGAGCCAAGAAAAGCAGGAGATAAACCGTGGCCGCCGACAATCGGTCTTCGGGGTGCTCAGAAGATATAGGCAGAAGCACTCGATAAAATTTAAAATCTCCACCATCGAAAGATAGATAAAAGCGTTTATATCATGTGAAGTCACTCAACGTAAACTAGAACGGCGGAGGCTCAGGAGGGATCTCGGGGGAGACATGCGGCCACAGCAGGTATAGAACGTGCATACTGATGGAGAGCTTAAACCACAGCTGCTGAGATTATTTCCAAAGCTCAGTGGCAAAATTGGTAACAACTGGGAACTCAACCACGTCAGTCAGTCGTTCTAGGATTCTTTAGAATGTTATCAGTAATTTCTCTGTCTTGCGTTCCTTTCAAGTCGGAGGACGAACAACCCTAGACTCGACAGACAACGAAACGCGTTCTTGAACATGTCAGAAAATGAAATGATTCGACAACCCAATATTACCGCCTTCACCAACCGTGAACCAGTCTTGCAATTTTGAGGGCATGGAATAGGCGGGAACACATTTCAACGGAACACGCCTCACTACGTTTCCGCTTAAAATCCAGGTCGCCGGGGGAAGAGATACTACAGACTCAGAAGTGGACTACTGGCCCATGCAAAGGATGTCCAGCTGAAAATGTGTTCAACAGGGTAAACTCGTGACCGAAATTTTAGCCCTTGGAGCCTAGATACATGGCGGATGCAAGACAAAATATGTTGCCCGTGAAGTCTATACATGTCAGATTTCTGGGTCATTTGAACAGAAAGACAGATAGAACCTCCGAAATCGACAGAACAGGTACCCATCACAGGGGCATGTCTAATAAGGTACTTCGTTTCCCGCAGTTCTCATACTTGTATTTGCGAATTGGGCCGGGTAGCCATTGCAATATAAAAGGATGGTGCTTCCTAAGTTGTGTCACTAGAAAACACTCTTGACAGTCAAACTCCTAGCCCAAAACGTTGGTCTTCCTAATAGCTGATTCTAAGTACTGTTCTACGGAAACCCTCGTTCATCAACTGCGACCTCACCATTACACGAAAAACGTTATTGGCAACCTTACAGACCTTGTCCCCAGTTTTCTGGCCCCGGTTGTCTGACATAGTAGACGAGTCATATCAGGATAGCGAGAGTCACAAGGAAGTAGAAACATTGCATGGCATTAACTGTTGTATTGCTAGCACAAGTTGGTGCTTGACTCTAGAACTAAAAGCATGAATCAAACCCCACAATGGGTCATCAGCTCGTTAAACCGGCAGAGGAGCTACATGCCCCCAAGAGGCAAAATCATGATATAAGTCCACCAAAACGGCATCATCTCAGTGATGTGCCCAAACGCCTGCCCATAAGTATCATGTCTGTGCTATTATAATGCAATCCCGAATAAACAAACAATCACACGACTCCTCCGCGATGCTGCGTGCCCTTGCATGGTGAACTCCCTATGCATCTGTGGGCCATGCTCGCCGTAATATCTCCACATGAAAACCATTAATTGCGCAAATCGGGGTATCTATTGACGTCCGGCATCCTCTGCCGCTTGACGCGTACGCATGCTGGTTTCCCAAGTCTCCCAATCATCATAATCCGTCAGTTGCCGAGCCCGCGGAGAAGGCCGGGCCGGCGAGCCCAAAAGGTCGCCAAACTCAAGCTGGCAGTTCGAATCCAGTACCATGCTGGAAATGTCAAAATTTGTAACGGAAGCGTTCATGGTCTCTGCCAGTGCTCGGTTCATAGCCTCCAGCATGTCAGAGTCGTATTGCTGGTCCATTGGCTGTGTTTGAAGATATTCTTCAAGGGCAAGTTCCATCTGACTAAACTCATCTTGGTGCAAACGGGGACTCCTCCGAATCGGGCCCTTAGCCGACCTCGGTGTCCGCGTTGGTGTGCGTCGGACAGCTACGGGAGACCGAAGCAGATCACACGACCTCAGGGAACGTGAGACACTTCTAGTGACGCTCCTCGTGATCGGTCGATGGCTTGGTGTTGGTCGCGTAGGCGTCTTGAAGGGACCGTTATTAGGGGCTCTATCCCGGGGAGGCGGCGTAGATGGACGGGCAATGGCCGGACTTCTGAAAAGGTCTTCAAGGTCGTCGCCGGAGACGGCGAGATTTTCCTTGTTCACGCCGGAATCCTTTGATGCGCCGTCCATGCTTGACTCCTTCTCAACCATGTCCTTGATTTGTACTGTTTCAGCTGATCCGTTTGAGTCAGCTGTAGTTTGAACGATGTTAACGGCCAATTCGCCCAAGATCTTGGGAACGCCCTCCTTTCGTGGCGATGGAAATAAGAGTCGTCGGGTTGAGCCCATGTCCTGAACATCGGCATTGTCAATGGTAATAGGGCTCTTAGCTGTGCCACTGCCTCTAGAGTGGGTAGAGCCAGGGTTGGAGACGTTCCCAGGTGATGCGGGGCGGGATTCACGCTGGTCTGGTTGCTGGAAGGACTGGTCAAAAGACTCGTTGGGGTTGCTCACTTGGGAGACGCCCCGCGATCTGCTCTCGTCATTCGGCGAGATGCCTTGGTCTTCGGGCCCGATAGGGTCAGTTGTGAAGTAGGCCTCGGACGTTGGGTTCATTTGGTTTGGCCCAGTCTTCCTTGTCCTGGGTGGCCGCGGAGCTCTCCCGGTACCTCGAGGACGCCTCTGCTGCCCAAGTCGAGAGCTATCCTTCTCCCACTTCTCCGCGGGCCGGTGAGACTTCCATTTTGACAGCCAGATTCCGCAAGGGTTGCAGAGCATGTGCTCCTTCCAATCGGACTTCTTCTCCTTTGGTGCCAATGCCTTCTTGATGACCTGATATCTCGTCACCTTTTCATCGGCATCACGGTCCAAAACCAGAATAGCGGTGATCCTTCCAGGCTTGTCAGAAAACTCTGTAAACTCCGGCACACCCTTATGTTCCTGAGTCCAGATCTTTCGCCAAGTGGGAGTCTCAATCGCTCCACAGTTGGTGCAGTACATAGGGGTCTCTCCATTCTCAATTGCTTGCAGCAACTTCTCTCTGATTGCCTGCTTCTTGACGTAGTTCTTGTTCGATCTAGTAGGTTGTTGAGGTGACTTCGGAGGCTGCAACGCATCACTAGGCGGGCAGATTGCCTCGGAGAAAGAGGTCACATCAGGCCGGTTGAGGGCAGGTAGAGCTAGGGGACCGATGGGGTCACTGGCTGGAACGGTGGGAAGAGCCAGTGAGAACCCGGATGAGGCAGAGCGCTGCAGAGAGGGTGGCGCGGAAGGTCGGGCAAACGATATCTCGGCATCCGCACCAGTCTTTGGCGGCTCTGAAAGGGTCGGCTCGGGTGCCATTCCACTCACTGCCTGAACAAGCTTCTCGAGTCCCATGTCCAGGGTATCAACCGGCGGTTGAGAATCAGCCTTGGGAGCACCTTGATCGTCGCTGTCGACTTCCGGCTTAACCGCCACAACCGGCTCCTCTTGTTGTGGCGAAGGCTCTTTTTCCGCCGGTTGAGAAGGCGGAGGAGCCATCGAGGTTCTTGAATCGCTACCATTTCGCGTCAATGGTGGCAGTGTAGGCTCCTGCGAAAGTGTTGAGGTTGGGGGGCGTGACGCAACGGGCTGTGTATTCTTGGTAAACTCAGCTTCACTAGAAGGCTGTGTCGCCAACTGGAAGACCTGGATTGGGATTCCCGAGCGAGATCGTCGTTCCTTGGTGACGTTGGACCTAAGCGCTGTCGGTGCAGCGACCGGTTGGGGAAGCTGCTTCATTCCCTCGGTTTCGAACAGGTCGTCCATGCCTCCACTCATGAAGCCAGAGTCGGCGGGCTGGGGCATGGGCATCGGAGGAAGGATAGGGCTTGAAGCTGGCGGACTCGATCGTACAAAGCTGGCTGTGCGGAGGACTGGAGGGGACGATCCAATGGCTGCAGGGCTATCCTCCGAGTACATGGGGGAGGCTGCTTCCGAGTCCACAGGTGAGCGTCCGTCCTGCTGACTAGGAGACAGAGCAAAAGGAACCTCGGAAAATGAAGGCTGACTGGGAGGTGTTGCAGCTTGGCTTAATGTCGACTGTCGGCGAAGCTTGCTCCCGTTCGCCGCCTTGCCAGCTTGCGGTACCGTGGGGCCCCTGTCCGGGACTGGTGTGGGTGCTCTAGGGATCTCTTGCATATGAGAGCCCATAGGGGTCTCCGTGGGCATGCCCATCGGTCGCAAGGTCCGCAGTGAGCCAGATGTGCTAGCTGCCACTCGCAAAGATTCAGGGCCACCACCAAAGGGGGTGTTGATGTTACTCGTAACCTGGGTCATGGTGGCCCTCTTTTTCTTCGCCGGGCCGTCATCGCCATCCGTTCCATCTTCGTATCCGGACGTGTTGCCTTGGTTCTCGGCTCGAGGTTGCTTGCGTGGTCGGCCACGGGGTCGACCTGTGGGCTTTGATCTTTTTGATCGGTTAGATGCCCTGGATGATGGTCTTGAGGGTGGGTTGGCCTGGGTATCGGTTGCTGTGTCAACGGGAATCGGGGCAACCCGGTTAGGTCCTTCAGAATTTTGCATCGGCTGCTGAGGCTGAGGCAGGATATGCTGCTGGTGCTGTAGCGGTGGTGCGTTATAACTAAAAGAATTGCTGCGTTGCATAGACTGCTGGAAGTCATTGTGGTGTTGTGGTGGGTGAGGAGACGCAACTCTGGCAGGGTGTTGCTGGTTGCCCATCTGAGGATTTGACTGCATAAATGAGTTCCACTCAGCATGGCTCGAGGGTGTGAGGGCACCCTCGACAGGTCTTGTAGGCTGAATCTCGACGCTCATGTGGCTCTCGGAACGCTGATAGGAGTGCCGATGGTCGGGTTTCGGTTCATTCTCGTAATGTGGCTGGGCCATGGCGACCACGGGCTTCAGCTTGAACTTGATCTCCAGGATGTCCTTCACGCCGTTGCTAAAAACTGAGAGGGGATTCCTGGTGGCGCGTCCAATGATCCTTTTGTCGTTCGAGTTGTTGATAATCCAGCCCAGAAGGCCCTGGCCAACTAGGGGCTCGTCGGGTTCCGAGTAGTCGTAGGCGTAGACAGCAAAGTCACGGGTAACGTCGCTGAGCAGCTCGGGGCTGCACTTGGCAACGGCCTGAGCACAAATCTTCAAGTCGACCATGCCGACGGTACGCTTGTCATCGATTGGTACTGTCTGAATAGGAAGCAGATGGGGATGCCGCGCGAGGAAACTCTCCCCGCTATCTGCGAATGTGTAGGTGACCTTGACTGTGGCACCGCGTCAGCAACGCTTCCCAAAACACCAGAGCAAACGGGAAGCCCTTACGGCCCATCGTCTTGACCTGGACGCCAAACTCGTCAATGTCGTTGGTGGCAGCAGGCGGCTGTGGTGGCATGGCCTGGCCTTCACCTCCCCAGGTACCCATGGGTGCTATCGGCATTGGCGACGCCATGGTAGGCGTGGCTCTCACTCCCGGTTCGTGTAGTCGTCCAGTTCGGTGGGTGTCGAATTGTACAGGTGAGAGGAGGAGACGGACGGTAAGGTCGACGAGGTCGAAGGGCGGTGACCGAGAGTGGAAATGGAAAAAAAAGAAAAAGGGAAAGTAAAGTGGAGGAGAGGATGAGTGAAGGTGGGTTGGCAATTGGTGTTTGTAGTGGTGTAAAGTGGTTAAGTGCAGGCGTCACGTAAGAAACCGCGGGGCGGGTATCATGGCCGTGGTCGTGAGGGAGTCGCGTTCTGGGTCCGGTCTTTGGTGTAAGTCGCGTTTTTGGGAAGTGGATCAAGCACTTAAAGCCCCTGCGCGACTAGAGAAACTGGCCCGAGACAAAGTGATCCAAATTGTTTTCGGACCACTCGTTTTTGAGAGAAAAGAGGAAATTTGAGAAATTTCTGCTAAAAAATCTCCAATTGAGAGGGAAATAACTGACAGAAAACAGGGAAAAGATACTGGTAACCGCAGACAGAGGAAGCAACACAAAAACGAAGACTGAGGGTGTTGTCGCGTGTGGTAGCGGTACAAAAGAGTCGTAGGTCACGGTACAAACTGGGGCTAGGCGGTCAAGCAGGGTGGCCCGCGCTGTGACGTTGGGTCAGGGGTTTGTGGTCGCCTACGTTTCTTAGCGCGAACAGTTACAGCCAAATCCAGAACGCGCCTAAACACGTGCACGCTTTCTGTCCGCGACTGAATGTGTATGTGTGGCCCGTGCTGACTCTGGCCTGGGAAAAAACGGGATCGACACCACTGCTGGAAGCGGACGGTTGCTGAGTGAATGCCGGAAGTGGGTCCCCTCCTTTCGCTTCTCGGGGGTGGGTGGGGGCCCTGACCAGCCGATGCCTAACACCTATTTTTCGTCGGGCTTTGCGTTTGCAATCGGGACTTTCTCCGGCGACTCAGGATCAGGGCGGACCAAGCACCGGAACTTGCAACAGGAGATGAAGAAAACAGGAGGGAAATTCTACCTGGCATTCTTCTTTCCCCCTGACCGAAGACGGCGGGGCCCGTCCCTTTTATACTTGTCCACCTGAAGCCTGAGGTCCTCTGTCTCCCCTCGCCTGCGTTGTCCGTACAATCCCACGGGCCAGCCAGAGCAGACCGGTGTGCTCTCTTCCCCTTTCCCATCCTTGATCATTTTCCGTCCCATCCCAACACGGTGATTCTTCTTCCCTAGCGTTTTCACCCATGAGTCAATCTCCACTTGCCTTTCCGCCCGCAACACACTTTTTGTAGCCAAGCACCGTTAGTCCAATGAGAACGAAGCCATTCTAAGCTCACTTGACGGAATGCCTCTCGCCACTTTTAGAGGTTTATTGACGGTTTTGATGACGGAATCTAACCCGTCAGTGACACCCTCCTTAACTCCGACGTCTCGTGAGGCTCCCCAACAGTAGGCAGCCATGCCGCAACCAAACCCACCCGAACCTATCAGGTTGAAGCCATTTTTACCCCAACTTTTTCGTCTGCTTCAACCACGATGGAGTTGAAGAACCACAAACTACTCCAAGACTAGTCGGCCAATGAAAGAAACCCATTCCAGTCCACTTTTATGAGATGAAGCTATTCAGCCAATTCATGCATCGTGCCATGCATTCCCATTTACAAGCACATTTGTCCCAAAAATAAAATTACTTCAACACACAAGAGAGTCCTCCTTTTTTGTTTATTCAGACACAGGGTAAAGCATCTACACTATTATACACACCTAATGCTTAAAACATCGGTGAACCCTCCCAACTCCATCGACCGCCCATTTATTCAGACCAGGTTGCGCGGCCAGCCTCATTGGTGACAACCTTTCGGCTAACAACCTCCCTGACTACTTCCGCAACGCCCTGGCGTCCATTTCTGTTCGCCACCACCTTCTTCACGACCTGCTTAGGTGTGTACTGACCCTCCAGAACGACCTGCTTAACCTCGTTCTCGGTCGGCAGCGCAAAGTACGGGTAGCGGTATTCCTTGAAGTCGCGGTCGTTCAGCATCTGCAGCTCCTCGCCCTCCGCCTTGAAGAAGGGGTCGGCGACCTTGTCTTCGGGCTTGATGTCCTCAAGAGTAGCGGGCTGCCACTTAGGTGTCTCCTTGCGCACCAGCAGCGCCGTCACTCCCTCCGTGAAATCGGGATGCTGCATGAACTTGGTGGCAATCTGGTGCTCGCGCTGGAAGGTCTCCTTGATCGACCAGCCGCCGCCGATGCGCATCTGTCTCAGTGCAACATTGACGGCTGTGGGCGAGCGCTTGTGCAGCGTGTCGAGGGTCTTCTCAGCCCACTGCTTGGTAGCACCCTCCTCGGCCTTGAGCGCCGAAATGATGTCCTGGACGGTGCTCTTGCTGAAGCAACGATCAACGGCCTTTCGCAGCTCACCGCCCAGAAGGATGGGCTCATCGTGTGGGAGACCGGTAGCGAACTCCTCCAACGTCGAGCCAATGACCTGGAGGCGCTTCTCCAAGGAGTCACGGTCGTCGAATCGGATTTCGGCCAGACGAGACTCCAGCTGGGGCAGACTGGTCGAGTGCAGGTAGTGGGTGGCGACACCAGAGTAGAAGACGTTGGCACCCTTGAGTCTCTCGCTCGTCAGGGCGAGGTACGTACCAACGGCGCCGGGCATTCTGGGCAGGAAGAACGAGGCACCAACATCAGGGAAGAAGCCAATCGTCGTCTCAGGCATGGCGAAAACGCTCCGCTCGGTAGCAATGCGGAAGGGAGCGTGGATGCTAAGGCCGACACCACCTCCCATCGTGATACCGTCCATAAAGGCAATATACGGTTTGTCGTAAGTAGCGATGTAGTGGTCCAGCTTGTACTCGAGCGCAAAGTAGTCGGCGCTCTTCTTCCATCCATCCTCGCTCTCCTGGTTGTACTTGGCCAGCTCAGCGACGTCTCCACCTGCGCAGAAAGCCTTTTCGCCGGATCCCTTCATGATCACCACGTTCGCCATGTCTGACTTCTCCCACTCGACCAGTCGCGGCAGGATCTTGCGGATCATGCTGGCGTTGAGTGAGTTGAGTTTCTTCGGCCGGTTGAGCTGGATAGTCCGCACGCCGTAAAGGCTGTTGAAGAGCACATCGTCGACCTCATCATCACGGCGCTCTCTGAATTCCTTGGGGACCTCGGTAGACATCTGTGAAGAAACACGGTTAACATGCTTGCCATGGAAACACACTCAACTGCATTCAAATACTAACCTGTGCGCGAGACGAAGCCTGCGCGGTGATAATCTTGGCTCTGAGAGGCATGCCGAAGCTCCTGGTACAGCTCCTGCAAGGAGCAGCTAGTGCTGCCGACCCGGCTCGTACTGCAAACGTCCTGGAGAACATTTATTTTTCGCCAGCTGCCAATGCGCTCGTCTAGGACAAGCGGCGCATCGACTGGGGGGTAGCAGGCTCTAAGGTTGAAAGGAGGGGAGGAGGGGGGAGGTTCGATCGGCTCGAGGGTTGTTTTAGATGATGTCGCGGGAATGATTTTCCATGCTCCTCACCACCCAAAAATTGAGGCCGAGAATACCCATGGGCCATAAGGCAATTGGATGGTTCCACGGCCAGGGCCCGGTGCACTGGCCACCCACCCAGGCGGCGTGGTGCTTACTCCACTAAAGCAGCTGTAAGCTTCAACTATGCTTGCGGACGGGGGCACTTTTTCCAGCGCCGACTTTTACTGGAGGTTCGTCCAATCAGAGCACCAACCACTGAGCCGCGAGACCGCCAAACTCTTTCAGCCTTGCTGCAGCCTCCAGCAAAAGTATCATCGCGACATTACTTACATACCCACCTCCGCACATCTCGAACACCCCCGCCATTAACCGCCCATCATGTCGACCGACCCCAAGATCCAGTGCGTTTCTAGTCCCAGAATCCACGCGAAGCATGCCTCACTAACATTCGGGTTCCAGGGAGCTTCTTACCAAGCCTCGCAATGAGCTCACCGAGTACGAGATCGCCCAGCTCGAGGAGCACGAGTTCAGCGCAGGTCCCCTCTCGATCCTCCAGACCGCCGTGCGCAGCCACACTCAGGTGCTCATCTCCATCCGCAACAACCGCAAGCTTCTTGCGCGCGTCAAGGCCTTTGACAGACACTGCAACATGGTTCTTGAGAACGTAAAGGTACGAGAACACGATACATCCGTTTTCTATCCGGATACTCTATGCTGTGACATTAAGAAGTTGGACACTAACAGCTCTGATTCAGGAAATGTGGACTGAGACGCCGCGTCTCGCCAATGGCAAGAAGGGTCGCCCCGTCAACAAGGACCGCTTCATCAGCAAAATGTCGGTTTATATCCCCAGGCGAAGACGTCGACGCGTCGACCCCCTTATGATCACATCACATTAGACTAACACATGCCACAGGTTCCTCCGCGGTGACAGTGTTATTCTGGTTCTCCTGAGCTGAAGGAGTTGTACATGTACGAACGAATTAAGAATCTTAGTCTTGTTACGATGGTCCACGTAACAATCCGTCTACGACGCGTCGTCAACGAGAGAAGAAAAAAGTAGGGCCACGTTACCCTACACACGCAGGAGCTCGAACGATACGAAATGAGATGCCAAATGGAGCTGTTTGGATGGAATATCATCACACATCGCGAAAGAGGAACGGAGGGGGGCGAGACTCAACGAGGGCGGAGACATTTGCGTGAAAATACCCACGGTAGAGTGGTTTTCTAAAACGGGACGAACTTGGCGTTGAAGAGACAATAGGATCATTATGTTTTTTTTCTCTCTGTGCTATCCGTACCATGGCCGTCATTCCTTCCGAGATTGCATTTTGCCGCTTCCCAAAACCAGACATGTGCCACCGTCCAACTTCAGCCCCCTGAAACCGCTTTTTGTCATTCCAAAATAAAAGAAGAAAAAAAAAAACCACGAAATTATAACACAGATACTAAAGCTTCAATACGGGATATCAATTTAAGCGCCAAGTCCTCTCCTCATTTACAGCTTCTCCCATCCCTCTTCACTCTCAATTCCCGCCAGACCGGCGAAGAAGCAGCTGAGGCCCCAAGCACCAGGGTCAGGGACCTGCTCGAAGCCGGAGCCACCAATGTACACAGTCCGGCCGAGACTGGCCTTCATGCCCTTGGTCTTCTCGGCTCCGGCGCGCGCCGCCTCGGCAGCCTTCTTGACGTCGCCTGTCTGACCGAGGGTCTCAACGAAAGGGTACAGCGCGTCGACGAGAGTGCGGTCGCCGGGGCGTGCGGGGGTGTACCGCGACATGGCGTCGCTGCTCTGCTTGAGGGCAGCAGCCCAGACCTTAGGGTCAGCAGTGCCGGGCGCGAGCGAGCGGAGGGCCCCGACAAGGGCATTGAGGAAGATGGCATAGAGAGCGCCAGAGGTGCCGTCCATCGTGTTCTCGACGACAGGGACTGCGGATGCAAGATCGACGACGGCGTCGCCGGTCAAGGGCGTCTCAGAAATGTGCTTAAGGATGGCTATGAGTGAATTGTTAGCATATTGTCGTATAATCTGTGGCACAAGGAGTGTGTTAGCTTACCTTCAGCTCCTCTCTTCAGGCCGATGCCGCAGTCACCATCACCAACAATGGTGTCGTACTTGGTGACCTCAGGTTCGGCGGCGATGATGCGGTTGAGGGCAGTGGTGATGGTCTTGGTTGCGGCAGCAGGGTCGTACTTGAGATCGCTAGGCTTGGTGGTCTCTCCAGAGCCAGCTTCGTCTTCTCTTGTAGCCGTGTTCTTGGCTTCCCAGGTCTCCTTGAGAATGGGCGAAGACCAGCCGGTAGCCTCAGTAGGGGCATCCAGAAGCTGGATCATGCTAGGGCCGCCAATGTCCGTGTTGACGACATTCAGCAGAGTGATGCTAAAACCAAGACCGTTCAGACTGGTCATGTACGTTCCGCTCAAGATGCGAACGGGGCGGATACCGTACTTGCTCTCGAGCTGCGAGGCGACCTCGGCGGTGATACCGCCAAGCTCCAAAACGCTCACGCCGCCGAGGTTGTTAATCAGCAGAACAACCTCGTTCGAGTTGACGTTCAAGAACGCGCGGTCCTTGTCGTTCTGGTCCAGCAGCTGCGTGAGCATCTTGCTCACCAGCTCAGGCAGATCAGCCTTTTCCCGGCCGGAGCCGGGCTCGTTGTGAATACCCATACCCAGCTCCGCCTCACCGAGTTGCAGGGCGCCCTCGTCCTTCTCGCTGGGGATCGCGCGACCAGGCACATGGACGTGCTCCAAGCTGGCACCGACGCTGACCAGGTTGTCCGCCGTCAGGCGCGCGACCTTAGCAACCTCGCTGAGAGGGCGTCCCTGTGCCGCCAGCGCACCTGCGATCTTGTGTACAAGCACAGTGCCGGCAATACCTCTGCGACCGACCTTGCCCGCCTTGGCACGCCCGACACCGACGTCGTCGCCTACAACAACCATCTCGACCTCAAGTCCGGCGGCGCGGGCCTTCTCGACAGCCATGCCAAAGTTGAGGACGTCACCCGTGTAGTTCATAACAGTGACCAAGACACCCTTGGAGGTATCGACACGGGAGGCGATGGCGGTGCGCACCTGCTCGGCGCTGGGGCTGGCGAAGATGGTGCCGGCGACGGCGGCGGACAGAAGTCCCTGGCCGACCATGGCCGAGAAGGAGGGCTCATGGCCGGAGCCACCACCGCTGATCACGGAGACTTGAGAGTCTGCATTGCCCGTCGGCCTGCGGTAAATGATCTTATTTGTCTTGTCGAGAGCGAGACTCGGGTTCGTCAGGGTCAGACTGTGAAGGGCGGCGTTCACCAGCTTGGTGGGATCGTTGATGAAATGCTTTGCTGACATTTTGGCGATGGTTGTCCAGTGTCTGTTGTTATTGTTGCTCCGAGATCCGTCAATGTGGGGTGAGAATGGTCAGGGAAGATGAGTTCGAAGCTCAAGAAAGCTGATCGTGAGAGCACGGAATGAGGAAAAGGAGAGGATGAGAAGAACGGACGACTGACAATCGTGAACCTGGGAGAGCGAATTGAGGAGGAGATGAAAAGACAAACGCCGCGAGAGCCCTTTTCAAAGCACCGGGAAGAACCCGACTCTATGTGAGTCGGGTGTTGACCCCCGAGGGGAATTAGTCGACCATGACGTCCCACCCGAACGCTCCTCCTCTCTCCTCTCACCGTGGCCGCGGGGTGAAGCGGGGCCGCGGGGGGTGGATGGGATATCCATTCTGGGAAAGCCCAAGCGCTCGGGTTTCCCCCGAGGTATAAGCCGATGTGCAAACTAGGAGATTTTAAGCCTCTGGCGCTAGGGAAATGAAGTAGACATTTCTCCAAGACTTCGACAGCAAGTGCTGCCGTCCTGGAGCTAAACTGCTAAACTCGAAATTAGAAAAAACCGAGACATTTTAAGCGCATTTCGCTTGTAACGTCCATTTCACGAACAACGTTGCCAAAAGTCTTTTGAGATGTTTTCAACAATTGAATGAAAGGGGGAGTTCCAGGCGCATAACATTGACTGGTAAAAAGAGTTTAACTCAAGAACGACATTTTTGCATGTATTTATAGGGTATATATATATCAAAGACCCAAGCCCCCTCTGCTGGAGGAATTCATCAATTGCTGCCGCCCAAAGCCGTGCCACTGTATCGTGATAAACCGCTCTCAAAGCTGGTTTTTTTTCCCCCTCTTTGTTTGCAACCCCCTTTAACGCCGTACCATATGCCAATTCCGAATGATGTAATATCACACAAATTAAAAAGAGGGAAAAAATAAATAAAAGATCACCGCAAAATATGTCCATCATTTCATAATAAAGAAACAGCCTCCCACGACACTGAGCACCAGAGCCGTAGTAGCAAAGCCGGCAGCCACCTTATCTTTGGTCTCGATCGGTGGTAGTGTAGGGATCTTGGGCTGCAAGCTCATACCGGCATTCGGGTTGCCTACCGATGTACCACCCGTGTCGGCCGTCACCGGTGCGGTCTTGACATCCGCCTTCTTAACAAGCATATACATGGCGGCGTCAAGGGCGTTCATCTGCGCGCCGACACCGACCAGCCCGTCAAACTGGCCCCTAGGGTTCCACTTGAAACCGCAAGCCGTACCGGGCTTGCCGTTGAACCCGCTTGCGGGTGACCCATTGCACACAGACATGGCAGCCTCAGCGTTGGGCTTCAGGAGACCCATGATCCGGTCGAATAACTCGGGTACCACCTGTGCTGTCCCTGCCATCCACCGCGTGAGGTAGCCCTTGAAACTCTGTTGGTCGTTGTCGCAAAGCTTGAATGGTTCGCAGGCCTGCTCGGTCATGGCGCTTTGGTTGAAAAAGAGGCCTGTCGCTTCGGTGAGAATACCCTCGGTCCGGGTCATCCATCTCTTGTCCCTGGTGAAGTTGTACATGACAGCAGACCCATGCAGGAAGATGCCCGCGTTGTACGACCACTGAATCGTGTCCTTATCCTTGCAATTCTTGCCGTTGTCGACCGTGGCGCCGTCGTAGATCTTGAAGTCCGGCGTGATCAGGCCGACGCTGACTTCCCAGTCAAACACCCTTTCCGCCCATTCGGCGTACGTTTGGTTACCCGTGAAACGTGCCAGTCGAGCCGCGATGTTGAAGAAGCAACCGTTCGAAATCGAGTTTTTGTAATTGAAGCCATTGTTGAAGGTGAAGATCTGCCACCGCAACCCACCGCCGCACGTCTCCATGTCCCAACGGCTGACATACTGGTTGAACACAGCCTGGGCGAGTGCCAGCCACTGGGGCTGGTCCTTTGGCGGATTCGGAAAGTTGTTCTCAGCTGCACTCATCGCTGCCATCGCCCAAAATCCTTGGTCGTCGTTTCCCTCGGTTCTCGTCTGGTTTCTTGGCATGAAATCGGCATCCTCGCCGGCCTGGTGGAGCAGGGCCTGCATCGTAACGTCGTTGTAAGTCGAGTCCCCGGTCAACAGCCAGTAATCCACCATGGTCCCGAACATCGCTCCGGCCTCCCACCCTGTGACGCCGTTAGTAATGAACAAGGTTGGTGTTGAGTATAAGCATACAAAAATAAGGATCTGGCAGGTTTCCTGGCACATCACCGGTGTTGTTTCCTGTGTAGTATTTCAACAGACCAAATGCAATCGTACTCGCACCGTCTTTAATGGATTGGTCATTGCTAAAGTCGACTTTAACAGCAGCATCGGCGAGCCGGCCTCCTAGCAGGCATGCCGCGCCCGCCGCGATCTTGAGGAAGCCTCTCATATTTGGAAGCACTTTGGTGAGTCGTAATGGCCGAACTCGAGGCACCGGTCAGTGACCGAAGGAAATAGGCTTGTCGAAACCCCCGGCGTGAACCTCTCGATGATGACAAGTGTGATATCGTCCGTCATAAAAGTATCTAGTAGACTATATCGAAACGACAATCGGACTAGGCGAGAAAGGAAGGTAATAATAAAAAAGTAATAATCGTCACACAAACGTTAAGACTAAAAGGTCGCCTGGACTGTAGAATGGAAAACTCAAAGGTACAAAACCGAGCTTGCGGCAATAAAGGCGAGACTCGACCAGGAGTTTAAAAAAACAAGAAGAAAAAAGGAATGGAACAGAAGACTCGTAAACAAGTCTTCGCAACGACCTCTCGTCAAAGAAAAGAAAGTAACGCTTCTTGGCAAAGAACCAAAGAAGGCCAGATGATGCTCACAAGAAAGGTGTAGAGAAAGAGGAAACAGAGATGTAATGACGTGAACGACAGACAATAAGAGACACACAAGCGATACTGGCGGAAGGAGAAGCAGCGCGCCACATTTGCGTTTGGATGACTTTCTACCATCTCGAGACGGCTTAACACCATAAACCCCATTTTTTCGAGGTTTCTAAACCTGGTAACCCTTGCATCACGCTGTGTCGCCGTGAACCGCCCTCCTTCTCATGCCTTGCGACCATTCAAGTCGGCAGGGATTCTGGCCCAGGCCAGGCCGAAAAGTACTACATCTCGTGGGCGTGGCAAGCGAGGAAAGCGAGGCAGTGCGGTCGGGTTGGAAGAGATGAAACGGTAGTGGTTCGAACTTGGCAGCCACCTCGTCTCAAGATTGGCCGCTTGTCCCCTGCAACGTCAGGACATGTAACCGGAAAGAGCAAAAGACGAGTAAACATTTTAGACTTGTATGCCAAGCCTTGGGAGATCTGGATCATTGCTTGGACGGCTGACGGGAGCCATAGGAAAATGGGAATGTTGATGTCTCTTTTTTTTTTTATCCTTAAATTCTTCCCACTTATTATTTCTAATTGACTGTTGCGTCGATATCCAGTACAAAACGTCTGAGCAACAGTAGGCGATACCACAGTTGTGTTGCAAGTATGGGGAACGAACATCCCTCTCTAAACTTGGTAACTTCTGTGGGTTATGGTTCGACCATGACCAATGTGGAGTTTTCTGCGAAAAGAAAAAAAGGGATAAAGAAGAAAAAAAAAACACTGGACGATGCACCGTGGGCGTCTGTTAGCGAGGGAAGAATCCGATGTTGCTGTTGTCTGGACAAGTTGACATGAACTTCGGCAGAGTTGTCTGTCACGCTGCAGACACGGCATTGAACCCCTGAAGACATCTGGTCCGTGCGTCTCACTTTCAAGGCGTGGGAACCGCTGCTGCAGGCCTATTTCCGTCCCCCTGCACACCCCTGTGTTGGGATGGCTCTGCAGCGGGTGTTCTTCACCCCGAGTACTCACACACACCACTCATTTTTCCATGTCAGCTGCGCCCAGTACTGAAGCCAACTCATGCCGTTAAGGTTGCGAGTAATAAAATGTCAAATATTCTTTTCACCCCGCGCGAGTCTCTTAGCTGCTGATCGGCCGGGGTGAAGGTAATATGTGTGCCGTACTCCCGGAGTCGTCAAGGTCTGCTCAACTCTGTCACTGGTTCGAGACAGATTATCCTCACCAAAGGCAAATCAACCCCTCCAATGCTCTCGACCAATACAGAAAATCAATTGTCAATGGAGCATAAGTGCGACATAATTGACATTAGTAGCCACAAACTTTGACATGTTCTCATTGGCCATCATACAAAAACAAGCCAAGTTATACCGGGCAAGACCACATGTACGGTATGACAAAATGACGCGGCAACGTTGTAGTAACACGAGATCGGCAAGCTATCCGTTTCAAAAGCAGAGAAAACAGTGTCTCGCTTCTGTGGCTCCCAACCCAACATTGACCATTGTTACTGTAGTAGGTTGAAGCCTCGCAAGCCTCATTTATATCGGTACACAATAGCTGTAACTTTCCTAGCCAGCAACATGCCTGGTTTCTTATGAGCTGCCACATATACTCGATATACTCGACAATGGGCGAAACAAACTGTCGATCTCATGGGGGTAAGGTCTTGGAAGACTATGCAAACATTGGATGCTATTGATGCTCGTCTTTCCTCTGATGTAATATGCCGAAACTCCCATAGTCATATCACGCAGATCTTGCCTGCACGTATGTGAAGGCCAACTCGACAATACGACTTGTAATGGGTTTTTATAACAACCTTCACAAATTGCATATTGGCCAGCCCAAAGAGTCAATTGATGTGTTAAAATGGGGCGCAAGAGAGAGAACTCAGACTTGAATGGCCTTCTTCTTTTGTAATCTTGTATCCGTTTGCCCCTTGCAGTAATTACACTTTTCTTTCCAACAACGCTCCTGCCCTTACTTACTACTCTGTGTACGATCTACTTCCAGTACTAAATAAGTTCTTACATGTACGTCTTGCAAGTGAGTTTGATGGTATTAAGTTTTGGGCAGAGAATATTTTCTACGCTCCAAGTCTTGCAAGTATGAATCAAATGCGATACATACGTCCAGTACGTACGTATGTGATCAAGACAGAGAGAGATATGTTAGGATTCGGTAAAAGCGGGCCATCACTCGTAAGGAAAGTTATTTCATTCCAGCAACTTAGTCCCATTTCGTACAGACAATTAGTCTCTATGTATCCCGGAGCTTTTATTCGCTCCCAGGTCGTGGTATAAGCTAACATTGTACTCGTCCGTTTCTCATTTCATTCATTCGTGCGTAGAAATCATTCCCATTTTTCCCACTCCTGGAGCAGCTTCTTGCTTTCTTCCCTAGCCCAAAGGGATCTCTCTTGCTCAAGCTTAGATAACCGCTTATACGTCTCAACAAACATCTTTTGCCTCTCCAAAACCTTGACCTCGAGATATTTCGGGTCATTCCGCCGGCAGGCTTTGTCAAAGACTGCCCTCATCCGAGTAGAGTACAACTGGCATGTTGCTTCCTCTATCCGTTGGGGCTTCACATAAAAGTTTCGGGCAACAATATTGCCATCTTTAAGTTGAGGTGCGACCACCTCATCGAAACAGTCACCGCAAACGGTGAACTGCGGGAGGAACTGCATGACGTGCCAGTTTTGATCATAAACGGGGTTATCTTTGCAGCACTCTGCGTATACTGACAGGCTCTCAATATCGCTGACAAGCTTGCCGATGTTCGGTGCCTGAGTTGTGGCGAGAGCAATATCCGATGTCGTCTCAAGCGTGTCAAAATACATTACAAAACGCTTTCGATCTGGGTTGAAATGCATCGCGCAAGTGCCCCTGGTCGGTTGTGCTGCAGGGTGGAGGGTAACAAACACACCAGTCAGGTTGGGCAACAGCCCCTCGATAGTTTTGGCACATTCATAACAGACAGTGAAGTCAGGCATAGTTGTCTGGGAGTAAGGGTTCTTGAGCGAATACCACACGCGTGTGACACGGCGATCACCAGGGCAAGGCTGAGTCCCACTAGTGACCTTGCTCGCAACGTTGGCAACCTGATAGAACAGGCGCAAGTCCGTATGACGGTTCTTCAGAGTCAGCAACCATGCAATATGGTACCACCCACACGAACCAAAGTCACAAGCAATCGGCTTGTCCATCGGACGGAAAAGCATAGGCATGAAATCATTGCGGAATTCCGTGTTCAAGAATACTCCGTTGTAGCAGTCAGGGCAGATATTGAAGTTGTCGCACCGTGGTAGGCTGAGCCAGTCCGCATACCCGACGACACCTTCCTTTCGAGGACAATCAGGAAAGTCAGGAACACCTCCCCGATCCGCATCGTGTGAGTACCGACGGTAGCTGCCTCTTGGCCCATCAACAGCAAGCGCAGTCTTTGCAGGGTCGAACTTGGCTGGTGGCCATTGTTCTGCTTGCGGAGGGAGCCCTCCAGGCTGCGTAACTGGTCTCCTTTCAGGCGATCTCCTTTTTTCAGTAGGGCTACGTGGTCCAGCGGGAACAGGCATTGGAGGCATGACCGCTGGCATCACCACCGAATTATTGACGTTGAACGTGGAGGCCCGAGAGCGAGAGCGAGAAGGGTCAGGGTCGCGAAGGTTCAGACGACTGGTACCGGGCAATAAATCATCGTCAGGGTAAGGCGTGGGTTTATCTTTTGCATCTCCACTGTCTCTAGGATCCTTGACCACTGGGAAGGTCTGCGAGGAGCGAGGCGGAGGAGGAGGAGGAAGGTCATCGGTGAAAGATTTGGTTGATACCCGCGGGGATGGCATGACTGCCTCGGGCGGCGCACGCGATCTGGATCTGCCTGGTTGTGATGGCCTGGCCTGCTCTGGGCTCAAAATGTTTTCTCTGCCTTCTTGATTCACAATCGACCTTCTCCTTCGAGCGTTGGCCGTTCGCGGTGTGTGCGAATAATCGCTGCTACTAGAGCCGCTATCATCTCTCCGTCGCGGCGAGTCGCGCTTGTAAGTTGGCGTGCGTTTCGATTCCCTATCGCGTTCTGACCGGTCGTACGGCGGTGATGGGTCTTTGTTTTCTGGCCGCTCACCTCGCGGTACCACACGCTCACGTTGATAACGGGGAGATTCGCTAACTCTATCGCCAGACAACTGCCTGGGCTCTTTGGAAGAATCAATGTTCGTGTTCGAGCGCCTGGAAGGCGGCGGGTTGGATGACGATGTTTGCCGCGTATAGTTGTCGTCAAATCTTCGTTGATCGGCAAGATTCGAGTGACTTCGTTGAGGTCGAGGAACGCCGTTCCGACCAGCCTGAGAGTAGTCATAGTACACTTTTTCCCGGCCTCCTGTGGCGTGCTTGATCACTTGAGGAGAGAGCAGAGTTTCGTTCGGCTGGCGCTTGTCATACTTTGAAAAGTAGTCAGACGGCTGCTGCTCTACACGAGTAGCGGACTTCGTTCGCTCATGTCTTTTGGTTCGGGGCTGCTCTGTTGTGACATCGGTCTCGATCCGAGGGAGATCCTGTCTGCTCTTCCTCTTTTCAAGCTCGGGCCGTTTGGGGCTGTCCATATCATCAGCCCGAGAGGTATGGTATTTCCTGCCAGTATTCGCTTCGTAATCGCCGTTCACTGCCTGTTTTCCGGAGCGTGGGCCACCAGAATAACTCGACTTGGCGTCATCAGACGAGTCTTCGTCTCCCTTCTCGCTAGCAGACTTCGGCACAATAACGAAACGGCGCTCGGGATTGTATTCGTGCACTTCCATAATTATTGGGTGCTGTTCAGCGTCGCCCCGCGAAGGAGGCTCATCGCTGGATGCTGACACGATGCTGCCGTGTTCCCTAAGGAGCGATGCCGTCTCATCTTCAACACTAGGAGGGGGAGGATAGTTTTTGCGATGAGAAAGTCTTAACGGTGCGTCGAAGAATCGGGGAATCTGGGGATCTGGGTTGTAGTTCGTGCGGGTAATACTCGAGTTATGAGGGGGAACCGCAGGTGGTTCCGTATCAGATCTGTCACTTGTGTAAGAAATTGGTCTATAGCTTTTCGCGGAAGTGTATGCTGGTTTGCTTACGGCTTGGGCGTTTTGGCCCTCGAAGTCTTGAAATAGCCATTCTGCAGAAGATCTTCGATATCGCGCGGTTCGTTCATTTTTAGTTTGTCTGTATGACCGGGTGTGAAAGCCACAGAATCTCAAGAAAATGCCGGGGGCTTTGGAGTCATTGTGCGTTTCTCGGGTTCAACGAATGCGGGAGCGTTATAGTGAGGCTTGTCCGTCAGCCGCCTCAGCCTTGTGAAACGTCCCGGTTCCTTCAGTCTTGAATAAGGAAGAATTGTTGAGTCAAAATGGGTAGCAACCGTTACTGCTAGCGAGGGTATTTGATAGTCAATCGAACTCTGAGAAGAAGTTCGAGCTGGCAAGGTCAGAGCCCAGTAAAGGAACGAGTAAAAGTCGAAGTATGCTCCGACTGGTCGAAACTGGGCAGATAGTTGTGTTTAAGGTATGAGTGGAGGTGGGAGGCACAGGAATCTGGGCGACCAGCTTTAGACACCGAAGCGGGTGGAAGGTCCGGCTGAATCGAGGAGGGCGTATCCGTAAGGTAAGATCGCTTTAGGTAGGTATGTTGTTTGGTGGTGTCAGGCGGGGGGGAGGGGGAAGGTGGGATATGGAAAGCGTTGAAGATGCGGCGTAGGCCCAAGTCCTTATTTGAACATGGTTGACAGGGGTGTGAGGGGAAAAGTGGAGGTGTGTCCCTGTACGATGTAGTGCCCCTCCATGATGACGGGGCTGCGGTGCTGGCATGTTGGAGGGTGGTACCTTGTCTCTCCCCCCACCGCCTACTTCTTTTTGTTTTTTTCCTTCTCTCCCCTTCCCTCCTCCAAGGCACCATCAGCTGCCCTGGGCGTTGGTTCCCTATCGTCGTTCAGGGCAGCCAACACAGCGTCAGTAAAAACATCAACAACAGCGAGAACGAAATTTTTGAAAACAGCATCAAATTGATCAAACCACGCCCGCTCGCGCTCTCAGAGGTCACTTTGGGCATAATGTCATCCTCGGCATTGATTCTGCTCCCAAAGAGCCTGCTCGTGGCCGCGGGCGGGCTCTGACCACGAAAAATTCGAGAGCAAGCCACAAAGTATGACACGTCAATAGACAACACCATCGACACCACCGCGGTTGAGTCACGGGCTATCACGTGAGCACAACGACCAAGCCCAAACAAACATCAATACTACAGCTACCGATAGGTTATGGGTCGCCTATCACCCCCGACAAAGTTTGCAACGTCCCGCGACAACAACGACGACAAGCCCGACAGAACGGTATCACCTCCTGCATAGAGAAAGCACCAGACACCAGGCATGCTACGATCGATGCCACAAAATACTACAGTTTGCAGACAGATTGGTCCCCTGTCGCCCCCTCCGCGAAGAAGGATTGTCGCCCCTTCAACGTATGACAATGTCTGCGGAATCTGTGTACGAGCTCTCATACTTAGTAATCGGACGAATCGAAGCGGTTGGAGCATTGTGTTTTGCGGATTGAGTCCGACTCCAGGCGGTGGATGGAGGTGGTGGTCGAAAGATGGAAACATAGAGCCACATAGGAACCCAGCATGAGGCAACAAAAAGATTTACAGATTCAACTGAGATATAGCACATGCGAGTCTGAGAGGATGCGGACAAGATAAAGAGACGAAGCTGAGGGCTGGGGGGAGACTATAGGTATACAGAACCAGACATGGTGCCTAGCACCAACAGAACCGAAGTAGGAGGACGCGAAAGAAGGATTCTAGAAGGCAACACCAAGCGAGAGAGCAGGCAGGAGGACAACAATCTTCAACAGAGGGCATAAACACACAAGAATAGATAGCATAGTGGGAGCTTGGGGACAGCTGGTCCTGATCCAACAACAGGGCGAAGTGGGGCGTCGCGGTTTATCGTCGATGCTTCGGCTGTCTGCCAAACCCCGCTTTCCGGGCATAGCTGCTAGCATAAGAGCGGCTTCATAACCGTGTAGGAATCAATCAATCAATCAATCAAACACAGCGTCAGTGCTTTGTGGTCACCGAGGTGACACCGTTCTCAAGACGCAACTCTTTGATGTTGATGTAAAGTTTAAAGGCAGGGTCCCTGGATACCATCCCATATCACCGCCGGCCACACCCTGCTCAATTGGTACTATTTTTCAACACGTCTATTATTATTATTGTTGTTGTTGTTATTCTTGGTTCAATCAACAACATCTTGGATAGCCGACCACCTCAACCAGGAAACAAACCAGGCACCTACTCTACTCCACTGGCAATGGCAGCATATGCTGATGACTGCTATTAGTATGTCACTGAATCATTACTCAGTTTTCGGGTCGAGAGTGGCAATCACTGGACACGAAAAAATGAGACCCTCTACCATTTCCTGTAGCCCTCCCCGACCTGCAGGATGATGGTCATGCCCAGGATGCGTCCTGTACGGATGGATGGGGCACCTCTAGTACTTAGTAGAGTCCAAGCCTGATGTTCAAGCGTGGAATGCAGTCGGCCCAAGTCCAAGGACTGCTTCATTTGCTCTAAGTCATACCCACTTTTCAGCCGGTTCTCATGCCTAGCATTGCGCACTGCATATGCTGGGAACCTGTTTAAGGGCAACGGCGCCATCGATTTAGGCGGTCGGCCTTGGTGAGCCTAGCCTGACTTCCCATGCCTACATCTTGCACAGTATCACAGCAGCGAACCTGGCGGTTTCCAATCATCATCTGTTGCACGGATTGCTCCCAGTCACTGTCATTCCATAAATGACGGTAATGTCTTATCGCATCCTGCTCTATCGGCCGAGAAAGCGAACGAGCTATCGATACTGACGTTGTGAGTACGAGGCAAGATGACAAGCACAGTTATAGTGGACTGATTGGGTATGGCAAGAACATGCGCCACGCGGAGTGCCCGTGTGCTTGGCCCAAGCCGTGGCAAAGAGGAGGCTTAATCGACGTTGGATCGAAGGTATACGGCATCACGGCAAATTCCCAAGGTTTATCGGCCTACAGTCGGAGCTCCAGGTTCCAGTACCACCTCGCGAGGATGGACGCCGGAAAATACGATACTGGAACCAACCGTTGAGCTGGTCCGAGATCACCGCGTCCGTGTGCAGGCGAAACATAACATTTCGTATCTAGGGTCTCTAGCCCCGATCAATGACAGTGGTTATGCAGCATCCTAGGTCATCTTACGTACCCTGACCGCGCCTGTTGAGGATGCTGTGTGGTCATGTCATACGCCGGCTTCACCCCACACCACCTCGAACACTTGCATACTCTCTATTACCCGCCATTCGCCCTCCAGAATTGGGTCATGCTCACAGCTAGCTGCTTGCGAACAGTGGACTGCTATCTCTGCGTTTTCTAGAACACTTGAGGTCTCTGATGAGTTAGAGCTGCAACCACTTGCGTAAGCATGTCACTAGAGCTTCCATCGACACCCTTTTATCCCATTGATCTGCACCAGTGCAAAAAGCGGTGGGATTAAATGTCAACATCCTTCTCCCGCCACAGCTGCTCATATCCATTATGACAGGATACTCAACTCGCAACCTCATTAATACAACCCTAGCACCGCTCTCTCCAGGCAATTCTGCCGAACCCAATTATGGTGGCCCGTGGGAGGTCATCCAGGCTTGTCGAGTACCGTGCATCAACTAGCATGCAATCAGATCTTTGGCATTCTGGCCTCTTAAAACGGCCGCAGCCTACTCTTCTTAGTATCACAATGTGATCCATTCCGCCTGGAAATGATAAAGCATGCGGGGCCAACACGGACATTGTCGTCGCACAAGGTTCCACAGACCTCTGTTTGTAGCTCTCTCGATACTTGATGTGTCGTCGCTGACACCGGCCGTGGATTGAAGTGGCTGTGGGGAAACAAGCTAACCGACGCCGAAATTGTGTCCAGCTTCCTTCAGATGCGGAGTCTGGGTTCAATCGTCGAAGGAAGTCATAAATGTTTTTTCGCTACGCACTGTACCTTGAAAACACACCGTGCTTTCACAATCAGGAGTCCGAACTCTGGGCGTTCGGCCTTCGGAAAGGGTTCTTTTCTCGACGAACGAGGGGCGCTGCATGTGCCGCACTACCTCAATGTCAGACGCTAGGCTGGGCATAACCTGATCTGGCTTCTGTGTGGATGAAGCCGCGTAACCCAAATCTGAGGGCAAAGAAGACTACTCCAAATATGGCGACCAAGAGGATAGCTGCTCCCTGCAGGGGATCCGAGATGACTCCTCTTACCACCAACAGACCACTAATGGCACTGAAAATGATGGGGTTGATCAGCCAAGTGCTATACTGGGCAGTTTTTGCCGTCGGTACACGTGTATCTCTACGCCGGAGGATGAGGAGTCCAACGGCCGACGAAAAGAAGATCATGTACGCTGCCAGGCCTGCGATGCGTCAGTTCAAGGTCGGATGAACTGCTTTTCAATCAGTTATGCCTTACCGATGAATGTGACAAGCCCATTAAAACTTCCTACAACGACATAAATGACCGACAATGCACAGTTTAATAACAGAGGGAAACTATTGTTCTTGTCAGCGGCGGCCTTACCGAAGGACTTGTCGCACTCACATAGGAACGTTCCTCCGCCAACGCCGATGCCGTGTCCACGATACGAACCCCTCTACAGGCCCTTTAATAAGGCTCGGTAAAGCAGAAAGCTGCTTGTCAACGTAGCCAGCCTCATCCTTCTCATTGCTGCAATGCAGATTGGCCAAGACGGCAGGGAAATATCCTCGCTGACTTGCAACGACCACAAGCTTGGCAGTAGCAAAGACGTTCGAGTTCAAGGCACCCATTGCTGAGATGGAGACTATCAAAGAAAAGAGAAGCCCAGCCCAGCTGCCGAGAATCCGATTCGCGAACTCCTGATCTCAAGTCAGCACGAGGCTCCTAACTAGTTTACACTAGCTGCAAAGCTTACCACTGCGACAGTGCTGCTTGTCCGCATGACGCTCATGGGCAGACAAATGTATAGAGAGGCGTTCATCAGCATGAAGCCGATGATTACAACAATCATGGAGCCATTGATCACTATGGGCAGGTCGCGTTGCGGGTTCTTCATGTCTCCCAGGACAAATCCGACCTAGCGATCTTTCAGCATCTGGCTCACAAACTTCAACCTGTCTTCGCTCTGGACGGGATTGGCACTCACCATTTCCCAGCCGGCATAGCACCACAGAGCACCAAAGGTTGCCGTCCCAAAGTTCCCCAGCCACTCCCACAGCCCAACTTGACGTCGGTCGGGGCTCTGGCCGAACCAGCCGTATTCAGACGACGGGACCCCTTCTCCATGGCCGAACGCCCAGACGCCGCACCCCAGAATAATGATGGTTGCAAGTGCAGCCATTTTCAGAAAGAGAAACAGATTAGCCGCCTTCGCGCCCGCTGTTGCGCCCAGACAGTTGACGAGTGTCATGGTAACAATGCACCCGGCCGAGACCAACTTTGATACCCAGCGTTCCGGTGGCTGGTTATCCGGGACGAAAGCTTCGGTGAGGTAGTCGGCGAAAATAGTAGCAATCATAGAGTTCGCCGCCGGCTTGATGATGATGCACCACACCCACGTGAACAGAAACCCGGCGAATTCGCCGTAGCACGCCCGGAGGTACTCTTGGATGCCCCCATTGTTGGGAATTCTCAACCCCAGTTCGATGAAAGATGCCGCGCCCGTCCACACGAGAAGCCCGCCAAATAACCATGCTAGCAGGCCGTACCCCGGGGCAGTAACAAACTGACTGATTTGTGAGGGCACACTGAATATGCCGGAGCCGATTTGTAGACTAATGACGATGGCCAAGCCATTGACGAGGGTGAGCTTCCGTGCAACCGCGGGGTGTTGCTGGTCATTGCTTTGGTCATCACCGGTGGCGCCACTGGGCCGTTGAAGGAACGGCGATGTTTCGTCGGTGCGGAGGTCCGCCATCGGGGGCTGAGATGCCCGAGCTGAAGGTTGCGAGTGTTGTTGGTAGGCTCAGCGTGCAGGTATTAAGGCCCATGTGACTACGCAAACGAGAATTGTTAGGGGGGAAAAGGACAAAAATATGCAATTCAGTTCTGAGGCTATCGCAGATCACTAAGCATTTAGTCGCGCATTGCAAGGAATTTAGGACGCTACACAGTCTCGGTTATAAGAAGGCTCGGATGCCGACTTTAAGAAGGTCGATTGCGACACTGGACGCGTGGTTTATCTCTGGCGGTTCTAGGGCAGTTAAAGGTGGTGTTGGCAGGGGTCTAGGCCCTCTGATAGCCACGATAGCATCTGCGATTCGCTGGATTGTGGTGGACTGAGTTGATGCGACGCTGAATCCATTGTGCAGAACCGAACTAACTACAGCTCTCTAAATGTCTTTGAGCCAATCGATCTGATAAGATTTTATTGTAAGGTTTGATCAATGCCTGGTCAGATTGGCTGGGATTACTACTGTTTAACATCAATATAAGCTATTGTGGCCCTCGCTTCAGCAACAAAATCTGAACAACGTTCTGCGCCCTGATGGTCTAGCGGTATGATTCTCCCTTAGGGTTGTTTCAACATCTCAACTTGGGAGAGGTCCCAGGTTCGATCCCTGGTTAGGGCCCAATTCTTTTGCTTTTTGTTGCATTGTCGACCTTTATCGAGTATGTCCTTCATCATATTAGTTGCCAAATCACTTTGGTCCTTTTCATTCAATGTACCCATTCTTACATGAAAGGTGCCTCGACTTGTAAGAAAATCCATAGCGGGGGAGCTCTTACACAAGAGGATTTTGGAATGTCATCCAGGCTGGCTTTTACACATGGCGGCAAAGTGGCGATGCACTACTGAGAGAAGGCATACATACACACATAGACAGTTGCGAAGGAGTCTCATTTGCTTCTGTCGTCTCATCGATATACCCTGGACATTAGACAGATGACGCTACGGTCAAACTCTCATTGGCGTGCTGCTGCGATACCCCGCGCGATAGCCGATGAACTTTCGAACTCTGCGGATCTTGTTGCTTCATTAGGATTGAGGGGTATCGGCACTTCGAGAATCTAAAGGTAGGCGGCCGCATGCTTTTCGGCTTCAGCATGTACATAAAACGGCTGAACTCCCACTCCTGCACACCGGTAGTCTCCTTCTCAGGCAAGCAAGTTAGTTCTATTCTGATGGGTCCGCCCTCCTGGTATGCTTCTCATCCAGGCGCACGCCGCCATGTCAACTCCTTCATGAGCAGACGACTCATCAGGATCCCTTGCCTGTCAACCGGCAGCACCTCTTTGCGAAGGCAACGAGCCGCACGACAATAACCGCACAAGATCCTTCGTCGCCGTTTCCACTGTTGGATCGAGCCTGCGGATTTTCTTTGGGTCTGTTTCTTCCGGGACTACAGAGTCAACATCACTAGTAGAAGCCAGCTAGGCAACGGTGCTGGTATACTGTCCAGAGTACATCGTGTCCCGTCTTCACCTGCCGACCTCCTACTTGTCGGCCACGACAGTCGTTTACGACAAGTCATTGGTTCTGGTGTGTTTTTGGATTGGAGTAGGGGGAAGTGGGAGAGGAGTGGATGAGATGCTGGGTGAGATTCAGTGGGTTTGGTTGTAGAGTGTGCCTGGGTTTACTGAGGAAGTCTTGGAGGACTGTCAGTTATAATAATGTTCTTGTCGCAGCCAGTAAATGCAAACTTGCTTGGCCCTTAGTCTTCTCGAGTGTGCCATGGAAGCTGTGAAAATGAATCGTGTTGATGAATGATCTTGAAACTGGGTTATGATCTGCAATTGGATGTGTAAGCTAAGCGGCTGTTGGCTGTTGGTGGTTATCCATGGGTATCCGTATCTATTTTTGTCTGTAGCAAACCTCGATTCTTCCGGCTTTTCATTTGTTTGGCTTTCTATTGCCTTCACAAGAAGAGTACAGTTCCAGTGCATGGATAGGCCTCACACCGAATCCCATGATATTCGGCAAGATTGAGCTAGTAGTTAGTGAAAGAACAGACGGCATGCACCACCTCCGAGGACCATGTTTTCGTGCATATTTGCAGTTGCACTCTTCTCCAATCGGCTGGAAGACATCTTGAGGTGCTGTGGTCGAAGCTGCCTTTGGTAATGTGAGAGTGTAATTGGCGACTCGATCTTTCAGGGGTGACAGACTATGGGTCAGTGGACCACACTGTCCATCTTTGGCATTGTCAACACTGTGATCCACAACTACACGTGACTCAAAGCCCAACCCGGGCACAATTCGCTAACAGTGGTACGTACCTTAGGGTCTCCGCCCACCAAACGTGCGGAAAAAAATCACAGGTGAAATTTATCGCGAAGCCAGAAAGTGCCAAACTTCAACCCCGTCACTAACCCAGCAGCACTGAAGCCCACCGTTGACCCAGGTACGTTCAATTTTTCATTTCCCCTCTCCGAAAATTTACCACATTAGCAAGGCGTCTCGGCAATTGATTTTTCTTCTTTCACTTCTTCTCCTCCTCCCAGTACTAATCCGTCGTCCGTCGATAGGGTCATTCAACGATTCAAAATGGCTTCGAGACCTACCGTCACCATCATCGGCAAGGATGGCAAGTCCTCCGGCAACACCCACACTCTGCCCGCCGTCTTCCTGAGCCCTATCCGTCCCGATATCGTCCAGGAGGTTCACAAGGGTCTGGCCAAGAACAAGCGCCAGCCCTACTCCGTCAGCGAGAAGGCCGGTCACCAGACCTCTGCTGAGTCTTGGGGAACTGGTTAGTGGTCCCGACATCGCGTGTGCAAAGTCCGCTTGGAGGAAGGCGAAGGAGGCAGGGAAACGACAGCGAGGAAACCTCGGGCAGGAATCTGAAAAGGAGTCGAAGTGCTGCTGGAACGAAAACTGCCTGGGGGATCCGGTCGAAAATTTTCCTCCCCTTCGTCCTCGCGACAAGCTTGGAGTGGAGGCACCAGAGACTCGAAGGAGCATCAAAACTGACGGATGTGACAATAGGTCGTGCTGTTGCCCGTATCCCCCGTGTCTCCGGTGGTGGTACTCACCGTGCCGGTCAGGCCGCCTTCGGTAACATGTGCCGTTCCGGTCGCATGTTCGCTCCCACCAAGACCTGGCGCAAGTGGCACGTCAAGGTCAGCCAGGGCCAGAGGTAAGTTTTTTTTTTCATCCTACTGCCCACTCTTCCCCCACCATGGGGGAAGAGTGGGGGAGTTGTCTCTCATTGAAAAGTACAGCGCCAATCTAACATTTTTGTCAGACGCTATGCTACCGTCTCTGCCATCGCTGCCTCCGGCGTTGCCCCTCTCCTCTTGGCTCGTGGCCACCAGGTCGCCAACGTCCCTGAGGTCCCCCTGGTCGTTGACTCCGCCCTCTTCGAGAACGCTGCCATCGCCCGCACTTCCGCTGCTGTCGCTCTCCTGAAGACCGTCGGTGCCGCTGACGACGTTGAGAAGGTTAAGGGCTCCAAGAAGCTCCGCGCCGGTAAGGGTAAGCTTCGTGGCCGCCGCTTCCGCCAGCGCCGTGGCCCCCTCGTCATCTACGATGCCGAGGTCGACGGCAAGGAGCTCGTCACTGCTTTCCGCAACGTCCCTGGTGTCGAGACCTCCCCCGTCACCGCCCTCAACCTCCTCCAGCTCGCCCCCGGTGGCCACCTCGGTCGCTTCGTCGTCTGGACCTCCGCTGCCTTCAAGGCCCTGGACACCATCTACGGCACCACCACCACCCCCTCTGCCCTCAAGAAGGACTTCCTGCTGCCCTCCAACATCGTCAGCCAGGCCGATCTGGCTCGTCTGATCAACAGCTCCGAGACCCAGTCTGCCCTCCGGGAGCCCAAGGGCTACGCTCTGACCCGCCGCTCTGCGGTCCAGAAGAAGAACCCTCTGCGCAACAAGCAGGTCATGCTTCGTCTGAACCCCTACGCCTCGGTATTCGCCAAGAAGGCTGCCGAGAAGAAATAAGCGAATTATTTCTCTTGCGTGGGTGTCTGACGACGGTGGTGGAACGGAGGTTTCTGAAACGGACGGGGCTACATTTTAGCATGGTTTGTGCTTGAGGCGTAATGGCAACTAGGAAATGTTGACCTCAATTCATCAATGGACAAATGATTCCCTTGAATTTAAAAGTTGGTCTTGCCCTGGACCGTGACGACTCATTCCACGTGATTATGACTTTTTTCTCTGCTTTGTACATCTCAATCTTACGGTAGTGACCGCCAGGTAGCTACAAAAAAGTTCTCTACAATCATTTATTTGCCTGTCTTGGACGTTTCTTGTGATGTGATTAGCTGCCTGTCACTATAAAGTTTGCTTAGATCATCAAATTCGTTACCACTTCCCAACCCAACTTTCCCCTCCCCCCACATCTATCTTAGCATCCCATCCACAGGCCAAGGTTACCCAGACCTTCCATTGACGCTTCGTCAGGAGCGACAAAATCCCCAAGCAACTCTTCAATCTCCTCCACCTTTTTGATTCTCCAGAACGCCTGGATCGCATCCGAGAGTCTCTGCGAGCAAAGGTCCACATTCTCCTCCGACTCCGCCGCGAAACACAGACGGAAGTAACCCCAGCCCCTCTCAGCCTTAATCTCAGGCGTGGCACTGAACATCATACCAGTGCTGATAAGCACGCGGTACGGCTTCTGCGTCGCAAAAATCATGAGTGCGGTCGACAGCTTCTCACCGTCGAGCAACGGCAAGATCTTGCCGCCCTTGGCCATCCAGAGAGGATGCGCTTCGAGGCGTACCCGCAGCCAGATGAACATACCGCCGCGGGGCCAGCTGAAGTCGTAAAGACGAGTCTTGCTGACGACGCCCCATTCGGCGTCCTCGGCGCTGCGCGGCGTCGATTGCTTGATCTGGATGGCGCCGTCGTCGAGGATGGAGGACATGCGGTTCATGCGGCGCTCGTAGACGCCGCGAAGGCCCTCAAGCCAGCGCACCCAGCCATCCATTTGCCAGCCCTCAAAGGTCTGCTTCTGACGCGAGGTGAGGGCTGCAAAAGCAGACCTTACCGCTGGGGGTTGCTCGCCCATGATCAGCTCTGCAACGGTGGATTGCACGAAGCCGGAGGGCTGCTGAGTAGTGACCTCTGTGATTCTGCATGCTTATCAGTACAAAATATTCCATATACTGAATTTTGGTTTTTACTCACCTCAACAGACGTTCAATGATAGCCGGCTGTGCAGTAATCCAACCCAGGCGGCAACCCGGAGCAATGGTCTTGGAAAAGGTATCGAGACGAATGACTCTACCATCAACGTCAATGTTCAAGAATGACTGCGTCAGCGAGTCCAAGAACCGATATCCCGACGACTTGCCCGGCTTAGAAACCGACCGGGTAGGCTTCGGAGGCGGCAGACCGCGGTGCTTGGCCTCGGCCTGAGCCGCAGACGGGTACTGCAGGTACCAGTACGGGTCATCCTCGACGATGATGACATCGTACTTGCTGGCAATCTCATAAAGTTCTCTGCGGCGCTCAATAGGGAGCACGCCGCTGGTCGGGTTGTGACCCATACTAACGTCACGTGTTAGCACGCTCATGCATACCAATAACATGTCTCACCCTGGGGGGAGGGAGGGTGTGGCGGAATGAAAAAAAACTCACGTAACGGTGTACAAGAAATGCGGCCTCCGCCCATTCTCTTCATCCCAGCCCGCCAACAACTCTTCCAACCCGCCGGGACCGTAGGCAATCATGCCTACCTCGTCCATCTCAACGGGTGCGACTTGGATCCCGCGCGGCAGGATCTGCGTCAGGACTTGGCTGTACACAAACACCTCGCATATCATGCCCTGTCTCTCCCTCACGTCATCCTTTGCAGGGTTCCAAGGGTTCGTCAGCAGCTCCAGGACCTTGGAGAAGCCGTCGGTCGAGCCGCAGCTGAGAATCACCTCGGGCCCGCCCAGGTAGGGGACATTGGGGTGCAAGTGCTCCCGCGTGAACTGTCTCACGAATGACCGGAGGGGAGGGTACCCCTCGGCAGTGCCGTACTGCAGGGCGGTAGCGACGTCAATGCGCCGGAGGGGGTCGCGCTCGGCGTCGCTTCCGGGAACAGTGACATGTCGCGCTGCCTTGACGTCCTTTTCTTTATCTTTGTTTGCAGCGCTGTTGCTGCTGCTGCTGCTCCGGATCGGCAGCGCCGCGGCGCCGTTGGGCGCGGTGAAACCGGCGTCGTTGTCGGGGATCGGGGACGGCTCCCATCGTTCGGGTTTCGCCGCTTGAGCTTCAAGTGTATCGAACGGGAACAAGCTCGAATGCGGAAGACCTGTGAGGGGGCCCTTCCCCCAATTGGGTCAGCGACTCATGTTCCTGGTACTTTTTCTTCTTTTTTGGCCTACGTGCCGGCATCGGTCGGGGGAGGTGAATTGGCATTGGGGGGATTGGCGGCGCCGAAAGCACGCAACCCAAGGTGTGCATTACGGCATGTATTGCGGCATTCCTTCCCGTATCACGCACACGCAACGCGGAGATGTACTTGACGCCGTGCAACATCCATCCGTGATAAGGACAACCGCCAAAAAAGAAAAAAGAAAAAAGGAAAAAAAGAAAAAGAAAAGAAGGGCAGAAAGATGAAGAGAGACGCAGAAAACTCACCTCCAGCCAGGTTTCCAATACCCGGGATCTGGAAGAACTTGTAATACTCCTTCATCTTGCTGGGGAGTCTTCGCTTGGTGACCTCGGAGTAATGGTGCTCCAGGTTCAGAGGCGGCCTCTGAGACGACGAGTCCATTGCGGCGTTTGACATGTTGTTTAACGACAACGACTGCGGGCGATAAGGCTTGAATGGCAGAGCTGTCGCCGGTTGCATCGGCGGCATGGGAAATTGGCGATTGAGCTTTTATCTCGCGACTGTGGAATGTGTTCGAGGCGCGTGTTTGTGCTTGTGGAGACTAGTAAAAGAACAAAGAAAAGTATCTGCCCGGGTTTGTAAATCTCTCGATACCAAAGACGGGATCGATCGAGATATATGAGAAGCGTTAAAAGTAAAAGGGAAGAAAAAAAAGAGCTTCGAGATTGAAAGAGTCCAAAGAGCCCCCGGGCCGCCCCATCAACCCCCAGATTACAAATCGTCATCCATCTCTTAGGACGCCCCAATGGGGAAGCTCAAGATTGGCTCCGCCTTAGATGGCATTTGATAAGGGCGTTCCGAGGGAGGCGTTCCTCCGGGGGGAGCGGCGAGCCTTTCAGTGTATGGCAGGGATCTTTAGTGGGTGACCGAACAATGACTAGCGAGTTCGGATTGTCACCGAATCCGACGTGTCGGGGCTCTCGGTCTGCCAGACCAGGTGAACCCCGGTTTTTTTCAGTTGCAGGTACACTGTCAAAGTTCAGATCGAACCAACAACGGTTCTCACATTAACTCAAACTCTATAGCTTGAACCAACTTCAATCCGCGTCAAGTAACAACAGTCTGATTAATGGAGCTATACACGCTCCAAATTTTTGCTCTAACGGTATGCCTAATACGTAGGCCGTACAAGTACAACAGGGAATCGTCATCTGTGCTTCATTTTCCCGAGTCCTCTTCCAAAAACTAAAATGCCGTGACCTCCGTCCCCTCACGTGCCAAAACGCCATGCTAAAATCATACAAAAAAAAACTGTCCATACAAAATCCTCCACCGTCATTCCTCGGCAACTGTTCTTCTTTATGTAATGCCCTCTTACAGGTATGGCATCCAGAGCGCATCGCACTGGGCCAGGTTCATGGGGTTAACAGCCTTGGCAACCAGATCAATCACCGTCTGGTTTGCCGGCAAGTTGCCGACGGGGCTCTGCGCCAGGCTGACGGCGCGCTTGACAACTGAGTCGCTGTTGACCTGGACTGATTCGCGGAGCTGGTTCTCCGTCATCTGAACCGTCCTATGCGAGCTCGTGAACCAGAAGATCATCTCGTCACGTACGAAGAGCGTGAGAGCGTGCTCCAGCTCGTACTCGGGCTCGGTGAGACAGCGGGCGATGGCCATCAGAGCACAGCTGAAGATGCCCTCCGTGGCCAGCGGTCCCATTAGCGTCTGCAGGTTGGGTGTCAGGCGGAACGGCACCGGCTCGGGGTTGTGGAAGAAGGGCTTCGCGGCGCTCATGTAGGCCATGAGCTCCGAGCCCCAGATGTTTCCGGATCCGCGAGCGATGTTGATCTTTTGCGGGTACCGGTTGTGCATATAGAGGATGTAGGTCATGAAGGTGAGTGACGCAAGCTGGTACGAGAATTGTCTACGGAACAGCCAGAACTCGGTAAAGTCGGGGAAGGCTCTCTGGAAATACTCCAGGGCCAGGTTGTGAGGAACCCACTTCTCTTGGATGGCATTGAACACCTCAAGACGTGCGGTCGCGCTCTGTTCGGCATGCTTGGAATTCTTGGTGTCAAGGACGCCGCGCAGCTTCTCCATCGTAAACAGCACGGGATCGTCCTTGGACATTCCGTGGCGTCGGCAGTGATCCTCGTATACACTCTGGAGAGTGATGTATGATGTATCCTCCTGAACGATGCGGATATGCGGCGCCAAAGGAACCATCAGTGGCAGCGTAAACTGAAGGTCGCGGCGGCGACTCTCCTTCCTTCTGCCCAGGGTCTGGTTCAGTTGTCTGAAGAGCTGCAAGATGCGCTCTTCGCGACGGCAGTGTCTAGCGGCAGGGTGCTGGACGGCCCATGAGTGGATGCTTCCATCATGACCGCGCATCTGAAGACGCCGGTAAGAAGCACTGATAGACCTCACAAGATCCACATTAGGCAAGAAGCGCTCGATGCGGATAAAGTCTTGGTTCTTATCCTTGTGTTGCAGGTACTGGCCAGGAACCTCGACGTCGTCAAACCTCTGGTAACGGAACTCGGAGAGGTGAGGCGAGAAGGCTTCCAAGGAGACTCGAGTAGTCCTACGGTCTAGTTTCTCTTCGAACTTGTTACGCCAGCGCCTCAACTTATGGATATACTCGTACATTGTGGGCTTAACATCCACAAAGTCGGCTTCGAACGACTTCTTGATGTGAGCGGGAAGAATCGTCTCGGCGAAACGCGTGATGTTGGTCTCCGTAGCGGAAGGAAGCTTGACATCCTTGGCAAAAGAAGATGGCATGCGGCTGACGTAGGCGAGCGCATCGTTGAGCAGTGCAACAATGAGTCGGTAGGCGTCCTCGTCGGGCGGGCACTTAAAGTGCTTCTGGATCTGGTCCACCATGGTCTCCATTGACAACGCAAGCAGAGGGAAAGCTGTCTTCAGTGCACTCATAATTTCCTCGGTAAGCTCCCAAGGAGGCTTCTTCTGGCCAGCACCAGATTGTTGCTGATCGGCCTGGGCACCATTGGCGTTGGCTTGAGCGGCAGGAGTTCCATTGGCCTCGTTGCCCTCGGTCTTAACGGTGGCATTCGCGTCTCCCCCGCTAGCAGTGCCCGGTCGGGAGCCAGAGGCATCCGGCTTCACAACACCGTCCTGCTTTGGTTGTTGCGGTGACGCGCTGGGCTTGCTGTTAGACACCGTCGATTGCGCACGCTGGCGTGCCTTCTCCTTGGCCTCCTGGTTCTTCTTGATAACCAGCATGTCCTCTCTGCTCGTTCGAAGCTGGAAGTACAATGCTTGAGGATAAGACCTGGCGATTTTGACCAAAATCTGATGCACCCTAGGTGCTTCCTTGTGGCCAAGTCCTGTGAGAAGCTGAGGAATGTATGTGATCCAGTACCAGACGGGAGTTTCGCCCTTGAAATCGTCGAAGCCAGCAGCGATAGAGCCGTTGGCATCGTCGAGGCTGAGGAGCCACAAGATACGAGCGATGAGCTTGCGTGACTTCGCATTCTTGTAGCTTCCAGCAGCTTGGAGATAAGACGTAAGGGCCTGTCTCGCAGAGTTGATATCCGACGGGTCTTCCTTGTACTTGCGCTCGTTGAAGTAGCCCCATTCGGCCCAGGCCTTGGCGGCGGTGATATCGAAGTACAAAGCAGTGCCGTAAGCGGAGTCGGCCTCCTCTTTCTGCTTAAGCTTTTCAAGGAACATACCCTTGAGCGTGTAGAACTCGGCCTTTTGCGGCGGGTTGAAGTAGTTGAGGTTCGTATTGTTGATGACATCCAAACCACTTGTGAGCTCTTCTGGGTTCTCGTAGTGGCACTTTGCTTGTTCCCGCAACTTAAGGAAAGCCTCCTGGATCTCAATGTTGGGAAGCGTGTAAATCCTGCTAAGCTGTGTGATACAGACTTCGGGCAGGCTGTGCTTGCGGGCAACATGTGCGAAGCGGTTGATGATCCAGGCCGTCTCGTGGTATCCGCGGTAAGCAAAGGACGCACCGCTGGCGTTCTGGCCACCTCCCTGGGGTAGCAGCTGGAGGTAAGTCTGGTTGATGAGACCAAAGATGTGCTGGCGCCAAGTGACAAGATCTTGCCAAGCAGTGATATCGTCCCACACGTTAGGCAAGCGATCACGCCAGGCGCCGAGCAGCAGTTTCAGTTCTCCGGACTTAACGTCGAGATTCGACTGGTTGGTGCTCGCCAGACTGTTACAAATGACGCTAGCATCGTGTAACTCGACAAGTTGCTGGAAGTTTTGGAGCAGCGGGATGTGTGCCTTGGTAAGCTGCTTCGGCAACTGATGCCACTTCCTGATCGAAAGCTGAATGGCTTCGTCACAAGACTTGGCAAACTCCTGAGCAGATTCTTGCTTGTTGTAGTACTTCAGGAGTGACATGAAAGCCTGGAAGAAAGCACGTCGGGGCGTCGGCGCATCCATGACGCCCTTGATGAGGTTGTCCAAAGCCTCCCGGTGCTCTTGGGTCTGCCACATTTCGGTGTTGTTCCTCCAGGCGCATTCCAGAAGCAAGTCCTGGAAATTTTCGTGCTTGGCGAAGTCCTGGAGAATCTCCCACTGCTGCAGCTTCTGGGCGCACAACACCCAATGATCTTCCCAGAGGACGTACTCGCCTTGTGAGAAGGGTATGACTCCAGTTCGGGCTTTGATCTGAGCAGCCTCATACATCTTCTGAGCCTTGTCCCACATTCCATTTTGTTCGTAGGACAGAGCAGCGTTGGTCTCAACGAACTGGCAGCGCCTACGCCACGTGCCGTAGAACAAGTCGTCTTCCTGAAGGGAAGCATACAACTCCACGAGAGCGTCAAGATTACTTTCTCTGACAACGGCTGATTCAATCTCCGGCTTGATAGCAGCGTTCTCAAGTTGGACAAGGGCAGTATACCACGCGTCGTAGGTTTTGGCTTCGTACTTGAGAACGTGAGGAGGAATCTTACAGTCGGGCCACGCCTTGGCGGCACCCTCAAGCAAAGATTGGACCACGTTGGGTCGCTTGTCAATCTGGCGGCTGTGGTAGTCCTTCGTAAGAAGCGCAACCATGCCACGCTCGAGGTCGGTGCGCTCTTCCTTCATGGTTGCAGACCAGTAGATAGGGAACAGCGCAACCCACAGCTGATGGGCCAGAGTAGAGTCGATGTGTTGAAGTTGTGTCAGGGGTTCAATGAGGTCGCGAACCTTGACATCGCCAAGCTCACTCATGAAGCGCCGGTGGGCGGTTATCAGAGCGTCTAACTTATCGTCTGACATATTGGTAGGTTCCCTGGTGTCCTTGGCATGGATCGAGAAAATCTGATTGAGGGAGAGGGTCCTGAAGTCTTCGTGGTGAAGTTGGATGCTGTTGTTCAACTCCACCGCGCCGAGAAGAAGATGCGATGCTTGGGCCAACCAGTAACTCTCACCCAAAGTGTCCCAGTTTTGAGAGGTGAGAACGTAGGCAAGACGGGCGCTGGCAGTCTTTGAGAGGCTCTTATCGAAAATGGCCATGAACCGGTTGCGCATATCAACATCCTGAGCACGAGTACCAATGAGGAAGGCATGCTCCATACGAACTGTCAACTCCGTTCTCGTGATCTTGGGGTCCTCGTAGATGCGAATGACTAGCTCCAGGAACTTGGTGAGCATGGTCGGGTCTTGTCTGTGCTCGAAGGAAAGCATCTTGTGAAGGACGGCAGTCTTTTCTTTGAGGGTGGGCCAAGTGCCTTCGGACCGGAAGACCCAGCCTTCCACCATGTTGAGGATCTCTTCACAGAGCGGAATGTGCATCGACTTCTCAACTAGTGTCGCCAGAACACTCAGGAAAGGGCGTCTGTTGTCGCCCAAAACTTCCATTCGCAGAGCAACGACTTGGATGGCCTTGAGCATAAGGGATGTGGACACCTCGAGGTCATAGCTTGACATTTCACCGGTTGGCGTGTTGGGGTCCTGGGCCCGAGGAGGCTGTCCAGGCTGATGGTTGGCAACGGCCGTGTAGTGCTGAACATGCTCGCGCGCAAGCTTGCTCTGGAGAGCCTTCATCAAGACGGGGATGTGCTGGTCGATAACAGTCGGCTTTCGGTTGCCCAATGACCACAGGATGTTGACTCCAGATCCGTAATGGCCGGCTGCCATGGCTTCACCAGCGATTGTCGAGAGAGACTGAACGATCTCAGACATTTGGGATTCAGATTCACCCTCAGCATCAGCGTCCTCCATTGGCACGTCCTCAGGCACGGCTTCAAGAACCCTCTGGATTATTGGCTTGAGATCCCGGTCATCATCGTACTTCTTGTCTGCAAAGTGGAGGCAGTCTTGAAGCTCGGGGTTTTCGCTCTTGAGAGATTTATCTAGCACCTTTTGGATAGACGTCATATTCCGTTGAACCCAGTCATCCGACTTGAAGTTCAAAATGATGCGCACGACCTGAAGAGTATTGATAATGTTCGTGATGAACTTCTCGTCAAACTTCTCCTTGTCAGCAGGGTCTGCTGAAAGGATGCTCTGCGTCTTTTCGCCGGCCAAAACCACGTCGGTGACATTGGGGAAGAGGTCAACGTCCAGATCGCCCCAGTATTGTGGCTGGAGCAGGTTGTAAAACAGAGTCATGGCCTTCTTGCACAGTTCTGTGGAAGGGGGTGGCATGGCTGGGCCGTTGGTGGATACTGCATCCCTTGCCCGTGTGGAGGGAAGCTGGTAGCGCTCATTAAGCTGGGCGATGAATTCAACCAGATACTTCACCATCCTTTGCCGGCCAGGCGTTGGAATGATGTACTCTGCCCTCTCCGGGTGCGATTGTCTAGCGGAGGGAGGCGAGGACATGGGCTGGTCACTATCCAATTTCCGCTTCTTGGACTGTGGTGACTCGGAGATAGAGCGCGAGACTGCGTCTCCCGTGCCCTCGACACGTCTCTGCTCCCAGAGCCAGATCAACCACATCATGTTGAGAGCCAGCTTCTTGGACTCGTTGGAAGGGTTGGGTGGAGCAGCAACCTTCCTCAAAGACTGGATAATGAGCATGACATACTTGTCCCTAGACTCGTAGAACAAGTCCGGGTGTCTAACCAAGAAGTGGAAGATGCTCGTCATCTGCTGCACGTTCTGGCCTTCATCGGCAAGAATCTTGCGAGGTGCTAACGCCCATCCAGCATTGCGATCGTTGGGTTGGGTACCCAAGCGCTTAGGTAAAACAGGGGCAATCAACTCCAGAGCTTGAGTGACTAGGGCCCTACCTTCGTTTTGGTTTGTTCTCAGGAGAGAGAGGTATACCTGGGTGACAATCTTGACTGGAGTTTCATACAAGGCGATGAAGTACCCAATGACGACGTAGGCGGCATGCTTGTTGATGACATCGTCCAAACGAATAAATGTCCAGCAGCTCTTAATGATGTCCTTTCTCGCTTCTTGGAAGATGTAGGAATGATACTTCACCAGCATTGCAGAGAGCTGGAGAACCTCAAACTTGGTGTGATCAATACCAGGTTGGGCAATGTCATCGTGGTCATGTTGACTGGTGTCTTGGTGCGTCTTCCAGATCTTCGCTGTGATCGCGTCGATGATAGCCTTGTCCATGAATCGACCCTTAGTCTGCGGCGGCTGGTTCCAATGCCGTTGGACATCCATGGCCACGATTGGGTTGACAATGTAGTGCAACAAGAAACACTTCATCTTCTGAGAAATGTTCTTTGTGGGATAAACATCAAGACACTTGAGGACCGTGGCTTTCCAGAAGTCGACAGAGTCACTGCTGATGATGTTCTCGTAGATGTAGGCGATCAAAGGCTGCGAGGCGCGGAAGTCGTCAGTGGTGACAGAATCCACCAAGTTGAACAGGGGCTCGAGATCTCGAGGGTTGCGCTCCAGTGACTTGATAAAGATCGTCATCAACTGCTCTGATGCTTGGCATGCAGGGAGTCTGAGGTTGGGCGCGAGAGTGTGTGCCCGCATCTGCTTCTCCAGCTCCTTGCCAACCTGCTTCAACCAGTTCAAATGCTCCTTCTTTTCCAGCCATGCGGCGGACCCGGATGACTGAGTAAGCGAGTACAGAACATGGATGGCGTTGACCACGGCGACGAACTTGGTGTCCTTATTTTGAGAAATCGTGCTGTTGCAGAAGTCGATCAGACCCTGGACGTTGCCTGACACGGTTTCCCGAAGAGGAGCACTGTCTGGATGACGGATGACTTGTGACAAGAATCGGCCGTATTTAAGGTCCTCAAGTTTTGGGAGGAGGAAGGACCAGACCTCGTTAGGATAGCGGTTTATGAATTTGTACAACGGCGCGCGGAAGGGGCTTTCGTGTGTGCGACGCAGCTTCTCCTCGAGTTCCAGAGACAAGTCAATGAGTCTCTGCTTGAAGCCCTCTGCCTGGGGAGGCAACAGATGGAAAATGTTAAAAACTGCAGCAACAATCTTCATCTGCTGGTTCTGTTCGAAGAATGTGAAGGCGAGCGGTTGAAGAACCGTGGGGTCTGCGAGAACCTTCACATGGTCAAGCAGACGCGCTCCAATCTCTACCTTGAAGTACGTGGTCAGAAGCTTCAAGAGACGGCCTAGGTTGTCCAGTCCGTGAGTAGTGAGCTTCTTGGCATCTTGGAGACTAGCAAGGACCGGTCGAAGACCGCCCTGAAGGAGATCCTTGGGGAGTTTCTGGTGGGCCTCGAGGGTGTTCTTGAGGGCGCTGTTGGCAGCATCAATAGTAGCCTTAGAGTCCGAGTATAGGCACTTGAAGAAGACCGATACAATCTTGGAACGAGTCGGGTGACTTCCCTGCTTGAGAGGAGCAAACTCCTCAAAGCTAGTGGCGGTGCTGAGAATATTGATGCAGGCCACGCGAAGATTGACAATGTACTCGTGCGTTCTGAACTCTCCAGGCTTGTTGGCCAGAGATTCGTCACTGGCGTCGGCCAGGGCCAACGACTCCATAAGCAGTCTGGTCAAGTTGTCGTCGAAAGTGACCCACTCCTTCCTAAGCGTCATGTGGTATGTCATCGCATCAATATACCCGATCTGGATAGGGAACGGCAGAGCTCGAAGAGGCTTGGAGTAGATAGGCTGGAGGAAACGCTCCTTATAGGGTTCGATCAACTCCCATACTGCGCAGTTGGCTGCCTTGGCAATGAGCTCCAGAGACCGCTTTGCAGTCTCGCGAACATGGCGGTTCATGTGTGACAGCTCTGTGTTGAACTGCATGCAGATCTGGGCGAGCCGGGACCTTTGCGGCGGCTGACCCGGGGTTTGCGGGGGTAGCGCGTCCTCCTTCTTGATGTTCTTGGTGATCCTCTGTAGCAGGGTCTCGAGAGTAACTTGCGCAGACCTTCTCGTCTTCTCCGGAAGATCCTGAGGCATATCCTTAATGACGTACATGAGGGCCCTGATGAATTCGGTCTGCTTGCTCAAGATCCACTGATCACCGAGATCCAACTCCGTCAAAAGGAAGTTGATGCCCAAAGAGCCACCCGTCTTGGTGAACCACTCCTCTTCGTAGCAGCCGTGGCAGAATGTTGAGCTCAAGTGGCTGAAGAACTGCAACCTTGCAACATTCTGTTGTGATCCGAAAATCGTCGCGGCAGAATCGTACACCTCACGGATTGCGCGCTGCGCAGACTCTCGCACTTCTGGATGGTCCGAAGCCAAAGATTCCACAATTGCGTCGGAGAACACCCGGGTATCAATAAAGAGTGGGCCCTCGCCAGCATTGGGATTGAAAGGACTGTAGATTCGCTTCATTTCCACCAGAGTACGACCAACTTCAATGATCGTAAAGTGCTTGCAAATGTTCATCAGGAATGCATTGGCTTCCTCCTTAAACTCAGGCAAAGACTCAGCAAACATGACTGCCTTCAGCAGGCGTCGGAGTAAGTCATCCTGTTCGTCTTTCTTGGGTATTGACCTTTCTTTGTCAGATGCTTCAAAGGCGGAAAAGTCAAAATCCAACTTCTTCTGGAGGAGATCCTGAGCTTGGAGGCGCAAAAGTCTAGGCATATCGTCAGGTAAGTTCTCGAAGCCAATTCTCAACTTGAGCTGGGACTTGATGAAATGGAAGGATTGCTTCTTGTAGTAACCGTCGTACTGGCGGGACTGGTTGCCCTTGCTGCTCTTTGGCTGCTCCATCAGCTTCCGGATAGCCATGTCAACGCCAGTTTCTGCGGGGAAAGCCCTATCCTTTTTGGAACCGATGAGGCGGATATCAAAGCTGGTAGGGTCATCGGCAAAGGTCTTGTAGGTCAGGGGTTGCGCATCCGTCATAAACTTCCGGTTACGGCCTCCGAGTTTGCCCAAAATGCGCATTGTTGTGTGTGCGTGGAAGTGACTGTAAGGGTGCGGCTTGAGATGGTCGAACAGAGCAGTCATGAGTTCATCAATGACAGGTGCCATGATGGGATCCAGATAATCTGCAGTCAGGTTATCAACGCACAGCTCCAATGTGCGCAGGCCTTGACCAACGAGATCAGTGCCAGCTCGCAAAGCAACAACCAACGGGCGCATCAGGAAGCTGAGATGAGGCAGCAGGTTGCTTAACCGTGCCGGCACCGTCAAGCACAGCTCCACATAGAGGTCCCGCTCAGCAGGCTTCCGTGCTGCCATCAAGAGGTTGTTGAGTACATCCAACAGCATCTCAAGCAGAGGCAAAATTTGCTTATAAAGATGCTCGAACTTGCCGCCACCGATACTTCGGAACAAGGATCTCAGTAGGAGGAAATAGTTCATGGGCTCCTCGGCTTTCGTTGAAAGCTCAATAGACTTGGTAACAATGTCTACAACGTGAGGTAGAAGAACCTGTTCGTTCTGGTTTGCGAACAGAGTGACAGCCATAAAGGCCAACTTGAACAGTCTGAGAAGAATTGATGACTTCTTCACGTCCGCCGAGCCAACTTGGTCGATTCGTTCCATGAGGAAGCGCAGCAGCATACCACAAAAGCTGGGCGATGTGGCTTCGCTGGCAAGGAAGAACTGGGGGATATGGAGCAGACCAGTGTGCTCGAAGATCATGTCATAAAGATGAGGGATCTCTTGCTGGAAGACTTCATGGAACGTTGCTGGGTCGATGCAGTGGAAGACAGTAGCAAATGTCTCAAGGAGATCCTTCTCCTCTTTACTGCTAGACACCATGTAGAAGTTGGCCATGTACTCAACAGGTGACATGTACTGGGACTCTGTGGCAGGCTTCTCAATTTCGTAGTAGCGGAAAACATACGCTCCCTCCCTGAACAGCTTCACAATAACATTGACTTCTTCTGCAGTGAACCCATAGGCAACATCTTGCCAGTGCGCAGGTGCATTGGTCAAGTCAACGTTGGTGTTTACGTTGCATGTCCTTAACTGGTAAAATGTGTTCTTCAAGCCATTCATGAGGTTCTTGAAGAGGAACTTGTTATCGACGACGGGGTCCGCGCCTCTGTCCCTGGGGTTTGAAGTCTTGATCGGCATGGCAGTGAAGATATCTGTCTCGTCCCAGTCGGGTGGGTGGTCCTTGTCTGAAAGGTAGCTGTCCTGGGTTCCGTCAGCGGTTTGCTGGGCGTAGAGTTTCGAGAGCTTCACTGCATTGGGGTATTGTCGGTTCATGGCCACAAATTTGTCGCCAATGGCGTTGAGGATCATGATCAGGTAGTGTCGTGCGTCGACCTTGTTCGGCATTTTGGCGATGCATTCAGCCATGTTTAGGAGGAGCTTCGCGCTCATGGTCTGAAAGCTCGTTCCTGGGAAGTTGTCCTGGAGGTTCTTGGTGTAGACTTCAACGGTTTTGCGAATCTGCTCTGGTGTGAGACTATCACGCACGTGGTGAATGAGATCCGCTAGCATGCTGTAAGCCAATGGCCTCATAGTCTCGTATACCGTCAGTCCATCACCGATGAGAGTCTTCTCATCCAGCAACTCATCAATCTTTGGTAAAAAGATCTTGCGGAAGTTGAAGTTAATGATGTGCCTGATAGCAACAAGCAGCTCCTTACGCGCACTCGACTTTTCCCGAGGGCAGTCCTGGAGGAGTCGAACCACGATCTCGGGCAAGGTGGGAAGGAAGTCTGTCAGCTGTTGTGAGTATTGTCGCAACAAGTAGGCCAAGAAGCTCATGGTCTTGACTTGGGCTGTAATGAACTCTCCGAAGGCGGCTCGGTTCTTAATGAGGGGGCTGACTCCTGTGAAGACTTGTCCCCTGGCTTTGGCATCGGCATGAGCCTGCTTCTGTGCACTTGCCTGAAGGCACAAGAACCCCTTGATCAACGGCACGAAAGCCTTGACGTTCGCAGCCACCGTATTTCGGTAAACCTGGAATACAGATACCACAATAATGGGGCATTCTGACAGAACCTTGAAGGACTGCATGCCCTTCAGCAGTAGTCTGTTCTGTTGTTGGGGGTCCGGGCCGAGATCTGTGACTGACGCTACGGGCGAACCAGGTCGAGGGGACTGGAAGTTCGTCTGCGAGCTTCCCGGTGTCGACGGCGCTCCAGGATTAGATGTCGTCGCGAGGGAGGTGTTGTCCAACTGTTCGCGGACGACCTTCTCCATCTGCTCAAAGAGCTCCTGGATGAGGTTGAGGAAGGCCTGGACCTTGTTGCCCAAGACCTTGTGCTGATGGCGCATGACATCAGAAATGATCTTGACGCACAGCGTCGCGTTTTCCTCATTGTCCGTCCGAACCAATTGCATCAACAGGTCGACGACTTCTTCGGCATAGGGTTCGAAGGGCTCCGACGGGGCGGGCGTCGTCGGCAATCGATGGAGGACCTCGAGGATGCAGTTGCGGAGTTTCTTCATCAATGTCAGCGACGAGGGGGGCACAACGATATGACGTAAGGCAGATTTACCTGCTCCGGAGAGTTGCTCTGGAAGATGCAAGGTCCTTTAAGGACGTTGATGAAGATGGGGACGAGCTTCTTGAGGAATGGTGTGTATATGGGACCACTTGTGTAGTGATCTAAGCTGTCGCGCAAGGTAGTTGCTGCCTCTACCTTGACTCGAGCATCTATACGGGTCACATGTCAGCAAGTAACCTGACGGAAGCGATGCGCAATCGTCCACGGCGGGGTCGGGGAATCGTAGATCGCATCGCGGGGGAGGTGGGAAGGACCGGGGAACGGCAGGGCGTACCTGTTTCTGGGGAGCTGAGCCGCTTGACGACATCATCAATTGTAGTGCCTGACATCGCGGCGTCAATGGCCCCTTAGGGACGCGTAATTTGTTCCCATGCGTAGGAGGGGAGGGTATCGTGGGTCGATCGTGTCGCGGCGAGGCTGAGAGACAAGAAGGCACGCGCCGGGGCAGGAGGGGTATCCGGTAGATGAAGGAAGAAGAAAAGAATAAAGCCTGCCGAAAGATATGAAGACAATGGATTAATCAAAGTTGAATGTTGCCTGGAGTTGCCTTCGCGGTTTGCCTTGTGGTTGGGTGGCCCAAAAAAAAATCCCAATCGCCTTCAAGGTCGCGCGGCTTGTCTTAATTGGATTTTGCACTCCCGGCTCGCTCGAACTTTGAAATTTCCCAAGGCCGTCGCGAAGCTGGGGGCAGCAGCCGCCAAATCATTTGGCGCTAGGCAGTGCAAGAATGTTGATCCGCAGCTAGATACCCACTCGGAGTTGAACCGGGCCGCCTCAGCCTATGAGACAGCCTGATTTAAGCAGGGGTAAACCTATCGCTATCTGGGGAAGCGTGAAGCTCTTATCGTATCTGCCTGGTAGGTGGAGGCCGGCAACCCGGAGGTGGGCCGGAATCGCACTTCACTCTTCGGACACCTTCACCTAATCTCACTTCCTTTGATGTTATTTAGTACTGTACCTTTTCACAGGCTTTCCGCACATAACACTAGTCTCTTCTTTTTTCTTATAAGGTAGACTGAGACATATATTTGCTTCCTACACGTACCTGGCTGTTTGTCACTGGGACTGCTGCATCAAAGGTTGTGATTGCAGACGTCGATAGGTAAGTGAATCAGACGTCTTTCCAAGACGCAACAACCATAAAATTGATAAGCCAGTCCCGGTAACTAATGACATGTAGAAATTTATCTCCATCTTACTACAATCTGGCAGTCGGCTTTCTACTATTCCAACTACACCAGCTTTGCCGCCAGTAGAACACCTTACCATTTTACCATTCCATTTGTAAGGCAACAGATATTCAAGATGAGTGGACCACACACTGCGTTCTTCTACGGTAAGCCTCTCTCATCGCCATCTCATAACAACACACTAACCACGCGAACAGGCACCTTGGTCAGAACCTACCTCACCTAGCTAGCCCCTCACGGAGCCTCGCTAACACATGTGGCAGATGGAGCCCAAGGTCTTCTTCACAGTGACGCAGGGCAACGGTAGACCTCCCCAGGTCATCAAGGACCTCTACACCTTCACCCCGGCCGTCCTGGACAACTACACCCGCCACCGCGTCAAGTTCGCCGACTACCCCGGCATGATTCCGGAGGAGGGCGGCTCAGTGCTCGGCATCTACGCGACGGGTCTCACGGACGCCAACGTCCTCAAGCTCGACCTGTTCGAGGGTTCCGAGTACGAGAAGAGGATCGTCACAGTCAAGGTCCGCGGTGATGACGGCAAGGGGGAGGAAAAGCAGGCCACGGCGTACATTTACAGGCACCCGGAGCACCTCGAGCGGGTGGAGTGGTCTTTTGAGGAGTTCCGCAAGGATAAGATGCATGTCTGGACACGCGAGAGCTACGTTTTCGAAGGTGAGACATTGCCGTTTCTTTTCTCACTCGATTTCCCAACCTCTTTCCCAATCTGGGTGGCTGGGTGAAGAGAGGGGTGTTGCTGGCCAATCTCGTAGGTTTTTTGAAGACGCCGTCACTAACGTTCTGGGATAAAACAATCTAGGCTGCGATGACTTTGCCGAATTTGAGAAAATAGAACACGAAGATGCGCGGGGTCACGACGAAAATGGAAATGACAATGCGGTCAAGCAAGATGGTGCTTAAGCAAGTCTACGTCGAGTCTTGTGGTCAGACAACTTTTTTTTTTTTCTTACATGGCGGCAAACGGAGTTTTCTGATGGGCTCCAAGAATCAGGACGTTGCTGCATGTCTACGACTGGGCCGTAAGGCGGTGTAAGACGGGGAACAAATCAGCACCCCAAAGCAATTGGGGAACAGGTTACCCCGACTGGACTGTCAAGGAAGAACAATTATGACGCTACAGATAGATGAAACAAGGGATGCGAGGATTGCGCAAATAGACCACGATGTTTACTTTTGATGCCCGATGACTGCCGCCAGCCTTGTTACCTTCTAGGGTCCAGCTTGCGTAGCCCCTGGGATATAACGCAATGTGATGTCGTTCTTCTATCGCAGCCGTCGTCTACATGCCGAATATGGGCGCCAATACGACCATTCAAATGGAGAAGTTGCAGATCGTGGGGCAATCAGCAGCACTAGGCAAGACGTCGAGATACCGCGGGCAAACGCCCACTGAATAGACAAACTGTTGTAAGTGGCTCAAGCTCGGTACAAGCATGCTGAGTGGCCGTCCCCGCCCTGTTCTCGTCGAGCTGAGCGGCTGAAAATCATGCCATGACCAAAAAGCGAACCAAAAGACCGAAAACATTCACTAGCAACGACAGCAAACGCCGGCGTGTCGTGAGGGCGTGTAAAGGGCCAACTCGTGAACAATGCTGACCCACTTTGGCCACTCGAATAGTAAGGAATGCTGGTCGCGGTCGGCACTTCAACAGGAATTTTCCAGCTGGGCAGGGATGGCAACAGAGAGGCATCCGATATAGTCCATGTCGGTGGTTTTGCAGGGCGGTACAACCGCGGAAACCGCCCACCTCGGGGAGCACGATGTACGACTCACGAGCCACCGGGGCCTCTTGTTTATACGAAGACATGTGGCTCCGGCAGGCAAAAAAAGGACAATTAGCCACAGGCAGTGTCAAGAAGTGGCTCCCAACAGGGGCAGCTGTGGTGGCGTCGGCTGGGAAATGTTCGGATCTTGTTGTGGCTCAGAGGCGATCTTTCATGCTGAGGCGCCGAATCTGGTCAATACTAGGGACCCCCGATATTATTTACGCGGCTTCCATGGCTCTAGTATGGCAATCCGGCTGCGTCAAGGTGAGTAAATGGAAAGTGGTCAGGGACCCGGACTAAGGGTAGAAGCTCATGTCGGGGGATTCATGCGAGCAGGACAGCGTCGTTTCGTAGCGAGTACGTCGTCGGCTGTGATTCTCTGGTCGATCATCATGTCACGAGTACGAGAGTCGGTCCTACAAGATCGTCTGAAGATGAAGGAGATGTCTCTCAGCCCCCCCCCCCCCCCCCCCCCCAACGGACCTGTCTACCAAACCTGCGCCTATTGACATGGGCTCGGGTCGCTCAATGCGCCAACCAGCGACGTCCTGCGTCTGCGTCCTTCAGGGTATGTAGGAACACGGACCGCGACATGCCAGCGTAGGCACAGAGGAGGGATTTCTTGAACACCTTCGGACGATTGAACTAGACTGGGGTTAGAGCGGACGAAGATAAACAGGGAGTACGTAGCACGCCGCGCCGTGGTCCCCGTCACCCAAGTCTTGTGCTCTCTCGTCACCCTTTCTCTCAATGAAGCGCTTTCGCGAGCCCTGTGAGCCCACTGGGTCGTAGAGTCCGGGCCACTTCAATCCGGACATTAAATAGTGGAAACGGGGTGGCGATCAGCAACGTGACAGTGGACAACAGCCGACAGAGGCGGTCCATTGCGGTCAGGCAAAGGCCGGGAGTTGGGCCGGGGCAGGGTTCACAATGGTGGGCTTTGGGCTCCTGGAGTGATTGATGAACGTGCCAGAGTGACAGCCGGGCGACCAGGCTGCGTCGGTGGTCGCAGGTCCAAACAGCTGAAAGCCACAGGCTGAGCTTGAGCAACCTTTTGGCGCACTTGTCGTTCCCGTAAGCTGTCAGATGACTGGCCAACGGCGAGGTGAACCGAAAGCAGCAGCGTTGACAACCTGTGACAAGTTTTCAGCTTGCCGACGTTTCTGTTTCCAGCGCTTACCCCAAACGCTTTGGCTGATGAGGGGTGTCGTTGTGACGACAAGTCGGTAGACAAAGAACAATGACTGGTCCTGGGTGGTCTAGGACTAAATGGTCATGGTACACGCTATGCCTCCGCATGCCGCGTGCCGCGATGATGTGGTTGTCTGAAGAAACAAACGGGCAAAAAAGCTTAGCTTGAAGAAGCAGGAACTAAATGATCCCTTCACCATCACATTAACAGGTGACGACTAATAGTGTGTTGATTCGCTGTCAGTGGTTCACGACAGAAAGCTCAATGTCCGAAAGGGGAAGAGGCGAACTTGGGGGTCTTGAAACTGCCTCTGTTTCACATTTCTCGCTTCTGGCAAGGGGGGGATCGTTTCTTCCAGCAATTCGAGTGGCCCCTCTGTGACGAGACCCTTCGTATGTATGGTACAACGTAGCATGTGCTCCAGTCATTGTAGGGCTTCTAAGGTCACTGACGACAGCCTACAGTAACAAAATGCGCTCAATCTGTGGGCAGACAGGAGAGAGGGCTCCTCGTTGTGAGTTTGTGGGCAGGCGAACCCCTGACAAGCGAAAAAGAGAGAAAAAAAAATCCCCGTTGTCTTGCCCCCTGCGCCTGCACAAGTGCATCTAGCCTGGTCAACCGAATTCCCCGCTTGCTCCCCGATTCAGTGGGGAACCAAAATGCCCCCCAGGCAAGGTAACACTGTCAGGGGCTCTGGAATGTGTGTGCCTGCATCCATACTACGTAGGTGCACATGGACATGTGAGGGCTCGGCATTGAGAAAGAATGAAAGAATGACGGGCAAACAGAGGGTTGGTATGATCCGCTTCCCGTTGCTTTTCTTCATGTTGTCGGTGGATATGGCCGTTGATCGTTTAAGCCAGCCCACAGCCCACGCCGACCGAACTCCGGCATGCACGAGGCACCGTAGTATAAAAAGAGAAAAGACCCCGCTATCAGCCCAACAGTGGGGAGAAAGGTACACTGCCACCACGGTTTGGCCGGAAAGTGACTTATGACGTGTTAAGGTGCTTACCTCCGGAAAGGCCCTGCAAAGAACAGCCACAATAAACGGCTGGCTATCTGGATACAGTGGTGCTGCTCCATTCTCCCACTTTCCAGATTGCCATGCCACACAGCCCACAAGCATATTATTCATGTTCATGGTCAGGGCGGGAATACCGAGGTCGATGCTAAGTTGAGTTGGTTGGTCATCCGAAGACACAGGCTGTGAGGCTCCGTAATTTGAGTGGATGGATACTGCTATTGTAGTGTATGCACTTAAATTTCTACTTCTATTTTCAACGGGGGTCACCCATCACTGACTCGGGAGAATCTTGTCGATCAACGTGCTTGTGTCTTTTGACTTTGGCTTGGCTTGGCATTGTCAAAGTAGCAGCGGACAATGCACACAATGGACGTGTAGGCGGGGGCTTTGAAGCGGTACACTGCATTTTTGCCCATGTCTCTGGCGTTTATCTGCATGCCTTTTGTAAGGCATTTACCATGCTGCCATCCCTCGGTGTGTGTCGGTGAACTGAGTTGGCAAGGTGGGTGTCCGTGCCAACGTTTTTTCCATTCCAGTCTCGCCGGCTCGACATGCCATGCCCGTTGCATGTCTCGCCTTCTGCTGCATTGTCTGTTTGCCGCCCAGTTTTTGTTTCTTTTTCGCCCTTACTTAGTCAAGTCGTACATTTTGATGGTCTAAGCGGTGGGCTGATGGTCCAGAAAAAAGTGTCTTGGCCTGTGGTCGATATCGCGCACCCAGTATATGGAAAAGGAATGCCGTGGAACTTGGAAGCCCGACCCATCAATCGACGAACCACACATCGGGCAATGTCTGCCCCTATTCTGCTCTTTTTCGGGCCCCCTGGTTCGTAGGTTGTGGCCTTGCCGAAAGCCGCGGAACGGTCGAAAAGAATACCCCTGTCAAGTCATCGACCCACTAGTCCGATCCTTGACCCTGACATCTCCTTCTCTTTCCAACTCGTCCTGTCTGTCACCTGCTGGTTGTTCAAGCTCATTGGGGCTGGAAGTACGGGAGAGGCTCACGGCGCGACGACGGCGGCGACACGATCAAGAATCTAGTCCTTGGGCGCCTTTTCTCTGCCCCTTATCCCCCTGGATGTTAGTTTTGTGTAAGAATTGACTACACTAAATCCTTGCGCTCGGTGGTCGACCAGGGTCTATACGGAGGAGAGAGCCAGAGAAAGAAGGACTCACGAGTTGAACCATCGTAAAGGCCATTTTAGCCAATGTGGTGAGGCAAGGTTGCGCCGCAGGGTGACGTATCTTTTTTTACGAGGGTATGTGACGCATCTAAGTGGTCGCCACCAAAGCCTTGGGAGAGAGGGCCGCAATTATCGGTCGCCTCCAGTTTCCAAGTCCAAGGTTCGATCTGCCCTGATTGGAGGCCGCCTGTTGCCCGAAATGGCAGATGGCCTGGGATGTTCGGCTGCACTATGAGTGAGACTTTTGCATTTTTGGTACCGTATTTCTGACTTCGGATTCAGTCCGCGCATACGGCGAACCCGTCAGTCAGCAAAATCATGCCTTTGCATCATCCGCTTGTTTGCTGCTAAAAGAGAATAGGAGGGGAAAAAAGTAAACCTACATTTAGCTCGCGAGGCAATTCGCCTGTTACCCGTGTGTAGTGCGATCTGGACAGGATGACTGCAGGCAGATCCCTTGCGCCCTCTACTCTAGACTCGTAAGGTCAGGACAGGGTGGTATGCGTGGTGCAAGGCAACACAACAACACGAAAAAAGATAGTATGGATGAAAGCCTGGATTTAGCAGGCAACCAGAATAATTCGAGTGCAGCGCCAGTGTCCAGACACCTTCTTGGCGGCTATTCGGACGTACTAAGCTGTATGGACAGTTGTTTCTGTTTCTATCTGAGTTGTCGCAACCTACTAACTACTGCATGCTGTGATCACCTCACAGATGGTGCCTTGCAGTAGCCTCCGCCATTTTGGTGCTTCTCCTGTCTTGAAAGCTGCAGCTCACGCGCTTCCTGCCGCTATTTCCAGTGCTTTACTACGTAGAGGGTTGCCTCCACTACATAGTAGTGCTCTGGAAGGGAACACATGGTTGCACACATCCTCCATCTTGCCGCGCCCCTTTCCTGATCTGACTGCTTAAACCACCACGTATAATTCCCAAGTGGTGGTGGAAGTACGTATCGAAGAGCTGTAGGGACTTGCAGAAGTACGTACTTGATTGGCAAGGAACGTGCTCTTGGTGCTCCGTTAGCGTGAACCGAGAGAGCCAATGACATGTCGCCTCCGAGCAAGACAGGCAAGGGGTACGTACCGGCGTTGGCCAGCAAGCTCCCTGTGTCAACGGCTCCACACGTCCACACCGCACCCCTTGGTCATTGCTCCCTGCTCTCCGTGGTTCCCTGGCCCCTGCCTCTTGTCCGGGCCTCCCCCCTCCCTGGTAGACACGACTAGTCCCTAGTGCCTCTTGCTCGGTGTCACTTGTCTCTCTTTCCCACATCTCCCAGCCATTCATCTTGTCCAGCAACGACAGTTCAAAAAATTCCTCACCAATCCCTCCCTATACCACATCATCTTTGGTCCACAGACGCTCCCTCTCTCTCCCAGACCAGCCTAGTCAGGGGCATCCACCTCACAAAAAAACACGCAGCATACCACTATGCGTCTTGCTGCAAGGTCCCCGTCCCTCCATGTCTAGGAACGGAGCCATGTCTAAGTCTGGAAAGCCCATATCCAGACAACCTCCAGATGCCCGATCATCCTTACCCACCCCTACCTTTTCACAAGAATGTTTAGTCTGGTCTTTTTCGTGCCGTGTCGAAACAAGCCGAGGGGCTGCTCTCCGGCCTATCATATCCTCAAGTCCATGCTTCCCCTTCTTCAACAGTCCACCCCTGCCCCCCCTGGCCCAATCCACCATGCCTCGAATCCCCTTGGGCTGTCGTCCATGGCTGAGCTTGACTGGCTGAGATGTTGGACGCCTGTCTAAAAGAACGCCATGTCTTTCCCGTCCCAAGTGGACCGATCTATCCAGCTCTCCATTCTCCGGTCCGACCTCCAGTCCATCGTTTTCCAATCGTTCTAGGATTACCGCCGTTCTCTGCAGCCGTGCTAGTTGCTTTTTGCCTCTCCTTTCCATTTTCGTCTCTAGACTCTCTCTAAGCTCTGCATATTCTGCCCGTGGGCCCTGTCTGTCACTACTTTCCGCATTCCCATCGTATCTTTTCAGCCTGGCCCATCTAGGTTTATAAGACCCGGGCCTCGTCCTACCTCGAAACACTCTCTTTTTTTGTTCCTCATCCTCTTGGACCATCACGTCTTCTCACATTCCTTCTGTGGGCTTCGAAAGCACTTGTCGTTTCGACACTTACCTTCTCTCACCTCTCATTCAACAAGGCTAGTCCTTATTTTTCTTTTTCGACATCCTATCAACCCAACTCGCCTGGTGCATTACCATCCAATCCGGAATTTTACGACAACAAAACGAAACTTCGAGACCTTTCGACTTTACGATTCGCAGTCTTCACTCTAAACACTTTGTTGAAACATCCCGCAGCGTCCAAGCTCCCCAAGCAGACAAAGCGAGAAGACACTGTAAGTATACGGAATCCTGCAGCTTCACAGCATCAAAGGGACGGCTCGAGACCTTGGCTGCTTGGTCGGTTTCTATGCTTTTGTTCTACAAAGCGGCCCGTTTTTGTGCCACGAACAATGCCATTCTTTGGAAAGATCGTCTCAATGTTCTTGTTACAGTTGTGACCAGTTGCTTCGAGTCGGTCCTGCTGAGGAACAAATGCGCTGTCGCTAGGAACCTGTTGGATGAAGTTGAACTCAGTCGAGCTGAAGCTAACTTGATTTAAAAGGTTTCAAGAGTACCAACTCAACATACGACTTTGTTCGAATTATCAACTCACAGTCACAACGACAACCCACATTGAGATCTTACCGTCTGGAACGTTTAGATTCTCATCACTCAACAACATTCAAAATGTACACTCAAGCAATTGTCGCTTTTGGCCTGGCCACCCTTGCCAGTGCCCACATGAAGATGAGCTCGCCTCAGCCCTATGGTGCTTCCGACCTCAACAACAGCCCTCTCGCTGCTGACGGCAGTGATTTCCCTTGCAAGCAGCGATCCAGCGTCTATGATGCTCAGGGCGCTACCAACGTATACGCTCAGGGTGGCGGTGGCCAGCTTGCATTCATTGGCTCCGCCGTTCACGGTGGCGGTTCCTGCCAGGTCTCCATCACGTACGATGCTAAGCCCGACAAGAACAGCGTCTGGAAGGTTATCAAGTCCATCGAGGGTGGCTGTCCTGCCAAGAACGCCGCGGGCAACCTCGGTGACAACGCCAACCAGGAGAACCAGGACAAGTACGACTTCGACATTCCTAGTGACATGCCCGCTGGTAATGGAACTATCGCCTGGACTTGGTTCAACAAGGTCGGCAACCGCGAGATGTACATGAACTGCGGCCCCGTCACCATCACTGGCTCTGGCGGCTCTCAGACGGCCTATGAAGCTCTTCCCGACATGTTTGTTGCCAACATTGGCGGTTGCCAGACGGCAGAGGGTACTGATGTCAAGTTCCCCAACGCTGGCAAGTTTGTCGACAGATTTGGTGACGCCAGTGTCCTGAAGACTCCTTCCTGCGGTGGTGGCTCTGGCGGCGGCTCTGGCGGCGGCTCCGGTGGTGGCTCTGGCGAATCTCCTGCTCCCAGCAGCACCGCCGGCAACGGAGCTGGTCAACCTACTCCCACTCCCACTCCCACTTCTGCTCCCTCCAAGGCCAAGCCCACCGGCGGAGCCTCCATCCCTGGCGGTGTCTTCATCACCGTCCCGAACGATTCCGCTCCTTCTGCTACTGCCTCTGCTACCAAGGCTCCCGTCGCCACCGCAAAGCCCAGCGCCGCTCCCTCGTCAGGCAATGGCTCCGGCAATGGCTCCGGCTCTGGTTCTGGTTCTGGCTCCGGCTCTGGCAATGGTACTGACACCCCCAAGACTGGTGCTGGTGCCCAGACTGTTGGTGCTGCTTGCACCGACGAAGGCGCCTGGAACTGCGTTGGCGGTACTTCTTTCCAACGTTGCGCCAGCGGTACCTGGTCCGCCATTCAACAATTGGCCTCTGGCACCTCTTGCACAGCCGGCATGGGCTCCTCAATCTCCATGGTTGTGACCAGAAATGGCCGCAAGCGTACCCTCCGCTTCCGTTCTTCCGCCTAAGCTGGTCGATGGCGCACACTCTTTTTATGAACGGTTTAGCATTTATGGGATATGATACCTCGGGGCACATTGGACAACTTCATGAACGACATACAGGTTACGGCACAAAGATTTGCGGCGTTTTTTGTTTTTTCTTTGGACATTTACATCCGTCTTCTGTATATATCTTGTACACATTTCTTCTTTGCAAGCTCTCAAAAAGCTAGATGTCTACATTAGCTACCACTGAAAAAGATCGTGAGATCACCAATAGCAAAATCCATTACTTAGCCATATGAGTTTTCATATTTTTCGTCTGATGCCACATGTGACATTAAAAGCAACAACAACTGTTCCCCGTGAACCGATAAATTCAAAACAAGCTGAGCTTGTTCAGCTGCCCCCACCTCAATCAAAGCTGGGCCATCTCCAAACTATGGTCTCGTGCCAAAGCGCAATGGGCCGGCCACTAAGAGCCCAAAGGCTCGAAGTCCGATGTCGTTATTCATACACACACACACTCACCGACGCCGCCCGTGGGGTGGAGGGGGATGGACGTCCCTGCAGAAGGGAGGTCCTGGCTTCAAGGATCTGACCTCGTGGGGTTTTGAAAGGATAACAGGGAGCTTGACGTAACCTAAACCTTATGAGAGTTTTGAGAGCAGCAACCCTTGCCGTGGACGTTTTGAGTCTCAAAGTCGATTTTGGGGGTTTGTTCCTTGTCGAGCTGAAATGGCCATGACACATGTCACTTTGGACGACGGTGCGTCTGTCTGCAAGACGCATGGACGTGGTGCACGAGTAAGCAGAGAGAGAGAGAAGGGGGGAGTGAGAGCTGGATAAAGTGTTCCGTTTTGTTTACTTTTTCGGTTTCTGCTTACCGACAACTGAATCGAAACGCCACAGTACACGCATGATTCCCAATGTTTTACCGTAATCAGCCGCAAATCCGATATTTGGTTGAAATGTCGCTTCGTTCGTCGTGATCGTAATATGACCCTACCGTCCCAAAGACCCCAAACGCCACAGTATGATTATCCCCCAAAACCTTCGAGAGTGCCCCCCCCCCCCCCCCCCCCCCCCCTTCCTTTTTCTTTTCTCTCTCTTTCTTCTTCCAAGATTCCCTCCCATGAAATGATGCTGTTCGGTCTCGCTTCTGTCTTCCTTCAGAGCCACGTATCCCCTCGTCCCGACTTCTTGCGTCCCAAAACCCTCCGGAGCAGTCCCGTTCTCGGTTCCGTATCGCCCTTCTTCAGCGCGGACAGTTTCACGGGTATAACCAGAGGATCCATTTCAATGCCCACATGTGCACGGCCGTCGTCGCCGACATATCGTCCGAAACTGAAGGTCGCGGTTGTGAGGCTGTTCGGCCCGTCGTACTCGCGCACCGCCCTACTAGGCGCGACGTAGGCGAGCAAGGAGCCTATGGTCGTGGGTAACCGCGGGAGGAAGTGCTTGATTGAGCCGCCGTAGAGAAGGACGGCTACGATGATGTTGAGGCCTAGCACGGAGAGGCTGATGATGAAGGCGGTGTTGTCCATGAAAATGCGGGTTTCGGTGTGTCGTTCGGTACCCGTGATCGTGATCGGTTCCGCGTACTTTTCGAAGAATTGAGTGTTTAGGCTGAGAAGTATGGCGTAGAGCTGGCGGTAGACTGCATCGATCGATGGGACCAGAGCGGCGGTGTTCGGGGTCGTTAGAGGGTCAAGAATTTTGGCGTTACCGGGCTGGATCTTTAGTAGGTAGTTCATCCAGTCGCGGGACAGGGTGTCGTTGTGCCAGGGGAAGGGGGCTCCGCTGAGTATGCGATTCAAGTATGTCGTGATGACGTCCGTGTTGTTTGTAGAGAGGGGATAATCGAGCGTTGGGGAGGCCTCTGATGTCTGGATCGCATTGAGAACGTGGCCTTGCGGATCCACGGTGACGTCGAACATGCTGGTGGTAAAGACGGGCGTGCACACGACGAACCAAGTTTCCATCTCGCCATCCTCTTTGTCCAATACCTCTGAACTTCGTGACCAGCTGAGAACAAGCGGGATCTCGCAAGGCGAACTACCGGTATCTCGGGTGAGCGTGGTCACGACTTCGGCTGTTGAGGGACCACTCGGTAGGTTTGGATTGGTTTTGTTCAGGTCCAATTTTGGTTCCTGATATGTTGTAGGACAGTCGGGAACTGTCTGCCCGTCGCGGGCAAAGGTGTAATTCAGAATTGGAGCTCGTCCTCGACTCTTGACTGTGCTGACGGCCGAGCAAGATGGTTCAACCCCAAATCCTCTGGTTGAAGCCTTATATGCGTCGCCCTGATTCACGTCCCCTGGTATTGTTTTGAAAGGTTGGAAGAAGTATCCCTGATTCACCCACGCCGGTAAGGGAGTGCCCTGGGTGACGTTGTTCATCGCGATGTAAAACTGTGATTCGTAGGAAATGACATTAGCGCTGAAAGTCTGTTTGCTCACAACTCCGTTGACCGTATCGTTGTTCATCAGTGGCTTCATCGACTGCTGGAAGTCGCAAGTTTTATTAACAACAACTGGAAACTCGTTAAAGAGACCACCAAGTCCAACCGCAAGCAAGTTAGAAAGAACTGCCAAGAGACAGATTCCCACCAAAATCAAATGGCCAGACTTAGCCGCGCGAAAAAGGACGAACTGGGGAGGTACGGAGGTATATCTGGCGTTGATAGAGCCTTTGGCGGGTCGTTGGCCTGCCCAGAGATCTTTGAAGGGTTGGAGAGTGCAGAGTAGTCGATTTAATAGGACCCAAAACGGCTCTAGTAGGGTTGCGAACACCGTTGGCACGTAGTTCTCGAGAATTTGGAGAACCTCGAAGTTTGTCGTCGGTCTGATGAGTCCTGTCATCTGATGAGTCTCGTCCCAGAACCGTCTTTGTAAGTGACCTTACCTCCAATGCGCTGTTCCTGTAACTTCAAGTAGATCAATGCAGTTACGGCACCAGCCATCAACAGTATGACCAAGAAACCAACCTCGCGTCTCAGCGCAAGTGGCTTCACAGGCGAGTAATGACCCACAGAGAGAGCCATATCGGGCTCGGGCAAGCTGATACGCTGACTCTCAACGAATTCTTCTCGAGTATCGACGACCTTAATGACCATCTCACCTGACCGGCTTTGACATCCACAGATCAACTGGAACCTTTTATCCTGGAATGCTTCTTGGAGTTTTTCATCGGGTAGGCAGCCTTTTCCGGAGAATTTTTCCAACAAAGTCGAGCTGTTTTGGCATATGCTCATTAGTGATCCAAGGGAAGCCGGGTCCGCGTTGAGGCAACTCGGTGCTCTCTTGCCATGCCACCACAGGAGCAATGAGAAAATTCCGACCAAAAATAGAAGCCCTTCGACCAAAGCCGAAAAAAGCCGACTGACAATGATGCCGTGCCGTACAATATCCGCCACACCCTGCTCTGTGGCCTCGGTTGAAGAGTTTGTGAGCATGCGGCGCAATGCGAGAGAGAACAGTAGCTTGTGTGTGGCATTGAATGCATCGCCCAAGAAATCGTTGTCTTGAAACACATCGAGCGAAGATATGTTTTGAGAACCAATAGCGAAACCTACCAGTGGCGATGATGGCCACCTCAGGCCAAATTGCTTGACTTGATGGTGCTGTTCTAGCAGTTGTCCGAAAGGATGCTCCCGCGTTGTCTCGAGTTCAGTAGATGAGACGCCGGCGCCTAAGAGGTGTTCAAAAGCAGAAGAGTTGAATTCCGTCGATGACAGTTTCTCTCTAGGGCCAACTGGCACGATGGAGTCCTCGTGAGGCTTTTTCGTATCAGCAAAGACAGTGGCATTAACTTGCTGCTTGAAATAACTTGTCTCGCAGAAGACGGAGCTGACTTCCTCCTTCTCTCTGTACCTAGCCCAGATTGCCAGGAATTGGTGAGATGCGGCTTTGGAGCATGTCATGGACAGCCAGTAGTCCGCCCAGGCGCTGTTGTGATAGCCGATGTACTGCATCTTGTAGGGTTGTTCGACGCTTGGTATGAAGCCATAGGGTGTAATGTCACTGGCATTACAACCTCTGCCGTCAAGGAAATCATACGTTGAGGATCCCGGATGGATTTCAGCTGGCCAGCAATCAAGTTGAGTCCAGTACTTGGTTGTAGTTCCAGTCCAATTCGTTGAAGACGCTCGTTTTGTGTCGCTATCTACCACAAACGGTAGTAGTGTATAATCAGCAGTAGTGTAAGGCGGATATGGCTGATCCAACCAAGTGATAGCATAGCCCTCGTTGAGGATGGATTGATCCATTGTTTCGACTTGCTCTGAAGCCGGTCGGACAACCTCATTCGTGGACACAACCACTTCACGCCGCATATCAACTGGTCCACTACCCATGATTGCAGCCAGAAGGGGAGTGATTAGCCAAAAGATCATTACCATTACCGTTCCACTATAAAACACGGCCCAGTGGCTACAACCCGTCAGCCCAGTCCTATATTTGGAGGTCGGTTTCTACCTACCGTCTCTTCGCCGCCCTCATTGGAACGAAGGCAACAAAGTCATAAGGATAGTCCAAAAAGACTGAACGCATCGCAGTGGCACCCCCTGGCCGTGACATTTCAAGCCATGGTTGTATCCGCTTCACATCCAGGTCGATCCAACTCCAAAGTAGACTGTATACAACGGCAACAATTGTAGGTAAGAAAAGATAACCGAACTTCGCGTAACCCGGGATGTCGGTTGCGGTGGGGGAAAGAGCAAGGCCTCCGTTTTTGTTGCTTTGCTGTGCGAGGACTTCAATAATGGCGGCGATAACAAAGGAAATGAAGGCAAAAGAGAAGAGCACCGGTGCGCTTATTGTTAACGGCTTCCATCCGTGTTTGTGCGCTGTTGAAGGATATCAGCTGGTGTTGCTCAAAGTTTTCCCTTCCAAGACTGATTATAACCTTTTTGAAGACTGCATTGCTTGTCTTTTGAGTTGAGCCAAGGAATTGAATCCTTCCGGCTGCTCTTCTCCTCGGATAAGGCACCCTGATACCCGAGAAGCTGAGTCTCGTGGACCTCTAGGTGCTTGTAGGCCATCAGCGCGGGATGACAACTGCAGTTGTCGGCTGCCGTAAAATTCTGAATCAATGGCTGGAGGGCATATACAGAAACCACAACTACAAGAGCCAAAGAGTATACTGTAATAAATTCAGAAGACGGCCGCGGAAGCCAGCCGCCACGCCAAACAAAGGAAAGAAACCGGACAGAGAGAGAAAACAGCTGAGACGGAGATGAGTGGAATCTAAATTGATGCCATCAAGTGATGGGAGAGCGCGGCCTTAAGGGAGCACAACTGAGTCCGGCAGCTTGGGACGTCGAAACGAACCAGGAGGTTGAGCCCCGGTTCCAACATATTGTTCAGCGCGGCTACTTGCCGATACACATGATTTTATGCCTAGGCCATGCTGTTTTCATAGATGAATACCACCTCGCGCCAACGCAAGGTTACTTTATCTAGGGTTCCTGCAGTGGTTTGGTGTTGGCATGGCCCGCTGGTTGGGGCTTCGAGGAATGAGAGGTGGTGGTTAAGCGCCCACAGCGATGATCGAGGGGGCGGCCCGGGCGGGGAGCGGCCGGACCAGACTGTGCCATTTGGAAGATGCATAAACGCGAGTTTCTTTAGCAACGAGTTGTGAATATTCAAATTTGTGCATCGAATACTTTGACCTAAGTTGTTTGAACGTTTCTGTCGCATGAAAATGAACTTTCAGTTATGAAAGAAACGTGAATCAGTGAGAGAACCGTCATCAGCAGGTCCTGGGCATCAGGATTAGCCGCCGAGCGATATAATCTGATTGGGTCATTTTGTGCTTGTGTGGGTCATGAGATGGGTCCACCCAGATGGTAGTACCACACTTGACCAACAAACTTACAATACACAACCTTTCCTGTACAAATGTTAGCAGCTCGATGCATAAGCTATTGAACGATCTTTGATGTGGTTCAACCAAGTGACTGATACAGATTTGGATTCTCAGGCGATATGAACGGTGGAGAAGTCCATCATGGCTGTTGCGGCACAGTTGGTTCTGGCTGTTGGAAACGCCGCATGGGCGCAGCGGATATCAAACTCGTGGCGGTTCCAGGTTGGTGCCTTGTGTGGCTATTACTATAACAATTAACCATGGGACCAATAGCGAGAGTCGAAGGTACTGCGGCATTATTCGTCATATAAGATGACAACGAATACGGTCCTTCAGACTGCTTCCCGTATCGATGCCCCTGACTCTAGGGTTTATTCGAAAGTTAAGCACTGGCATCGATAGAAGCTAACCTGCATCATTAGGTAGAGAGCGCAGCTTACACTCTAACCAGAGCGACTGAGACTGGAATCTCGAGAGAGACAAGGCTCTTCTTTTCCTGGTTACTTTGCTGCCATGAATACCAGCATTAGCATGTTGCACCTGAACCAACCGCTCTCAAAAGCAGAATGACATTCTTCAGTCACTTAATAAAATGCGCCGGCTGCCAAGAAATCTCTTGTACAATTTCATAATCTCCTACATGTACAATTCGAGCTGGTGAACAAAATACCGCTTATCCACTGTACGCTCACCTCCTGTAATGCAGAGTAAAGTCATATCTCACATCCAAGCTTCCCATCATCAGCTCCCGCATGAAATTCTCATCCTTTTGAGCGCGCTGGCACAGCCGCATAAACTCATCCCGCCCCAGCCTTGTGTCCGGATCTTTATCCGAAACCCTGCGGAAATTCTCCTGTGAAATCGGGTCAATCACCGTCCTCCATTTCTCCCGCCTCTTCTCGCAGTACAGATCCAAGATACTGTCGTCAGCCACGCCATCCCAGATGCCGGCAAGGCAGTCGTACAACCCCCCAGCATCTACAAAGCCTCCCGTGATGCCGAGGCCGCCCCAGGGGTTACACAGATGTGCGGCGTCGGCGACCAAGAGGAACCTCCCGACCCGGAATTTCGACGCACAGCGTTGGTGCATCCGGTACGGCGCAAAGTTGATGACTTTGTATTCATCAGGATCTGGGTGTCCGGGTAACATTGTTTTGAACTTCTTCTGCTGGCGTGCCTTCAGCTCTTCGTGGGATAGATTGGGCTCTTCGCCGTAGGTCACGCGATACAGGCCGTCATTCGTGATCTTGGCCGCCATGAAGAAGTGCTCGGGGTGGATGATGAAGTTGGCATCGTCCCAACCGAACTTGCCCTCGAAGTCGTAGTACGTGTTCGTCGCGACGATCTGGGTATCCCATGTCCACCCGGGGTATTCTTCGCCAAACAAGCCCTTCCTCACAGCGCTGTTGGCACCGTCGCAGCCGACGATGTAGTCGGCCTCAATCCGCTGTCTACCTTTCGGGGTTTCGACATCCACCCATGCTTGGTCTTTGTCCTGTCCTAGACCGACCACCTGATGCTCCCAGCTGATAGTTCCATTGTACTTGCCCAAGAACTCATCGAGCATCAGCTGGTCCAGCTCCTGAAGTACAAGACAAGTGGTTTGCAGATCCTCGCCGTCCACGTCGGACAGAACGCTGACGTTGAATCCGGTAATAGAACTGTGGTCTTCGAAACGACGCCAGGAGTAGGTGTTCAGCGTCATGCCTCGACGCCGTACCTCTTCCAGAATTCCTGCTCTCTGGAGATCCGGGATGGCAGCTGGTCCATAATGAGCAGCGCGCGGTTGCTGGTCGAGGTGATCCTGGGCCTCGAGGATGTGTACGGGGATGCCATGCTTTGCAAGCAGGAGAGCCAGCAGTAGTCCAGACGGACCAGCTCCGACAATTACGACCTCATTGTTACGTCAATGGATATTTTCAACAAGTATTACAGGAGCTTACCTTTTTGAACGGACGATCCATCTTACTTCTGATCCAAGACAAACTAGAGGAAGTTCGAGAATGACTGGGCGAAAGGCATCGCCAACGTTCTTGGGGGGTGCTCCAAAAACACCAGGAAACTCAGTCCAACCCCGCAGCGGGAGCATAATTACCGGGGCAAGTATACCCGTACATGATCCGTCGATGTGACGATAGTTCCATCCCTCGGCAGCCGGAAGAGGCTTCCGTCCCAACTATTGTCTCCTTCTTCTCCATCTTCTCCAGCAAGCTTCAGCCCCGCAGACGTCACCACGCGACCGGCCGAACCGTCTTTACACCCCCGCGTTAGCCCCTCACTGGCCGTGGGGTTCGGCAGGACGGCACTTGCAATTGTATTTGGGTTGAAGATCGGATGGCTGCGGCACGACGTCTTATTTCGTATACGTTCAAATCTAGGAAATCCGAATTCAGGTTTTTGTAGCTCTGTTGGAGGGCCAACTATGACGTGCACGAAATCTGTGTCATGATGTGTTTTTTTGCCCGGACCCCTGGCCTTGCATGCCCGATCTTGATCTGGTATGTATGGTGACACCGGATTACATCCATGTCAAAGTAGGGTTGCTGCGACCAGTATGAGTTGTGAAGAGGCAGCAAAGGAGGAATACTTGAGAGAATATAGCCTAGATGTGAGAACTTGGGTTAATGCAGAAAATACATCTGTTGTAGGTCACATCTAGCTGTCGTGCTTCCTTCGACACTCCGGGATATCATCTATAAGTCAATGTGATGAGGAGGCTAGGTAAGTATACCGCGTGACAAATGAAACTTTTACAGAAGCAATATGCAACGCTTCTTGAATGAACAATTAGATAGCTCAGACGGAGCCCGGCGCCTACGGTATGCGATGTTTGTGTCGGTGTCGACTGGCCTATGCCGACGCCGCAACAAAACCAACACAAGACAATAGCAATCTTGGCAAATACAAAAGAAACCAGCTACGGATGGATGCCGTCTTTGAGATCAACCAGATCGAAAAGAGGAGAGAACAACGTTAATCGCCAGCATGGGCTCGATTCCGCACACAGACCTCCCCCCCCCCCACTCAGTCCCCACCCCTCGCTTCACGATGCCCTCCCCACCCACCAGACGGCGAACCGTTGAAATATTTCCTGCGCACCAGATGAGTCATCAAACAACATGGTCTGGTGGTGTAGTTGGTTATCACGTCAGTCTAACAGTTCGAGGCCTCTCCGCCTCGCCTGGTTCACTGAAGGTCTCCGGTTCAAGTCCGGGCTAGATCATACCATGGGCGATTGGTTTAGTGGTATAATACTCGCTTAGCATGTGAGTGGTCCAGGGTTCGATTCCCTGATCGTCCATCTTTTTGGATTTTTTGCCTTTTGTTACGTCTAGATGGACAAGATTATGCAGGTTCTTGTGGTTGCAGCGGGCTTCAACTTGGTGGTGAGCAGTGGTAAGTGTTGCCAACTGGATCAGAAGGGCTGGTGGCTGGTATTGTGTCTACTACTGGGTTTCTGATCCACAAAAAAAAAAAAAAAAAAAAAAAAAGAGTTCAAAAACAGGCTGTGTAGTTGTCTAGACTAAACTTTGAGGAAATATTCACTTCATGTCATAATCGGATTCATTTGTTGAAAGGCACGTTTCGACGCGGTGGGTTGCTGCCTGTGGAAACTTTTGCAACAAGTGAGACACCCGGCGTAATATGGGTTTCAATGTCAGCTTGCGAACGCAACAGATTCATGTTACTCAAATAGTGAGATGAGCAACAATACAAGTAGAGGATTAGAGGGCCGCGGAGACAACGAGTGAGGGAAGCGACGATGGACACCAACTGTTGGTTTCTCAGGAATTCCTGTACGGATAAACAAACAGGAATAAACGATGAAAACCGGTGATAAACAGCAGCATATGCCAGGTACAGGAAAAGCGAGATTTGAAGTGAACGGGAGAAGAACAAGTTTCCGGCCGGTTGCCACGTTTGGGAGGAGACTGCCGGGTCAGCCCCATATAACCGGCGTCTGGCCAGCGGGGCGGTCGGGCGGCCTAAGTGAGGCACAGGCTGGGTAGAAACGTCAACAGTTAGAATTGACACATGGAATTTTTGCTGGGATACTAAACCTATCCACCGTTTTCACCAAGACATCTAATATAATCAAGACCTGATTCAAAGTAAACATGAGAAATGGAACTCAAGATGAACAAAGGACCAAAGCCAGAGCGACCATACTTCATAATTAACATTACAGCGATGACTATATAGCCAAGTCTATATCGCAACAAACCATCCCGGCACATCCCTATACTATGTACACCCACCCAGAGTTATGCAAAAAAAAGTCAAATCTACAACTCACAAAGTTCGCAACGAACACCTCGACATCAGAGCACACAGAAATCCACCATCAGGAATCAGACCACTCAACACCCGCTCCCGAAGCCAGATCCGAAAGCCAAAATATAAAAAACAGAACCACGAAAGAATTAACCACGGGTCTTTTTTTTTGCGCGCCAATTGTCAGCATCCTGCAACTCAAACGATCAACTGCCGTACGGGAAAACCCACTTTACTCGTCGGCATCCGAGCGATCTCTGTCTTGTCCCCACGGACGCACGCACGCAGACGTTCTGAACAAGGAGCGACGCATTAATCAGCCGGCCAAACGCCCTCCCGAAACCGCAAAGACAAGGGGGGAAGGAGGGGGAGGGTGGTTTTGCTCAAGAAGAGGGCAGCTTTGACGCTTCTCCCCTCCCCCCTTCCCCACTGCACTGGGCTCAAGAGGTTGGTTCCATGTTACTCATCATCATCCATTACCGAGCTTACACCGAGACGAGAGCCGCCTGGCATTCTCATCTCATCATTCCGCCTTGTCTGATCGCCATCAATGCCAAGTCCTCACGTTCAAAAAACCTTACATCTCACCTCTACACACAAACCCCCATCTGAATTTTTTTTTTTTTGCAGCGGATAAAGATAGCATTTTTTTCAATTGAGCAGGTCCTCAGTCGTATCGTCTCCAGCACTCACTGCCTCGTCTTTCAAAACATTTTCTCTCTCAAGCTGTCTTTGGTAAAGGGGGGGACGGGGGGTGAAAGATTGCCTATGTGAACATGTTTTGGTTTTTTTGATTTTTTTCAAGAAAAATCGTGCTTTATTTCTGTGATCAAAAAGCAACATGAGATGGTATGGTTTCTGTCTTGGTATCATATCCTGCTTTCCAGCACGATTTTTTGTCAGGTCCACGACTCTCGCTTTTTTCCCCAAAAAAAATAAAAATAAAATTACCATGTCCTCGACATGTGACGTAGACAAAGGGAATATGATGACAAAGATGCTTTCGATGAGAGAGAAAAATGAAAAGAAAAAAGAGATGAAGAAATAAAAGTGTGTTACCAGTTAAACAATACATGGAAAGTCTTTGACTCGACTCCTGAGAACCCCGTTGGGAATATATATAATATGACATCATATATACACAGGCTATCTACCAGCCAGAGAATTGAAAAAAAAGGGATTTTTTTGTTGGTTGGATTGGGGGAGGAGTTTGAGAGAGATTGAAGAGTCAGAGGAAAACAGAAGTAAAAAAATTTAGAGGTCGACATTGTTCGAAAAAACTGGCTGCTTCTTTGCTTTGCTTGACTAACCCAATAATTTCGTATGTCGAAAGCGAACGTATCATGCGCTTCTTCTCCTCCCTTTTTTTCTTTTCTTTTTGCTCGCTTGACACTTCGGGATTAATCAACACACACCCGTAACGTCCTTTTCGAGCCCGCCAACTCGGGCATCAAACCAGACCCCAACTCGCGAGAAGGCGCTTATGAGATGGTAAGAACCATGGGGCCGGCCACGGTAATGTCATCGCTGAGGACGCCGGTCATCGGGGCCTGGTTGGTGAGGGAGACGTAGGTGATACCGCTCAGGCCGGAGGGAACGACGCAACCGGTCTGGGGGTTGAAGGGGCTGAAGGTGGTGCCGCCGGGCTGGAGACCGCCGGTAGTGAAGGCACAGGCCTTGGCTTGCGCGGCGGTGTCGGCCTGGAGCACGATGGGGGCACCAATAGCGACAGCGCTGGGGGCAGCGGGAGCAGTCATGGTCAGCTTGGGGAAGGGCTGCAGGGCAAGGTTGGAGCCAGCCGGGCAGGAGGTGATGAAGGGCGCGGCCAGGGAGAAGACGGCACGGACACCGAGAGGAGCGTCGAAGGCCTGGGGAATAGCAACCTGCTTGGAGGCTCCGCGGATGAAGGTCTGATGACGGGACTCGATGGTGAGGATAGAGCCGGCGGCGCCCAGGATGGCCTTGTCCTTGACGAGGGGAGCGGCACCGAGATAGGCGGAGACACCGACATTCTCGAGGATGGCGGCAGTCTTTACCATGCTGGCGGCGTCGGTGAAGCCAAAGTTGTACTGGCAGGGCTGGACGGGCTGGGTACCGGCCTGAGCAATGGCAGATTGCAGGAAGGAGACGTGCGACAGCTCGGTAGCACCGACTTGCTGCAGGTCGTTGACTTGCTCCTGAGTGAGACCGAGGGCCATGAAGTCACTGGCAGGGAACTTCTGGAAACCCTGCTGGTAAAAGGTTCCCTCGAGCCATTCCAAGGTGAGAGCGCTGTGAGATTGCCGTGTTAGTCAACCGTATCCACACTTCCGTCCAGACATTTCCTGTTTCTTGGGGCCATTCTCTCCTCCAGATCCAACTCACAATTGCAGAATGTCGATATCAGTCAATCCAGCAGCGGGAGCAGCGGGAGGGGCAGCCGGGGGAGCAGCAGGAGGAGCACCGGGAGCGGGAGGAGCTTGTCTTTTGTTGGCGCCGGTGGGGAAAGCGGTGGCAACTGCGGCCAGGGCGGCGACGAGGGCGGTCTTCATCGTGGAGGGCATGGTTGATGTTTGTCTGAAGCGTTGCTTTTCCTTTTTTGAATATAAACTTGATTTTTATAATTTCCTTTTCGATCGGCCTGTTCTCCGGGGACAGTGAATCGGGCGATGGTAAAATGATTCGATCGGTGCCACCTGGGACGGTCGATTGGAAGAGAAGATTACAAGAATAATTAAATGTCGTCCGAAGGAGTGACAGTTGGTAGTAAGAGGTCTCGAAGGGGGAAAGGAGAGTAGAAGCAAAACCGGTGGACCCAGGAAAGCAGACCAGCGCTTTTGGTTTATAGAAGAAGACACACAGTGAACGGGATGAAGAGAAGAAGGGAAGAGAGGGGCGAGAAAGCAAAACGAGATGAGGAGGGAAACAAAGTAGATAAAGAAGGTTCACGGAGATGGATGGCCACGCTCATCGCACACTACCCATGGCGCATCTGCATCTTGCAAGCGCGCATGGCCTCCTGGCACTCGGGAGGGGAACCGATCGGCTTGGGTCCTTACTGGGGATTGTCTGCGGCTAGCTCTCTTTCCGTCGTCGGTTCACACGGGAGCCCACTATGCGGGTAGCAAGATACGCTCGACCGCAAAGCTTCAGACCCGACAGGGGTACGGGGTGGTTAAACGCTACAGTAAGCGGGAGGCTGTTCCTCCTGCTCCTGGTCTACTCTTGCTGCTCTTGGGTGGCGGTGACATTGGCATTGGCGTTGGCACTGGCACTGGCACTGGGCAACTAAGGAGTGCTTTGCATGGGAGGGAGAGATAGAGTGTGTGAGCATGTGCGGTAAGGGGTGATCTAGCCAAGGAAAAGGGCAGTAACAGCGTGGAAGGCCAGGCCCCTTGAGAGCATTGGCAAGGGGGGAGGGGGGGGTGCATGGCAAGAGATTCGAGGTTGAGAGTTCAGATGGCAGCAAGCCTCTTACAGCTTCCTTGCTCCGAGAGCCAGGCACGCCAGGCACAGAAATCTGCAATGTAGCAGTAGTACTGGCATAGTAGCATCCTTGGGAGGAATGGTAAGCATCCGTACTGGGCTCTGCATGTTTCGTTTCCGCTGCGGTCCAAACAAGCTCAGCGAATCGGCAAAAAGTCGCGTGGGCATAAGACCAATCAAAGAAGCTGGTCTGATGGGGAGAGAGGGGCACGAGGAAGAAGGAACAATGGTAAGGGGGAAAAAGATGGGATAGTTTGCAGGGGGGAGGAGACTTAATCGACCTTGGGACTCGATTGGGATGAAGGCCGTTTCCAGGTAGCGTAGTGACCCCTGCCGAGCTTGTTTTTGCGCTTCTTTTTTCCCGACAAGCCTTTATCTCTCTCTCTCTCTCTTCCTCTTTCTCCCTGCTTCACTGCGTACTCCGTACTGCAAGCATGCAAGCAAGGGTCCTGGACCTGCAGGCATGTGCCCTGGTTGCCAGGCTGGAAGGGGGAAGTTTCTGGCTCTGCAAGAGTGGCGCGCACTTGGGCACTTGAGGTAGTGCTCGTCACTGTTTGGCAATTGTAGCCAAACCAACTTTGTTGCATCGTGACCCCCAGCCAAGACAAGAGCTCTGCCCGGGTCACGAACGGGCCGTTGGCCGAAACCAATGTGATACGTCTCCCACGTCAGAAACCCCGGTCCGTGGACGCATGGACCTTTCCTGTCACTGACGCTACAGATGCGCTACGATTGGCCACCAGCTCTATGGGACCCCTACTCCGCAGAGTTTATGCGGGGCTGAGTGAGGTACGTACCTTTTCATATGCAGGAACGTTCTCTCGGTAACGCATCTTTCCAGCTCTCAACCACCCAGCTCCGTCAGCAATTTTCCCTTCAAACTTCCCTTACCGGCGTCTTGTTCCCGTCCATCCCAGACCACCTAGACCAGGCAATCATTCACAGAACAGCACAGCACAGCACGCATTCCACGGCCCCCGGCTAATCGTAGTGTGGATACTTGGCGTCTGAATCCAACCAAACCCATCTCTCAAAGGTCTGCGACATGGAAGGGCAGGTCTCATTTCCGCCGTCGTCGATTGACGTTTTCCTCTGACGTTGCCGACCGCACCAGGTAGAATTAAGGGCTCTAGATCGCCCTTTAACAGCCGCCCAGGGTGTCACGTTCCGTTTGTCCAGGGCCATGATCTGCAAAACCGGCCCTCCTCTAAGGGCGCCAGCCTTTGCTCGCTTCTTAATCGACCTGATTGATGGCTCAAGATCTTGACAGCAGATGCACTGGCCCGCGGCCAAGGTGGCCATCTCTAGTCAGTCACTCAGTCTTGGGGAGGGATAAGTGAAAAGAAACACTGTGGCCTGACCTGAGCCAAACCTGACTCGGTCCAGAAGAGAAACGGACGGGAATGTGCGCTCATTGAGAGCCTGACGAGTTCCCCTCTCGAAAAAACACACAAAACTTAGCAAAGAGACCCCAGAAACAGTTGGGTAGACGTCTCCAAGTTATCAATCCCTCACCAAAAAGGTCCAATAGTTTCTTCGCAGTCCAACCCATATGGCCCACAAGCCAAGGGAACAATAGTTCTGTGGCCAGAAATGAGCACTGACCTCGTCGCCCCGATTTCAGCTTCCTCTCTGGTCTTCCCCCCTTCGAGCTCCTGCTTACATAGTCACTGGGCCTTAAGCTTACCGCCTAGTAATACACTAGCCACTTAAGCTTATCCTAGCCATGGAACGCCTTCAACACCCACTAGACAAGCCTTACGGATGCACTAAGACATGAGTATTCCTCGCATGTGTGGACAACATCAGGCTGGGGAGAAGCTGCTGGCCGCGCATCCAATTGCTTGGCCAAAACCTTCTCCCATCCTCTCATCTCGTCAAAACAGCCGAGTAGTCTCGACTATTTTCCCCCCCTCCCCCCTCTCATCCCTTGGCTCTTCGGGTCATCCCAATGACACCGGATGGCCACTAGCTTCTTCCAACACGAGGAATTCTTCCAAAAAGGCACCAACTTCTTTCAGTAAGCCAAGGCCTTGCAGGGCTTACACAGTGTTTCAACACTCGCCCTCCCTCCCATTTGCGGGCTTTAAACCATCTCATCGCTTCAGCCAGGCTCAAGCAAGGGAAGGGAGAACGGAAGAAAAAAAAAATCTTGACCGTTGCGCCTGGAATGTCCCAGACGCCCTACAACAGAGTCAGCCACGCTCATGCTCGGCTTGAAAATGTCTTGGTCTCAACTTTAAGCAAGCGTCCATTCCGTCTACCCGTGACCCGAGTCGTGTGGGAAGGCCAAGCTTGCCACGCTCTTCAGGCCCCATCCCATCCCACCAAACAAAAAAGTCCCGAAAGCCGCCCCTTTCGCAAGCCAGACCCTGCTTCGCGAACCAGTGTGTGTCTCATAAGGTGATCAACCCCGTCCCCATCTCAGTCCAAGCTTGCTACGACATCATGACTCCGACGTCGTTGCTCTCGTGCGCCTGACACAACCGCGACCCCCACCAGCCGTTTCCTGTCTCCTCACACCACCACACATTTTACATCCGGATTTCCTCCCTTGAGCGGTTGTCTCTCAACGCCCGCGCCGCCCGCTTACACGTATTATCTTTGTCTCCGGGTATTTGGAACATCCCGTTCGGCTACTGGAAACAATTTGTTTTCCATTTGCTTTTTTCCTGCCCCCGCAGTTTTGCTGCCACGCTTCATTCGACCCGCCCGGAAGGAAGCGAAAATGAAGCCATCAGCCCCCCCCCCCCCCCCCAAGTCTTCCGACTGTCTCGGTGTCGTAACCTCGTGGTCAACATCATGCCTTCGCCCCGGGAACATCTTCAGCGAAGGGGAACCGTTTTATCCGAGGAAGAAAGTGCGACTAACCCTAGTATACCAAGATCTAGTAGTCCATGCAGAAGAAAGGAATTTGACGTGATGTTGATCCGCGTCGACAAACAAGTGATTATTTTCTACTCTCATCTATTAATGGAAGACACATGGGCCAATAATAATAATAAAAAGAAGCTACGATCTCCCGCGGTAGTCTATCTACATGAGAAGTAGAAGGGACGACGATCATACCGGAGTCTGCTCCTCTCTCTCCACGGGTCGAAATAAATGAATATAAAAAACAAATATAAAAAAAGAAGAAGATAAAATAAAATAAAAATAAAAAAGACAAGCAACAAGCATTCAACAACACGCCTACACAGCCGTCCCTGGGTGATCGCCGCGTAGATCTTACTGAACATCATGTAATCTGAACTTTGGACTCGTTGCAGATCCCCCGTCTTTACTACACTGCACTTACATACTACGTGACTACCTACCCACCCTTCAAATAAGAGGAGAACGAAGCTGGAATCTCACTACATGTTCAAAGGAGAGGGGAGGGGGGGGGGGGGGGGGGGGGGGCTCCTCTTAACTGCAACTGAAGATCCTCTTTTCCTTTTTTTTTTTTTCCTTCTCCCCCCTTCCTTTTCTCCACGAGTCTTATCTTCCTTCTTCCGCTGCTTCTGCGTCTTCTTCCTCTTCTTTTTTTCGGCCCCCCCCCCGGTCCACAAGCCGCAGCTCTTGTGGGTTGTAGTAGTAAAGTATTAGACTTGCTCCCCCCTCCCCCCCCCCCCCCCCCCCCCCCCCCCCCCCCCCCCTCCCTTCTCTCGGGCCCGTCTCTCCGACCCACCTCTCACACAACCCAACCCAACCCCCCTTTCCATCCCGGACCACAAGCCATCACGTCAACTTTTCCAAACCGGCTCTCTTGTCAACCACGACAAACTGAAACCAGCCCGTCTTGTCCCCCCTTGACCCACGACTATGAGCCTAGCTCGCTGACTGTGCAACATGCGCAAGGTATTGCCTTGCCGCCATGGCGGAAAAAAAAAAAAAAAAAGTAAAAGCTAGCGTGCGGCTTCTCCCAGACGCCGCCAAAATCACTTCAGTGTAACGCCTGCTCCGCACCTGGGTGATCGATCCCCTCCGCAAAGGCAAATCGTATTGCGCGTCCAATGCGTGTAATTGGATGTTCCATTTTGCTAACTGATGGGCGCTATTCTCTACTATTTGATCCTCCGCCTTTCTCCCTCAACTTCCGACATTTGTGCTAAAGTGACTCATCCAGGGACGAAGATATACTTCAATTACTCCAGTCCTCACCGTGTATCGTCCCATCTCTCACCCAAACTTTTCTACACCACTCAAAATACCTTTTCCTTTCACAGGGCGTACAATCTGCCCTGCTGCCCCCTTTGGGCGGTGACCATTTCTGGGTGCCCGTTATGGGGCGCTACATGTCGAGATACCGTTTTACAGAGCATAGGGGTTCAAAGACCGGATGGTCAAGCAACTGCAGCGTGTTAGCAATTATTCAACCTCATGTGTGATACGTGTCAACTTACGGTGGGCTCTTGGAAAGATCCGTCTTGAGAATCACGGGAACCCTGGTCATCTCTGTGACGTCTTGGATGTACTCGCCGCCCTCCTCACGCAGCTTGAAGAGCTTGAGGTACTTCTCCTTGTTGGACAGGCGGGTCTCCGGAGCCTCGGGTGCAGGCACCTTCGAGTCGGACCTGGTGCGCTGCAGAGGCTTGGCGTCGGATCGGATCGGCGAGCCGGGAACGCTCTGCGTAGGCCTCTCGGCCAGCGAAGCACCGGCCATGGCCTCGGTAACATCCGAAGCGTTGTCGTCATCATCATCAAAGAGCGCGTCGACGTCGTCGGTGGAGATGGTACCCGTCTCCGTCTGCTTGCGAGCAGCCTCTTCTCTCTCCTTCCTGGCACGATCAGCCTCTTCAGCTTGACGGGCAGCGGCCAAGGCGTTGGCGTTCCTGACAGACGCGGCGGCCTTCGGGCGCTCATCCTCAGGTACGTAGGCAGAGCTTGGCACGCCCTTCTCCCAGTAAAGTTCAAGCACTCTCTTCTCCTTTCTGAACTCGGCCTTCTTGAGAGGCAACTGATCGCAGTGCACACGCTTCTCGAAGCCCCATTCGGGGATGAGAACGTCAAATGCAGACTCGTAGACACAGAGGACAATACCCTCCGTGATGAGGTCGCCGTTGACCTCCTGTCTCTTCTTGTCCATCTTGCGGCATGACTCAATGTGGATGCTCTGCTCCTGGGCATTCTGAGCCGAGTCCTTCTTCGTGTTGCAAGCCTCAATTGTTTTGACGAGGTTCTCGAGGTCCTCCGTGTACTCAATCTTACCCTCAGACAGGGCAGCCTCGAGTTGTCGGTGGACGATGATGTCAGCGTAGCGCCGGGTGGGGCTGGTGAAATGAGTGTAAAGGGGCAGGTTAAGAGCAAAGTGAGGCCACAACTGCTTGGCCGTCTTGCCGGCAATGAAGTACTTGGCGCGCTGCATGGACTTCAGAACAAGAGTCTCCATTCCCTTGCGGACATCCGCATCGTCAACCTTGAACAGGCTGTTGTGAAGGCTGCCGCTACCAGAGATCTCGACCTCGTAGCCAATCGCATTCATGCGCTCAGAAAAGGTCTGCAGGCGGCGAGCGTTGGGCGGGCCTTGGCGGCGCAGCAGAGCCTTCTCAGGGAGGGCTTGAATCAGGCGCTGGGCAACAAAAGTGTTGGCCTTGTGCATGAGCTCCTCGACAAGCTCGGTACCGGGGGTCGAGTCAAAGATGTTGTGCTTGATGGGGATGTTTTCGTCGTCAAGCTGCTGCATGAGTCTGAGAGGAGCGATGGGCTCGCCACCAGCGCCGAGACGGGCCTCGGTAAACTTTTGAGCGACAGCCTGCTGTGTATTAGTATAACTTATTTCATTTAAAAGGTTTGCGTCCAGGGGCACTTACGTTGAGGATTTGGATATCCTTGAGCTGAATAGACTCATGCTTCCAGTCGGCCTGGCCGTTCAGGGCAGCATCAATCTCATCAATCGTGATCTTAGCAGTGCTCTTAATGATACTCTTGCCAACCCAAGCGTCGCCCTCGGCAACAGAGCCGTTGTGGGGGTTGACGCGGAAGAGCACACTGACAGCGAGGCGCTCCTCGCCAGGAGTCAGAGAGCAGACCTCACCAAAGATCTTGGGAGGAAGCAGGGCGCACGTGCGATTGACGAGGTGGACGGCGGTGCCGCGCTTCTTGGCCTCACGGTCAACAAGCGAGTTGGGCTTGACAAAGTGAGTGACGTCAGGAATGTGAATGCCGATGTCAATCTTGCCATCGGGCTGAGTCTTGATGTGGATGGCGTTGGCGAGCTCAGGCGAACCGTCGAGGTCGAGCGTAACGACCTTCTCGTCGCGGAAGTCACGACGGGCAGCGAGAGCCGTCTCATCTTCCTTAGCGAGAGACCAGTCTTGCAGGCCAACGCTGCGCAGAACGGCCTCGGAAAACTCGTCGGAGGAGAAGTTGTTGTCGCGGAGCAGGGCGTCGGTCTCCACCTTAAGGTCGCCCATACGGCCGAGCTGCTCGACAAGGGTACCGAAAGGATGCAGAGAAGTAATCGGCCAGCGCTTTATGCAAGCCACGAAAATGCGGTCCGCATAGTCCTGGTGCTTTTCGACGAAGTCGCGGGGAGCCTGTTCCGTAGGAATGGCAATGAGGGGCACGCGCTTGTCGGTAGGCTTGAACCAGACGATCTTGGGCTTCTCCTGGGAGCGGTTGTCCTGGTGACGAGAGTTGCCACCGTCTCTGGCGGCTCTCTCGGCCTCCTGCTTCTCCTTGGTAGCCTGGCTGCTGGGACGAAGCAAGCCGAGGGTACCAGAGAACATCTGACCAGCAACACGCTCAATGACGGCCACGATGTGTCCAGCATACAGGGGCTTGGCCTCATCGTTGATCTCCTCCTCCTCGACAAGGAGAAGGCTCTGGCCTTCAACTTCGACGTCGTCGTTCTTCTTCTGAGTAGGACGCTGACGCAAACTGCCGCGGCGACGGATGCCACCCTCCTGCTGAGTGTTGTCGTCATTGTTGTTGGACGACTGGTTCTGCCCGTTGGTGGATCCGGAGCGGGTATCGGTGATGTCCTTGCGCTTCTTCTTCTCTTCCTTCTCGCGCTTCTGCGACCAGACCTCGTCGACGTCGAGCAGCTCGACAGCGACCAAGTCACCCTCAAGGGCACGGTTGCGATCCTTGCTACCGCAAATAAAGATATCAGCATCGAGCAAGCCGTCCTGGGTAGAGACGTAAGCATCGCTACGGTTCTTCTTGTTCACGCGAAGAATACCAGACACGAGCTGTCCGTCGCCGAGAAGAGCGGGAAGAGTAGCCTGGGGAAGGTAAGGGGTAAAGAGAGTCTTTCGCTGCTGCTGCTGCTGCTGGTTTCCACCAAGCTGGCCGCCGTGTTGGCCGCCCTGAAGACCAACAAACTGTTGGCCGTTCATCTGGGCTTGCAGAGCCTGGAGCTGCTGGATCTGCATGGGGTTGAGCTGCTGACCGGGGTACATTTGCATGGGGAGCATCTGGCCGGGGATCTGCATAAGCTGAGGCTGACCAGGGTACTGGAACGCGCCAATGCCGGAGATGGACTGCTGGCTGATGGAACCACGATTGCGATGACCCGGCTGGAAGCCACCCTGATCCTGACCTTGGTTGCCGCCCTGGTTGCGCCAGTTACCGTCAAAGTTGCGAGAGCCGGTGCGGGCGTGGCCGCCGGCGCTGCCCCGACGTCCAAAGTCGTTCTGGTTATCGCCGGAGAAGCCACCACGACCACCTAGGCCGCCGCCGCCACGGCCGTTGACAGCCATGCTCTGGCTGCGGCCATGTCCTCCGCGTCCACGACCGGCGCTGGTACCCTGAGCAATCGGGGCCTCAGGTTGGGTCGGAGCGGGGGCGGGGGCTGAACCGCCCTCAGTAGCATCGCCAGAGGCGCCGGGACCAGGGAACTGGAAACCCGACGTTGTGCGCTTCTGCTGGGCAATTTCAGCCGCCTTCTTCGCATCGGCAAGAGCCAGGGAATGGCGCCTCTGGTGGCCACCTCCGGCACCACCGCCTCGGCCTCCGCGACCACCAGCGTTTTCTCTCCCGCCGGGGGCGCCACCGGGAGCGTCATTGTTATAGTTTGAGCCGGAAGCACCTGAGGAGGGAGCGGGAGGGGGTCCCATTCCCATGTTGGGAAGTGCCGACTGATTACGGCGATGTGACATGGGCTGAGTCGGAGGACCGCCCAAGGATACATTCTGCTGCGGAAGCTGTTGAGGGAACTGGAAGGCGCCCTGCGGCGCCAATCCCGGCTGCAGGGGGTTGAAAGCACCACCTGGGCCGAGCTGTTGCGTGGGGGGCATCATTCCCATATTCATGTATTGTTGCTGAGTAGCTTGGATCTGTTGCTGCTGTTGCTGCAACAGCTCGATCTGCTGCTGGATGGCTAGCTGTTCCACTGCGGAGGAGATATATTGTCAACATGATGACGATGATAGAAGAAGCACGACGTGTGGCAATGACAAGAGGAGATGAAGGGTAAGCTCGAAGCTCAAAGCTCGAAGCTCAAAGCTCAAAGCTCGAGGCTCGAGGGTAGATGCAAGTAAATAGGAGAAGGGAAAGGTTCAGTCGGGATTGGGACTTACTGCCCGGGTTGGCAAACATGCTCATCAACGGAGTCAGCTCGGAGGGGCTTCTCCTGTGCGCAATGTGAAGCCGGCGGCCGGCAGGGCCTGGGACGCCGCCAGCAGGCGGCTGCTGCTGGGGCTGCTGGGGCTGCTGCTGCTGCTGCTCCATGACGAGCAGTCAGACAGATGAAAAGATTGATGGGTGTTTGTTGTACTGCACGTCGAGTGCGTCGGATACGGATGGATTGGATGGGCAGGAAGGCAGCGTCGGATGGATGATTGTGGTTCTGATCGTTGGCGTCGATGCCGTGAGCTGTGTGGGATGATGTGGCACGTATTGACGTATGTATTTGCGGACTAAAGACAGTGGAGAACTGGGATGGATGTGGTTTTGGTCTCGGTCTTGGATTGTGGGCGTAGTGCGTAGTGATTCAAGGAGGGTAAGTTGTTTTTTTGGCTTGTCTGATGGACCTGAGAGAGATCGGATTGGGTTGGAGATGATTGAGGAGGGGAGATGGAGGGGGAGGGTGATTGTCGGCGAGACGAGAGAGAGATTGAAGGGAAAGGAACTCGCAAGGAGTGTGCGAAGTGATGGTTGAGGTGGAAAAAACGGGTGAGGCAGACAGACGTGAAGAGAAGACGAGGCAGGATGGGAATGTCCTCTGTGGTCGAGAGAGACTGACGGGGGGGTTTGTTGCGAAAGGCGAGTCGGGTCGGGGGGGTGTGGAGTGGAGAGAAGGAGGAGGAGGAGCAAGGACAGGACACTACGGCGACGGTGGAGGAGGAGGGGACAGGCAGGAGCAGTACCCCCCAGGTGGGCAAGTAAGGTAAAAGGTACCTTGGCCAGGTCACCCGTCAGTGGGAGGAAGAGCGTAGTAAGGCATAGCGGGCACAGGGCAATTGTGAGGTAAGCCATCCTTCTTTTTTTAAACCTACCTTTACTGAGTGCATAGAAGATTCCTTACCACGGGCCCGGGGGAAGGTACCTCTGCATTTCCGTAGACGGGGAGAAGACAATGAGAGTCAGAGATACATAGCGAGAGGGAGAGAAAGAGAGAGCGCGAGCCAGGGAGCTGGTTTTGGTAGTCATGGGTGCGGTGGTTGCCGCATTCCTCATCTCAGACAGAGAGAGCCTTGGGATTGACTGAATGACTTACGTAGTGGTTAGAGCTCTTGGTATCATCGTCAGTACATACAAAGGCACTGCAGTAGTCAGTGGCGGACACACAGAGACACAGAGACAGAGAGAGCAGAGGGGAGGTCCAGGTAAGGTACAGTAGTCAAGTATTTAGCACTAGGAAGCTAGGTAGGTAGGAGGTACCTTTGGCCACCCCCCGGCACGCTAGACAAGCAGGGCAAACAGACATGTACCTTGCCTGACTTGGGGTTGAGGTCAGCACTCAGTCAGGTCTCCAGTCAAGTTCGACGGAAGTGGGGAAGAGCCCACGCCGCACGCCAGAGAAAAGACCAGGTCAGGGCTCCCGGGTTCGAGGGAGGTACCTCGGGTACTTGGGTGATCAGTACCTTGTCGTGGTGCATTGCCCCTAACGTCTCCTGCTACAGCGCCCTCACACGCACCACATGCCCAGTGCTTTGGCACAAATGGCACCAGCCGAGTGCATGGCAGGAACACTTGCCAAGTCCCGGCGAAGTACTCTTACGAGACAGACCAGCGCCGGCGGCGGCTACTACCTGCTAGGTACCTTGGCGTCCCGTCTTTTCTCTGGACACCTGCTGCAGACAGGATACGGGGGCTAGATGCAGGGCTCAAGACGAAGACGGGGACGACAAAATACCTGGTAGTATGTTTCCAAGATGGATACGTAAACCGGACACCTCTTCTTTTTCGGCACTGGAACTCAATAGCCTGCCTGTCCGCCCCCAGGGCAACCGTCATGAACAACGAACTGTTGAAGCCGCGTGACCATCGAGAAAGCTCCTCCTGGGCACAGCTTCAGTTCTGTTCAGGGAAGACGATACATTGATTGACGATCTCCCCTCCCCAGCACCGCGGTGGAGACCACCTACGTACTATTATTACATAGTACCTCTCGGAACTTGTTCTGCTCAGCTCAGCTCCGTAGCGGCATCACACCTTCCAATGGGACCCCCAAAGTTGGAGATCCCTCCCGTCGCGCACTCAGGCCATCGTTGTCTATCTGTGCTGTCACTCTCTGATTATGCTGGTTGGCCATGACATAGCATGCAGTAGACAGACGCTTTTGTCATTTGTCATGGCCAAAAAGCAGGGTCAAGCAAGGCGAGACACGACAAAATCAAACTTTTGTTGTGCACGTCACTTTGGAAACCTGCATCGGCTCCGAGGCCCTGGCAATAACTCACACAGAGCGGGAGTATGATACTCCATGGTGCGCCCCCATACCTCTCTCTCTCACTCTCTCAGACACGCTACACACTGCCCATACTGTCACAGTCTCATGGGTGTGGAAAGGCAGCAGCAATTCTGGCAGCTAAAGGGTTCTCATACTGCATAGCAAACCTTCGAGGCCTTTCAGCATTCACATCAAATGGACGGAGGGGCCCATCTGCGGTCCGACCAACCAGCGGGGACGCTATACTGGAAACTGTTTGAGCCCAGAGCCACTATAGGCTCAATACGCTGCTGTCGCATCCACATGTGCTGCAACCACGGCGACGTCGCATACCTCTTTTTTTTTTTTTTTTTTTTTTCCTCACTTCTTTATGTATTTTTTTTTATCCGTTCCCTCCCCCCCCCTTTCTTCCCCCATGGGAAGAGACAAGCTGCGAGCAGCACACGCAGCACCTCGGGTCCAGGGTAACAGTGCAGCAGGGGTCGTCGCTTCCAGCGTCCCCAAGGAGCCCCAAGTCGCCGCGAACGGTAACATTTTTCCACCTTTGGACATCATCAAAGCACGCCTGATACATCGTATTATTTTTCCCATGCTCCACACCTGCTCAGTGCCCAACCTGAACTCGACAGTCTCGACCTTGTCAAACTTGTCCAATTGACGACACAGACACACCACCTGGCAGCCGCCCCCCTCCCATTCCCACCCAAAAAGGGCTTTAACCGTGAATAAGCACAGCCTCGTCTGGACTACCCAAAGACCACCCGATAGCCTTGTCAACCGCCCCCCCCTGACCGGCTACGGCGGACGTCACTCATTTTTTTCTACCTCAATTGGCTTTTATTTTTATTTTATTTTCTTCGGTTGCCGCCGTGATATTGCATCCCACGCGTATCCACCCCACCGCCCGGTGCCGTAGGCCCAGCCACATCCAGCAACGACTGGCACCTATCTGCGCATCCAACCATGGCGCATTCCTCGCCCTCACGGAGGAGCCACAGTAAGGATTTTGTTGCGAAGCAAAGTCCTGAGCGTGGTTTCGTCACAGACTTTTTGGCCGAGAATCGCAACTCGGAGCTGAGCCATCGCGATGCCCTCGCCGCCGCCCAGCTGGAGCATGAGCGCGTGCGTCTCGCCGCTCTGAGAGTCTATGAGGTGCACCAATTGCAAGAGGAGAAACAAAGATTAGAGGCCGAGCAGCGTAGGATAGCACAACTGCAAAAGGAAGAAGAGGAGCGCCTCAAGGCCGAGGCTGCTGTCCGCGCTGAGCAAGAGAGGCTTAGAGAGCTCAAGGCAAAGCAGATCCCTCAATTGCCCCCCGAGCCCGAGCCTGAACCGCCAAAGCCCCAACCGGCACCGGAGAAGAAACAGGAACCGCATGTCAATGGCACAACCGGACAGGAAACGAAGGCGGAGGCCACCGCCCCGGCGGCTACAAGTTCGCAGCCGACTCCCTTGACAAGTGCTCCGGCGCCAGCTCTTGAAACCGCAAAGGCACCAACACAAACCACACCAGCAGTTGTTAAAGAGCCAACTGCTTCAGCGCCTCAGGCTAATGGATTCCTAACGAAACCCGCCGCGGAACCTGTGCCGCCGACAAAGATTGTTGCCCAACCAGCCGCCCCCGCGGGCGCCGCTGCGGCCCTGCCAGCCACCGACCGATATGCCGAGATACATCAAGCCCTGAAGAAGTTGAGGAAAGATGTCGAGACCCTATCGAAACAACCCGGATCTCCATTGAAGGGCAAGCTGGGCGACATGCGCCGGCAGATAAGAAAGTCGATTGGGCAGCTGACTGCTGGCAAGGGGGCAAACGTCACACCTGTAAGCACCTTGTTGCGCGCATCCCTGCCAAGATACTGATATCATGACAGATGAACACGATCAACACCACTCTGCGCGAATCGCTCGACGGAAGGATACAGTCGCCGTTGATAGACGTCAGTGCATACGTTGAGCAAAATAGGGAGCCTGTCGAGGGGGCTGTGCACAACGGCGCGCAGCTGCCGGCTCTGTTCATCTACCTCCTCAACATCCTCTCAAAGGCAATCATAGGGCAGTTCGCCAACGAGGGTGGAGCGAACCCGAAATCCGCCGAGCCGGTCGGCATCGTCACGGCCCAGATCTTCTCCAACAAGGATTACCACTGGCGCGGCGTCTCCCTGATCGATATCCTGATTGCAAAGTTCCGCGTCGCCTGCCCCGTCCTGTTTGGCTCTAAGGGCAACGACAAGACTCAGGCGGGCCGGCAGGCCATCGGGTGGAAGAAGGAGGACGGCAACTGGATTCCCGAGCAGGCGCACAACGACAGGATGACGGGTCTGGGCGCCGGGTTCGCGGCCGTCGCGCTGCGCGACTTCAGCAAAGCTTCCAAGACGAACCCGTACCCGCCGACCAACTACTGGAAGGCCATGGCGCAGATTGTCAATTCGCCGCCGGGGCTCATCTCCAATACGCAGTACATTGTGCTTAAGTCCATGATTGACGGTCACCAGCAGCGGTTCATCAACTTTTACGGCAACGCCGCCATCGCGGCCCTGCGCATGGCTCTCGTGGAGTTTCCCCAAAAGGCTCCAGCGGGCGCCACGGCCGCCCAGGCCCTGCAGGTTCTTGCCGATGTCATGAGGAGAGATTCTGGTTTAGAGTTGTCATAAAAGCACAAGGGGGTTGAGTTTAATGGGGGAGGAGGGGAAGGAAAGAGAGAATAAATTCTTGTACACAAACTTTGAAAATCAAAGGATGGCCGGTTTCCCAATATGGGGAAAAAAAAGGAGGGAACGGCAAAACATCCACTCTGGCGTTTCTGGAGATTCACACATGGGCAAGACACAATATACAATACAAAACAGGGCGAGAGAGAGAGAGAGACTCGGGTCGGAATCCGGTTTATGCATGGGGCGCGGTTATAAGCAGGAGAAGGGGGGGGGGGGGGGGGGGGGTCCAGAAAGAACCGACATTATTATTAGTCTTGACTACGTTAGAACAGCGTAAATCGTTCGTTGGATGCGACGATGTACCGAATCCTGAAATCAAGACCTCCCAGGCAGTTAAGACTGATGAATCTTGTATTAAAAAAATAAAAAAAAGCTGAAAGAGGATAACCAAATCCATCGCTCCATGAACAAAAAAAAAAACTAAAAATAAAAACTCCATAACCCCTTCATGAATAACACAGTTCCCATTCTTTCTTTTATTTATTTCATTCCATCGCCCATGAAATCCGAAAAAAAAGGGGGGGGCTCGACATCCCACATCATCGTCTACAACAACAATAGCAATACCAACAACAAGATGAGCACGAAAATGAGCACAGCGATACAGCAACTACTAAGCCGATCCTCGTTGCGGCGCATGACGTACTGCAACTTTTGCACGCCGGTCTGCAGACGGCCGCCGACGCGGTCGGCGACGCTATCGACGACCTCGAGCATCTCGCGCTGCTCCTCCAGCTCGCGGCCCATGTCGTCCGCCTGCCTGCGCAGGTTGCCCACGGTACGGAAGACGCCGTCGAGGTGCGTGTCCTGCTCGCGCATCATCTCGAGCTGCTGCTGCTGCTCGAACTCGGCCTGGTAATCCGCGCCGCCGCCGTCGCCGTCGGGTATCGCGAAGGAGTTGGGGTCCGGCAGGTCCGAGTTGCCCTTGGCCGTGGAGGTGTCGCCGAGCTTCTTGGCGAGCTCCTCGCGCATGTCCTCCACCTCGCCGCCGACGTCCTGGACCAGACGCTTGCGCCTGGTGATTTCGGACGACGAGAGACCAAAGGCGGACGGGTCCGACTCGACGGCCTTGACGGACTCGACGAGGTCCGCGAGGTCCTCGGCCAACGCGGCCAGTGCGGTTTCGAGGTCGGAGCGGGCGGAGGCGAGTTCGGGGGACGTGGCGGAGGTGGAGAGGGAGCGGATGCGGACGTACGAGGTGAAGAGGGGTCTGGTGGATTCCAGCTGGGCGAGGACATCTCTGCGGTGATTTGTTAGTGATCTTGACGTTTCACGTAGGAGAAGCAAGCAAGCAAGCAAGCAAGCAAGCAAGCTCTAGCTAGCTAGCTAGGTAGCTGTAGGTTGACGGGGAAGCTTACTGCTGGACTTGGAGGAATGGATCCTCCTCGTTGGCGGAGGACATCATCCTGGCGACGAGGGTATCGAAAGTCGCATCCGTGGACGCATTGGTTTGTTCCCTATGTTTAAGTGCAAGCGATGCGCCGGTCGGGACAAGGGTTGTTGATGGGGGTGGTGTCCAATTGATGGAGTGGCAGAGGATGGGCGGAGGGTGATCTGTAGTCAATTTACCCTTTGGGTTACCGCGGCTGGGATGACGTTTGCGCGCCTGTCTGTCCTGTGCCTGTGCTGCGGCCAGCCAGCGGCGGCGGCGGTCGCCGTGGTAAGAGCTTCCCGGGCCCCCGTCTGGGCCCCTTTTAGGTGTCCACTCGCTGGTACGGAGTACCTTCTGGGGCAAGGTACTTTGGGGGGGGAGAGTGACGGACGGGGCCCGGGAATTCCTCGGAACGGGAGCGCTAACCCTGGTCTTCCTTCACCGAAGACGACCCCTCCTTCACCGAGAAAAATTCCATCCAGAGGGGTTATTTTTATGTAAGTGGGATGGATGCATTCATTTTCACTCACACATACTCTCTCACTCACCCACACACACATTCACTCATCAGTCACTCACTGAAGCCCAGTCTCACAATTCGAGACACATAACCGGGCTGGAAAGGGTCAAGGGTCAAAGGCGGGATACTCATAAGAAAGACACCAAAAAAAAAAGAGGTGGAAAAAAAAAAAAAAAAGAAAAGAAACAGTTCATTCTTCCAAACCCGACAGACAAAAGTCACAAAAGTCACAATGATACCAGAAAAGCCCCTCCCATACTCAGACGAGTACCCAACGGCAGAAGCCTACGTCTCTGCGCTCCTCGAGTTCGTCACGCAGACAGACCTCTTCCAGATCCTCTGCGGCGGCGTCCACGTCCTCGACTTCTTCACAAACTCCCCGGGCCTCTTCAACCAGGTCCTCCCGCAGGAATGGCAGCCTTTCCTTCTCTCCTACGACACGGTGCGCCTGCTCGACCTTCTCATGCGCGACGACCTGGACGACCTCCCCGAGATGGACCCGGCGCCGCCCGAGAGTTTCCTCAAGTACGTCCGCGACATCCGCCGGCTCTCGCTCCGGCGCTCCTTCGAGCCGTCGCAGTCGGAGACCAAACCGCCCCCCAAGCTGTCCCGCTCCGTGGCCGTCGGCATGAAACCCAAAAAGGTGCACGAGGTGGCGCACTTTGCCCGGTACGTCGACTCGCTGGCGGGCGCCATCTCGGAGCGCTGGGGCAAGGAGACGACGCACTTTGTCGATTTCGGCAGCGGGCAGAATTACCTCGGCCGCACGCTCGCGCTTCCCCCCTACAACAGGCACGTCGTGGCCGTCGAGGGCCGCGAGCACAACATTGACGGCGCAAAGGGCCTGGACGTGCTCTCGGGCCTCGCGAGCAAGGAGGTCGTCATGCGCAACAAGAAGCTGTGGCAGCAGATGCAGGCCGACAAGTTCGGCACGGAGATCAACGTCAAGAAGACGGCCAAGCCGTCCACGGACGCCGTCGAGGACTTTGATTTCCGCCCCCTCAAGGAGCTCGAGCCGCAGTACAACCGCGCGCTCGGCAAGGGTTCCGTGTCGTACGTCGTCGGCAGGCTGGAGAGCGGCGACCTGACAGAGGTCATTGGGCGCATCGAGAAGGAGGTGCTGCCCGAGGAGGCGGAGGCGGCCAAGGAGGGACTCAAGATGATGGCCGTGTCGATCCACTCCTGCGGTAATCTCTCGCATTACGGCATCCGCTCGCTCATTATGAACCCGGCGATCCACTCGGTCGCCATCGTCGGGTGCTGCTATAATCTGCTGACGGAGAAGCTCGGCCCGCCGACATACAAGTACACGTACGCGCGGCCTAGCCTGCAGGCGCTCAACGGCCGCGTGGTCAGGGAGTCATCGCGGTACGACCCGGAGGGATTCCCGCTCAGCGAGAGGCTGGCGACGTACGACGGTCACGGCATTCGCATGAACATCACGGCGCGCATGATGGCGTGCCAGGCCCCGCAGAACTGGAACCAGGCCGAGAGCGACGACTTCTTCACGAGACACTTGTTCCGCGCCGTGCTGCAAAAGATCTTCCTCGACAAGGGCATCATTTCAAAGGTGTACCACCGCGACCCAGATGCCGCCGAAGGCGAAACCACCCCAGAGACGCCGTTCAACATGAGCACGAACCCGGTCATCATCGGGTCCCTCCGTAAGGCGTGCTACAAGTCCCTGAAGGACTACGTGCGCGGCGCCGTGACGAAGCTTACTACGAATCGCGAGTACGGGCAGTACAGCGCCATCATCAAGGAGAAGATGACGGACATTTCGGACGAGGAGATCTCGCGGTACGAGGAGGAGTACCTCTCGCGCAAGAAGGAGGTCGCGGCCGTATGGAGCCTGATGGCCTTCAGCGCGTGCGTCGTGGAGTCACTCATCGTCACGGACCGCTGGTTGTTCCTCAAGGAGCACGACGACGTCGTCCGGGACGCGTGGGTCGAGACGGTGTTTGACTACGGGCTGAGCCCTCGCAACATGGTTGTCGTGGGCATCAAGAGATAGAACTGGCGCAGGTTTTTTTTTCCGGCTTGGCATACATATCTGGTCTTCATCATCACCGTCATTCTTGTTCCATGTTCTACGTCCGCCCCTACCGCAGTGGCGATTTTTGGATACCACAATGACAACAGCAAGAACACTGGAGACGGCGGATAGGCCGGGTGAAGACAGGATTCACAACGGAGAGACAAGCACGGCAGGGACGGCGCAGGCGAACTCCTTGAAGCGGCAATGACACCGATGCAGCCAGGCAACTGGGCATGGTAACTACAAGACATGTCAAGACACGAGTAGCCGCTGTTGGGGCCCGGGCAGGCCGTGTCTGAGAAAACAACGGCGACGCCGTAATGCATTTCCCCCTTGGCTATCGGTACTGCATGCACGACGCAACAAAAATTGATGTATACGTCGCTTGACAGTAGCAACAGCAGCAGCAGCGAGTCGGGGGGTGACAGGGGTTCGGGTTGATCATGTCGGTTACTGCGGCAAGCGGACTAACCGCGGGGGTTTTTTCTTAAATTCTGCTCATGGACAGCGTCCATGGCATGCATGAACTTGCATCAGCCAGTGGGACGGTTGCGATACGTCGTCAAAAGAGTTACATTGCCGTAGGAACAGCAGAATGCGCGAGACGATGGGCCAAAGGCTCGTAACCAACCCCTCCTTCGCTTTGCTGCATTGTCCTGCTACTGTATGCAGGGAACGGCCCATTTGCGGGGTACATTGGGAATAAAGCCAATCTGCAAACGGAAATCTTGACCGGTTAGACTGTGTGGGCTAGAAGTGCAGGAGAAAACAAGTATTAGTAGGACAATCAATTAGCCCTTCAAGCTAGCAATAGAGCTATTGATGGGCAATAGTCATAGCTTGAGATAACGACAAAACCGTCTGATTTCCCTATCTGTGGATCACTCAACGGATACGATCCGATCCGCATAGATAACGGTCAAAAGAGATTTGTCGGGACTTTAAGGAAGATGTGATGATTAGAAGCAAAACAGTGATTGCATGCCCCGTTTAGAGGAGACACACCGCACGACCGAGAAGAGAGAGAGAGAAGAAAAAAAAGCCTCATTTGTGTTAGTTGTAACTTAGGACTCGGCGATGTCCCGGCCTCATGATGGATCAAAGCACGCGGTGAGTGTGACCTGTCTCCAGCAAAGTGGAGGCCATGTATCGCTCATGTCAGCACTCTTCTTCCGTGAGCATCCCACGCCGCCGACGTAGACGGTGCCAGATTGGGCATCCGGGCAAACATGGTGAGCAGCGGAAAGCTCCAAACAGAACATCAACCACTCTCGACGCATCATCTGCCGCGCTCAATCACCTATGAACCGCCCCCCGATCCGTACGTGAGAAATCCCGAACGGTGCGCGATGCTGTCATAGGTGTGCGCGGTGACGATGCAGGTGCCTGCCAACCCCCCTACCTGCAGGTAAGACGACCGAGTATCTGGCACAAGCTAGTCTAACCTTGGAACTCATTGTTGGACGTCGGAATGTCACGAGGCAAAACAGCGGAGTCGTGGGCTTGGTATCGTCAAGCTATGCTTCATACGAGTCAGGTTTCCGAGGCGTTAGAGAGTGCTTTACTACGCCGCACGAATTTCATCAAGAGTTTGCACATGAGTGGTTGGCAATGGCAAAAGATGGGGGGGACGTGAGCCATCATGATGAGACGCTTAGAAGCGGCTGTCGAAGAACCGTTCCAATGTTGGCAGGGTAGCGGTGGAGGCGTTTGCTGAAGAGTTGAATTCTTAGGATCCAGTTCTGAATGAGGGTCTAATACTCCACGTGCCTATAGATAGAGGCCGGATTGCGGGAGCAGAGTCGCAATGGTCAAAGTGGGATGGACGAGCGCTGAGAAGAATAGGATCCCCTGTCCTTGCCAAGGGTTGCACCCTCTCGTGGGGTTATGGCGCCAACAGTCTGACTAGGTAGCACTGTTCATCTGGTAGGAGTCGTCGGTTTGTCGTTATTGGGAAGCCCGGACGACATGGCTTGATGGCCACGGCATCGTGCTTGTTGTTGCTGCAACGTTAGGAGCAGCGCGGCACAGACGAACCCACTGGAGAACCCATGTTCGGCCATCAACCACTCGCGTGGCGTCCGAGGTTGACGAGAGCCATTGAACCCAGTCAAATGGTAGGACTGGACAGAGAAGAAAGGGTTTAGACAAGGGTTTGGGATCGGCTGTAATGGGCGGGGCCAGAATTTCGGAGACGGGAAGAGTGACGGAAGTTTTTCTTGTCTCTTCTTATTTTCTTAGGAGCCGCCACAGGCATGGCCGAAGCTGTGGTCTGACGCAATAACGTCGACAGAAAAGAACGGAGTTGAGATGGCTAGGTAAAAATGTATCGAGAAAGAAAGAGGGAGTTGGAAGGGTGCTGGGAACTCAGAGTGGCTCCAGGGCCCCCAAGCACCCAAGAGGGGTCCAAGTGCGGGGGTGAGCAGAGCATCCTTGCGTGGGAGAGAGTTGGCCAAGATGCATGGGTAGTGAAGACGAAGTATAGTACAAGCGTCTGAACGATGTCATCATCAATGTCGTAGAAGAGCACAGGATCCTATTGTGGAATCCAAGTGTCTTTCGATTGAGAGAAAGGGTAGAGGATGCGTCGTTGCTGGCGGGTACCATTATCCCATGTTGTTCAGCAAGGCAGGTCGATGCGATGCCGTGGCCAGCCGCACTCATGATCAGGCAATTCTCGGTGACATATGGGCGATCACGATGTGGTTCGGTTCTGTTTATGTGGTGTTGAGAGGTGAAAAGTGAGAGGTGACAGTGGTGTGGTAGGAATGCTAAGTAAGGTGATTGAGGTAAGGGTAAAAGGGTAGTACTTGCCAACGGCAGTTCCTGTCAGGCACATTAGCTGACTTACATCATAGTTCGCAGGCGGATCGAAGCCAGAATGCGAGGGTTACTCCTTCCTACCATTTGACTTTCTTTACCGATGTAGACGCCCCCCTCACCCATCGATTCTTTAGTTCAGTTGGGGGTGTGTGGTTGTTGATTCTGGGGGGATGTTATTTGGGTTCTCGGCGCCTTGTCTGGCTCAACAAGAGTCTTCTACATACAGAGAGGATGGTACATGCCTAGGCAATAAGTTCCTCTGCAAGCTGAATAGGCTAGGAGATTGGCTACGGCGTAGCTCGTAAATAGGGCGACAACAAGAGGAAAACCCCCACGTTGCCAGCCCCACTAGTCTGCTGCATGCCGCTCGAAAGGGCCTTGAACCGAACGCCTTTGCCTGCGGCTGGGCTGGCATTCTCATTCCTTTGTTCATGGTTCACACGTTTCCTGGGGTCTCGCCTAGCTCTGAGGTGAGAGCTTGTTTATGCCTCCTCAGGGATTGTAAAATAAGAGAGAGAGAGAGAGAGAGAGAGAGAGAGGCCAGGCCAGTTGATGACGGTCAAGGCGTCAGGATGACGGGATTCGTCTAGCACGTGCCCCAATCTCAGCATCATTAAGTAAAATCACACCTTTTTTGTTTCTTTCCCTTTCTATTTCTATTTTTGACTCGAGTGGTTGATGGTGGATAGACAAGGCTTAGCATCCAAGAGACGGCGGAATGGAAGTGCATGCTTTTATTTCGCAATACCACAGTACCAGTTAATAGCTAGTATCTTGACGGTTTTGTGGAGAATTTCAAGCGTAGAGCGGCTCAACTGTCAATGCCCACTTACACGGAATCAGGGTAAAGGTGTGTGTACCTGACTCAAGCGCCCGCTACGCTGCGGTGGCCACGATACATCCTCATGACCGAGAAGAGGCGCTTGATTCGGATATCTCCAGCTCAAGCAAGGGGGGCGGTCTATGAGATCCAGAACACAGCTGTCACAACCAGATAACGTCGTGAAACCACTAAGGAGGATTCTCATCCCCCTACCCCCTCTCATCATCGTCCTACTGTCGAATTGAGAAGTGCAATGGCTGCGTGCGTGTGTGTGTGTAAGAGAGTGTGTGCGCGTGCTGACGAGACACACCCACCACCAAAGATGCAATCAATCATGGGTCTTTTTCTGCCCTCTCCCCTGCCTGCTCATCAACCCCGCCATGTCATGCTGCCCAGCCCGCCAACCTTCCTGCAAGTAGAACCAGAGAGAGGCGTCCATCTGCTGTCTCTAGTGTATTCGATTTGTGGGGAGTAAATATGAACGGTAATTGCACGGACGAGTATGGAAGAGCATACGTGACTGATAGCGTCATGAAATATGACTGTCCAATGTCGGTTCACACGAATAAAGCATGGTAATTATATTCATCATCGCTTTTCTTACCAACTCGGCCAACTGCATCCTGACCGAGGGGGGATTGTCTAATGCATCTGGACGTAACGAGACGACCACACACCTCGCTAAGTCTGTTGAATATTCCAGAGACCGGAGGACACGTAGGCCAACCAAAAAAGAATATGAACAAGATGAACAAATCCATTAATGAAAAAGAAGTGAAATAAAAACAAAATAATAATGTGATGAGAAAAAAAAAAAAAAAAAAAGAGAGCTCCATCTTGGCGCAAACCACTCAAGCGGAGCTGTAAGAGGGGGCCTACGCTACCCGCGCCCTATTACACCCTCTTCTACGTGCAGAAGACCCCCCGCCAACACCTACTACAGATTACCTGATGCTAGTTTCCTCCTCACCTTATCTGCAACCCAACCAAAATTTCAAAGACAGGCAAACCCACGTCTATGGGCTTTCCCCAGTCACTATTTTCTCTTCTCGCACTCATATTTTTTTGCAGTGTTCCTGGTTGGCCGTTGACTCCTCTCCCCCATTTTTCTTTCTGCCCTTCTCTCCCTCTTCGTCAGGCCCCCCCCCCCTCCCCCCCAGCATGTGGCCGCACGGTTCGTGCTTTAGCGTCCCATTATCGACGGCCGCCGCAAGTTGTACGCCGCATGCCGCACATCAGTGCCCTCTCCGCACCATACCTTGAAGCTGCCTTGCCTTTGCCTTGCCGTGCCTTGCCTAGCTTGCGACTTCAGGGTCCATACGAACCTAATTATTCGGCTTTTCCTGCCCTCCTTCAAAACCTTTCCCATCCCTCCCTCTCTTTTTCCTTATTTTATTATCCTTTCCCTCGATTTCTTGATTTTGTTCTGGGTTTTCCTCCTCTCCCAGTTTTGTCGACATCTCGCATTACTCTTGGGAGTTCTTAGTCGGGGTAGAGGGAACACTTTATAAAACGAGAGAGACAACACGACTTACAACGATTTCCCTGTCCGCAACGGCTGCCAAAAAAGCCGACCACCTGAGACTCTCTGACTCTCGCCCCCCCAAAAGGGCACCAACCAGCCTTACGAAAGCCTGAATCCGATCTCATTACAGAGGCCGCTCCTCCGATATCCTTCCGCGCGCCTAACCGCCGGCGTCTGTGCCCTCCCGCACATCGAAATCGGATTTTTTTTCTTCTTCCTCGTCTTCGTCTTCTTTCCGTCTTCTCGCCCCTTCGTTGATAGAGGGACCGAAGAAAATAAAAGGCATTCTTCTCGGCCTCGTGCGCCAGGAGCTTGCGCGACCGCATCACCATGAACGCCCAGGTCTCGTTCCTCGTAAGTCGACACTCATACAGGGCCCCTTGTCTGTTTCTCTCGATACAGTCACCTAATTGCGGGGCTGGTTCTTATACCCATATCCACCCCGCTACCTCATCGACAAGACGTACACACGCTTTCCCTAGACCGAACCATAAATGACACAATATCTTGGGTATATTGCCGAAGCTCTCTTTGGCTAACACTGAATGCGCTCGCGCGCTCTATCTAGGATGGCACATACACCCTGATCCACATCCCTCTAGATCTCTACTCGGTTCTGCTGCAGCCCATCCTCCGCGTCCTCCTCCCCCAGACTCAGACCCTCAAATCCTCAAAAGGGGAGCCCGAACATGAGCTAGAGGGCCTCAACTCCGAAAGCCAGCATGGCTTCCTCAACATCAGCGTCACTCCCATGGAGTGCTCCATCGTCTGCCACAGCTCCTGGGCGAAAAACGTCTTCGAGCCCGCCATAAAGGACCTCCCCAAGGACCTCGCCAAGTCCGTCTCCATATCCAAGGACACCTACCTCGTCCTCTCCGTCATCAGCGCCGGCATGGACGCCGCTGGCCGTGTCATGGAGCTGACATCGCCCTTGGCCCTTGCCGGCATCCCCATCTTCTTCATCACCACCTACTACTCCGACTTCATCCTGGTGCCGAGCAAGGACAAGCAGACCGTCGTCAAGGCCCTGCTAGCCCGCGGCTTCGAGCTGGCCGACAACGAGTCCAACTTCGTCAGCCCCGGCGCCTCGGCCCACTCACGGGGCGGCAGCCAGACCAGCGGGCCCCCGCTGACCCCTCCGCCCTCGACCATAGCCGAGCTTCAGGTGCGCACGTTCGACCTGCTTAAGAAGCGGAGCGTCGCCCCTTACGTCGAAGACGACCTCTTACTCGTCCAGTGCTCCGGCCGGGAAATCTCCCAACTCGGCGGCGAGTTCTCCCACACCCAGCGTCCGCCCCTGAGCAGGCAGACGACGGGCAACTGCCACCGCCAGACGTGGCTCGACAACATCGACGCGAAGCTGTACACAGCGATGATTTCGGCGCTGGCGGCGCGCCCTCGCTTCATCTCCATTACCCTGGCGCAGGAAGACCCGCCCTCGCTGTTGCTGGACAAGTCGCTCCTCGCCCTATTTGGCGACTCCCTCGTCGGCGACACCAAGACGAACCTCGTCCCCATTTTCCTGGACCTCGAGAGCCTCCCATTCGAAGCCACAGGTATCGTCTGCGGCGTGGCCGGCACGCTGGTGCAGGACATGCGCACGGGAGACAGCGCGGGGCTGTCATATCTCTCCACCGCTAGAGCCGGTGCCGTCATTCTCTCGTGCGAACAGTCGATACGCGCCTTGGAGATCCTTGAACCTAAGTTGTACAAGGCCTGAAAAAGAGTGAAGTATGCGAGAAACCAGCATGATGAGTGATGTCAAAACCAAAATACCAGGCGGATTAAGAGAGAGAGTGAGAGAGAGAGCGAGAGCGAACCCAAAAAAATGTCGTTGGATTTCCTTGTGGAGTGCGTGCGTAGCATTAACGACGTTGGATGAAACGAATGACTGTACTAGCATGGACTGGTCTAGGTGCTTGGCAATCTGTATTTTTTTTCTTTTTCTTCTTCTCTTCTTTTCTTTTTTCTTGAAAATGTCGTGGAGGCATGTTGGCGTTGGCGGAGGACGGCTCTCTGATGTTAGATACCAACTTTTGTATGTCTTGCGAGGATGGCTGGTGTCGGACCGGACTCAATTCGAGATGACTTTAAATCTCGCCTCCTGGGCTGTCGTATCTGGGACCTCAAGAAAGTGCATGCAGTAAACGTGAACGGGCGAGTCTGTCTGATAACCCCTCCCTTCATCATCCAGATCGTTCACGCCTTGGGGAAGCCAGCTCTACAATGGCGGCAATCCCCCGCAAGTTCCCGCGCAAACCCCCCCTCTCACACACAGAGAGAACCTGTCTTGCCTTATCCATCTATATAACCCACACAGAGGAAAAAAAAAAAAAAAAGAACAAGGCTCAACTCAACTCACTTGCCCTTCTTCTTCCCCTGCCCGGCCTCCTCCACCCACCCGGCCTTGACGAACGCATCCCTCGCAGCGCTGTTAATCAACGCGAACCTCCGCGGCCCCAGCTTCTGCCCGCCGTACCACCTCGTCACGACGACCATGACATCCCACAGGTCCATGAGCTGCATGAGATGCAGCAGCCTGCCGCCGGCCGCCGTCTCGCCGTCGTCGTCGCAGTCCTGAAAACTCGTCCCGTTCGGCCCCCGGATCCGCCACGCCGTCATGTTGTGCGTCGCCGTCCGCGCCTTCTTGTCCGTGGCCAAGAGGTGCTTCACGTACGCCGCCGCCTTCTCCGGCGACGTCACGGGCGCCGCCCGCGCGACGAACACCGACTTGAGCTCCACGAACGGGTCCGACAGGATCCAGGGTGGCTCTTCCGCGAGGTAATCCGGCACGGAACTCTCTTGCGCCGAGGGATCATCTTCTCGGGCTTCGGGTGAGGGACTACGCGCCGCGGCTTGCGCCTCGACGCTCGCCTCGGCCCACCTCTGGAACTCTTCTATCGCGTCAAACAGGCATACGGCGCCCGGCTGGTAGACGGTGGCGATGGCGTCGCGGAAGAGCGCCAGGTCCCGTGCGCCGGCGCCGCGGGGCGCATTCTCGCCTGTGCTGTGGGTGCCTAGAACCTGCGGCGGCACGTCCGGGTAGGTCTCCGGTAGGCGGAGGGTGAGAGAGGAGGAGCCCGCGCCGGGGAGGGCGAGGATGTAGTCTGGTGGTGAGGGCGCGAGGGTGCCGTCTCCGTAGATGGAGTTTATGACTTCTATCTCGTCCTTGAGGTCGTCCGACATTTTGGGGGGGCTGTGATGAGTTGGGGTTTGTGAGGGCCGGGACGGACGTCGGGAGAGGTGCCGAGGGGTGGAGGTGTAGGTGCGACGAGTGGTGAGGTTGAACGAGAGCGAGGTTCTGCTGTTCAGGCGGTTACGGATGGGACTGAATAGTATTATTTTCGGGGGGTGAGATGTGTATGAGCGTGCAGCTTTCCCTTTGGAGACCAGTCTCAACAAGAGTCGAGATGAGTGGTGGGGTAGCTTCATATGATATGGCACTCACTGAATGTGTCGGGTGTGATTGCGGAGTGGTCGTGAGGGACTCGCGCCGAAAAAGACCGGACTTTCAACCGTTATGCGGGAATTGTGGGTCAGAATGGTCCGTGCAATTTCACTGGGCCTTTGGTGTTATTCTATCTGTTGCTTCTCGTAAGACTACCCACTTTCCAAGACTATGACCTCTCATATCAATGACGGATTATTTATTTGTTGTTCAGAATTAGTCAATTTGTTTGTACTTCCTGAAGACTCAGCCAATGCATAAATATACGTAGAAAGCCGAGTAGTACTCATTTACGGCCCTAATGCCAACTTCAAAAGGCTCTAGACAACTTGTCATCAAGAACACTCAATTCCAAATGACCTTTCGTTGGCTCATGGCAATTTTCACTCTGCAAAGTGCCATCCAAAACCATTTCCGCTTCAAATGTCCAATCTCGTTACTTGGTACGAGGTTCTACAGGACCGAGATACCAGGAGATGGTTAACCTTGCGTTGGAAAAACGGGCCCGTGGCAGAGGGAGATTGCCTTGTTCACAACTCAACGCCGGCATCTCGACTGAGTGCCCGATAAAGCTCAACTTTGGTCTCAATATTGTCCCGGTCTTCAACACACTTCCTCCCCTTCACCCCTCACCCCATTCTATTTAGAGCATATCATTACATAGCGGATTAGAATAGCTGGAAAACTCACCGTTCAAGACGCGGTATTAGTTTGCTTGTCTCACATCACCAGTGGTCTGTATGGCAACCTCTGTGGCGTTTCCAAGGTACGTCGTTGGGCTTCCTAGAAAACCCAGCAACAGCCACAACCCCTGCACCCTCCCATCCCCGGCGGCAGGTGAGACTTCACATCGATACGCAATCCATGGCGTTCACTCCCAAGACAGGCCTGACGCTGCCGGGCGTTCAAACAACTGCAACTACGCCACTTTGCGGCAACACAGACACGCTGTGGCAAAATCACACAGGTGAGCACAACGCAGGATCATATACATATTGATATACTAGCGGAGACTACGAAAAGAGAAACCACCATGCAGGATGCATCTTCGCTCCGGACTCATCTATTGAACCCCGGGCATACCCTACCGCGCAAGGAGACTTGGACTAAACAGAACATTACCCGACGACTCGAGACGCTTACTCGTCAACAACGGAAGCAAACTTGTCCAGCATCTGCTGTTGAATTTCCTCGTACTGTACAATAGACGTTAGCCACAACGCAATCACTAGTCAAATCACGGCAGAAACGCACCTTCTTGGTAATGCTGTCCTGGCCCTCGGTGGGAACCTCAAACTTGAGTTGACGCAGCTTGGACTGCAGGTCGGATGTAGCCTCGCGCACCTTGGCCCAGCTCTGGCCCTGAGCAATGGCCTTCTGCGCCTCGTCGTGGAAGCCGACCATCAGCTTCATCATCCACTCAGTTTTCCACAGAGGGCAGAACTGGTCGTAGTCTGAGTAACCGTTCTGCTGCAAAAAGTCCTCCTTCAGGAGAGCGGCAATATCCAGAGTGATCTTGTCAGGGTCGGACAGCGCGCTCTTTCCGACCAGCTGCACGACCTGGTCAAGCTCCTCCGAGTCGGACAAAAGCTGCTTGATGCGGTCACGCAACCGGGGGAAGTCAGGGTACTCCTTCTCATACCACTTGTCCAGGACCATGGTGTACTTGGAGTAACTGAGCGACGTGTTGATCGAGGGGAAATGCTTGCGCTGGGCGAGCTTCTTGTCGAGACCCCAGAAGACCTGCACAATACCGAGGGTGGAGGTCGTGACGGGATCGGAGAAATCACCACCGGGAGGGCTGACGGCACCGACAATGCTGACACTGCCTTGTCGCTCGGGAGAACCGAGAGACTTGACGCGACCGGCACGCTCGTAGAAACTGGCCAGCTTCGCACCGAGGTAGGCAGGGAAACCTTGGTCAGCAGGCATCTCTCCCAAACGACCGGAAATTTCACGAAGAGCCTCAGCCCATCGGGAAGAGGAATCAGCCATCATGGCAACGTTAAGACCCTGGTCACGGAAGTATTCGGCGACGGTAATACCAGTGTAAATAGAGGCCTCACGAGCAGCGACGGGCATGTTGGAGGTGTTGGCAATAAGGGTAGTACGCTTCATAATGGGCTCCTTGCGACCATCGACGTCGATAGTAAGCTCGGGGAAATCCTTCAAGACTTCAGCCATCTCGTTACCGCGCTCACCGCATCCGACGTAGACAATGACATCGCTGTTGGAGAACTTGGACACAGACTGACTAATGACAGTCTTACCGCAACCGAAAGCGCCAGGAATGGCAACGGTACCGCCCTGGACACTGGGGAAAAGAGCGTCCAGCACTCTCTGGCCGACAACGAAGGGCTCGTTTGCCTGGAGCTTCTCGGTGGTCGGACGGGGAACTCGCACAGGCCAGGACTGCATCATCGGGTACTCGGTCTTCTTGCCGTCGAACTCGACCTCGAGGAGCTTCTCCTCGACGGTGTAGCTTCCCTTGCTGGCGATCTTGGTGATGGTACCGCGGGCGCGGGGAGGAAGCAGGATTCTGTGGGTGGAGATGAACGAGTTCTCGTTGACAATACCCCAAACGTCACCGCCAGAGATGTGGTCGCCGACCTTCATCGACGGCTCAAAGTCCCATTTCTTCGTGCGGTCAAGGGCAGGAACAGCAATACCGCGGGGGATGTAAATGGTCTTGGAGATGTCGCTGATCTTCTCGAGGGGTCTTTGGATACCGTCGTAGATACCGTTGAGCAGACCGGGACCGAGCTCGACGGAAAGAGGCTTTCCGGTACGGACAACGGGGTCGCCGACAGTGACGCCAGCTGCAATGTATCACATCAGCCAAATATGCTCTCACAAAAGTTTGAGTCTGGATCAAAGGCGTACCAGTCTCCTCGTAAACCTGAATTGTGCATTGGTCGCCATTGATACGAATGACTTCACCGACTAGGTTATCGTGACCGACTCTAACCTGTGACTTGTCAGAACCCTACGCCGGTGTTCGTCCGGGCAGTCAAAACATACCAACTCGTACATAGCAACACCAATCATGTCCTCGGCGACAATGACGGGTCTAGAAGGCGGTTAGTCTTCGGCGCGCGGCAGGTCGAGGGAAGGGGGAGAGCCCGGGGAGCTTCGAACGCACCCAGAGACCGAGAAGATCTTGCCTGCAACAAGACGTCAGTTAATGCCATCGTCATCAACGATTAGTGATGAAAGAGAGTAGCTTACCCTTCTGGGCTTCATCCTGCTGCTCGGCCTTGTTGTCTTTCTTCTGCTTCTGCGCCGAGGGCGCCTTGGGTCAGCTTCCAGCGATCGAGGTCGGGTGGGTGGGGCACGCATTTGCCGCATAACACAAGCGACGGAATCGGGCTGCTTACGGGAGGCATGGTGGACGGTTCGACGCGAGCAGGGCTCGGCTCGTGCAGCGTCGTCACAGGAGGAAGTTTGGTCGATAGAAAGGAGGGGTCGGGGGCTGAGGGGGCGGGTGATTTGGATGGCGTTTGACGAGGAGTTGTTGGAGGAGATGATGGTAGAGGTTGAGCAGAAGCTATTGCCAGAGCTTCGACGTCCACTTGGCTGGTCGAGTGCGGCTGCGGCTCCTGTGCATGTCTGGCCGGGGGGCTCCAGCTGGCATTGGGATTGGTGCGACCAGCCCACGCCTCAGAAAGCGCATGCGAAAGTGGAGCCGATGATGTATGCCCGGGGCCCGTGCCTGCTGAGGAGCCCTCTGTTGCAGTTGTCGCTGAAGGACCGATGGCGCCTGGAGTGTCAGCGGGAACCTGCAGATAAGCACCCGAGTTGCCAGTGCCAGCGGCTGTCGCTGCAGCACCTAGAGGAATGAGAGGCGACGTTGGCGATGCTGGATTACTACCATCCCGCTGCCTTTTTCCCTGGGCGAGCAACTCTACAAGAGATGGCCGCGCCCGGAGCCGAGGACCCAACCCGACTTGCATGCACTTTGCTTCTTTATGTGGTTGGCCAATCTGGTTTTTCGCTTCTCCTGCGCGTGATTGTTGAGTTGTCAGATCCGGTTTATAGCGAAGGGTCGCGGCGCGATGTGACTTCTATGATGTTACTCTGTACTACACTCGATGATGGGTGTTTTTCAGGGAACCGATTGATTACCTTATTACGCTAAATTCGAGCCAGTAACTTGCCAAGCGAGAGTCCGTACCTCAGGTTGTGATTCAAGGTTGGCCTTGCGGAAGGTGCACTGCCACGACTACTCCCCAAACACGCCAGCACTGGCCAGTTCTCCGCACCGTTGTCCCTGAGACAGAGCCTCTTGACAACCTCATCTCTACGGTTGTGGCTTGGTGACTGCCCATGCATACTCTGCTACTCTGTTGTTGTTTGGCAGTTCAACTCGCATATCGGTTCTGTCTTTCATCAAGTGGCTTCCGTCACTAAGGCGTAGGAACAAGGAAATGGAGCTGTAGTCATCGTCGAGGGGACTCGCTAAAGATCTTGCCCTGAGTTCAAGACTCGCAAACAATTCCGTCATAAACAGTTACTACTATTCAAATCTAACTACTTGGATAAACAAGCCAGGCTGTTGCTCGAAACTTTTCTTCTCATATCTGGGTCATGTCTAATAGACGACTCCAGAGAAATAGCAAATCAGCTCAACACATAAGCGCCAGGTCCTTCATTTCCTTCCCAAAGCACGAAAAACTTGCGTTCGTACATTCATTACTATCGTCATTATGCCATTATCCAACAGGTCATCATCGTCAATGACTGCCAGACTGCGACCCAGACATACGCCGATATGAGCTCCTATATCAGGGCTTCATTATCCTCGCAAGTCACGATTGACTTGCTACCACTTGCAGCCTTTTACTGCCCTTTCTTGTCATCTTGTTCATCCTCTTTTCAGGCTGCCTTCACTCGCCTGTAGTCTATGTTCGGCATTAAAAGAAATGTCCGCTGATCTGGCCGTTTTGTACAATTCGGTCCAGTAGGTGCTTTTATCTATACTGTTTTTGGTGCGATCCATACGATGGGTTCGATTATATACGATGCGAGCCTTCTTCATGTACGGGGCGTGTCAACATCGGTGTTCGATCTGCCTCGTGCTTATTCCGGCGTACTTTAGGCAGTCGTTTCCTGAAAGTCGATGAGCTGCTCCTCGTCTCGCTGCTTCTGCGGCGGGGAGAGGCTTCTCTCCCATTCGTCCATGAGATTGTTGGCCGTGCGTTTAAGATTGCCAGGTGAGAGTTTGTTCACAACGCTGGGCAGCAGCTCGCCCAATTGAGTAGGCGACAGGAGAGTCGACTCAGGGCGGGACTCAGAGCGGGCCGAGGTGTCAAGAACCAAGGACGACTTCTTTTTACTATGGACGTACATCTCTCAGTAAAGCGGAGGGTAAGGGCGTCAAAGAGTCTCTTACGTACAGTGGAGTTACATTCTCATCGTTGTTCTCGGACATTGACGCAAGTCCCTCAGTTCCACCAACAGTCGATCCGCTCCAACGAGCAGATTTAGCCGACGAAACCGAAGGCGATTCCCAGTTGGACCAGTCATTGTCATCGAAGGAGTCGAAGGTCAATGGCGTCCATGAGAAGTGCTTTGACTTCGTGGTAGATTTTGTAGCCGGCTTCGGGTTCGGTCGTTCTTGTAGGGGCCTGGCCGGCTTGCTGGGGGTATCAATTGGCGAATCGAAGGCTGAGTTCAATGGCACTCTGGGACGCGAGGAATTGGGAGCCTTGATCGTCTCCTGCTCACCGAATGACCTTTCCCTCCTTCCGTGAGGTTCGGTTGAACCTGGACGACCTGGAACGCCGTGAATGGGCTCGTCGCCGACAGTAGCCTGTCGGATATCCTCCATGAAGCTCCAGAGACCTACTCTGAAGTCTTGGGCTATCTGCTTCACTCCAGGTGTAGCAGTGTTGTAAGTGCGCGGCTGCCAGGAGGCCCTCTTTGGCAGTGCGGTGTACGTCGGAGTCATGACCGGTGAGCGAAGCTCCATTGACTTGATGCTGGAAGTGTCATCATGCAGCGCGAAGCCTTCCGGTTTCGTCGGTGACAGAAGAGATAGAGTCCGCGTGTGCCCGCCACGGAGGACTCTTCGCCGGTATTCCCGTGGGCCAGTCTGTCCTTGCAAATCTCTCAGGAGTGCCTTTCTCCTGTCCAACTCAACACTGCGTCTACATGCTGCCTCGTCGTCATCCAGCAGTGAGGGTTCAAACTGAGATGCCAGAGGGCGCTGTGGCAGATCCCGCTTCCTCCGAGCTGATTGGGAGGTCCATTCGTGCTTCAGTCTGGCAAGTTCGGCTTCGGCACGAGCCAGTTCCTCGCGAATTTCCAACACTCGTCGTTCTTGCGCTGCTATCGCAATGATGAAGCCATTGGGGTCGGAAGGGGAAGTGACAGCCGATGTCTCGGCGGGAGTGGGAGGGTAGGACGTCGTTGTGACCGAAGCTGGGCGGGAAGGGTCACTAGTTGGAGGAGCAATGGGCAGGGTCAGCGACAGGCGGTTGGTGTTTCGCGACGCATTAGAAGCCGAACGCGCAGCACGCGTGAGACGTTCCTGGGTCGAAGGGGTTGGGGGAGGGGGCGTCGTGGCCTCAGGGATTTCCATCTCTCCGACAAGAGTCTCGACGTGCAATTCCGAGGGCTTGAAATGGGTAGGTCTCGGGGGCAGAGCGGGTTGGGGTGCAAATGCCGTCGTCGTCGTGGCCGGAGTGTCCGCCGGCGGGCGCTCGACCACTGAAGAACGACGGCGAATCTCGTGGGTGCTCTGCATCTCGGCACGAGCAAAACGGTTGCGTGACGCCTCCCGCAGTGATTGACAGCTTGCGGTGGTGTATGCCCGGCGGCGCTTCGGCAAAGAATGGGAAGGAGAAGCGTTAGTGGCTCTCCGGGTGTGCCTTTGTCTCCAGGCGGTGGAGGAGTGAGCGTGGTTCGTTCTTCTGGCGACGACAGCCTTGTAGGTGTTCAAATGTTTCTGGTGGTTATTCAAGAGAGTGCGAGAACATGTAGAGACGAAGCAGATTTGTAGTAGGAAAATGGCTGTCATGGAGAGGGCGGAAAGAGGGTCATTATTGACAGCCCGTGTTTGTTGTTGCAAAAGCAAGCGAAAAACGCCCCAGCAGATAGCAGCAGCGATTAGCAGAAACGGAGCGAGAGACGGGGTCGGGGTCTCGTCTCTTCTGGGTCTGGGTCTTGAAATCGGGGGTGTCTAGGTTCGGGAGCCAAAGTTTGGTGCGGTACCGCGTAGTCGACCTCCCCTCTGGGTCTGGTCGGGGGTGTGTTGATGAGGGTTGCAGCCACAATGGAGGCAGTGATTGGCCAGTGAGATTGGCTGAGCTGGCGTGGCGGACGAGGGTGTATCTGGGTCAGATAGGGGGTCAAGCCTGTGGGTGTGGCCGCTGTGGAATCTTTTATCTCGCCTGTTTGCCGTACCTTGGAGAATTGAATGACGGATTCGGGCACAGATTCCCAGTTGGAGAAACGACAAGGACTGAGAAAGGGGAATGAATTTTGATGTTGATGTGATGTTGATGTGAAGATTGCGACAGAGAGGAGAGGTAGAGAGTTGGGATTGCAACAAGGAGAGGGCAAAGTCGAGGCCCTAGCTATGACTCCGAGCTATCAATGCTGCTATACCTAGGTTGCTTGATGCTTGCTTGTTGACGGTATCGGTCTTGCAGTGCGAGTTTGTTTGGCCGTACTTCCTGAGGTGTTGGTACCCGTATTCGACGTGGTCGTCCTAGGGTCAAGCAGGGGTGACAAGGAGACCGATGTCAGGACCCAAAGTATGAGGTAAGGTATGAGCAAGGAAAGGTGAGGTAATGTAAGGGAGAGGCCGTGAGTTCGGATGATGGGCGAAGAAGCAATGTGGGATTGACGACAGCAAGATGAAAGTATCGACAGCGGCAGTAGCAACAGCAACGGGTGCGGGGGAGCCAATAGCGATGGGCGGGATGTGAGATAAGTAAAGGTGGGAAAGAAGGAACGAGGTTGGGCGATAGGGCAGTAGAAGAAGAAGAAGAAGATGAATCGAACTGAGATAGACCCAATTGCAAGCGACTGCGCAAGCAAGATGTAACGCAGTGTATGATGCGCAGCTAGTCAGTTGACTCTTTTTGTTGGCTTCAGCCCTGGTTGTTGGGATGGGAACCGATGTGGTCTGACCTGAGCTGTTGATGACGGAACTGTGGTGGTTTCCTGTGCGATTCGCATTGCTTTTGTCTATTACACCCATTATTTACATCCATAGACCCTGTTGTTCCTATCGGTCACCCTCTTTTTGTTTTCCCCTCATAAAAGGCACGCAAGGAAGGTACGTCCATCTCTTTTTGTCCACTTCCGATGACTTGCTTGACAGATCTCACTCGCACATGTTGCCATTGTTTTGGCGTCCGCCTCGTCCGATCAACAAGACGAAACAAAACCATCGTCCACGGAAACCAGTGGACCTGGTCATGTGGTGGTAGCATCGCCGATCCACTAAGAAGGACGTTATTCAGGGGCTTGCAGCAGCGTGCAGCACCATTGCGTGCGAGCCTGTAGAAAGCTGCAGAAGCCGCAGCAAGGAGTCAGGGACAACCAGGAACAATCAGGAACCGATGGGCGCCCCAGCAACAGGCGTGAGATGGGCGCCGGCTTTGACGGTGGTGCCGGACGGGAAAGCCTTTGGGAAAAAATGCCCCGAGGCACTTGGCTGACAGTTGCTAGCACTCATTAGCATATCCTTTTTCCTTAGTTGCGCCGACTAGCACCGCCCCGTGCCTACATAGTCGATTATAGGAGACCCAGGCCACCGAATCCAGGTTCTGCCAGGGGTCTGCAGGAAAGAGCTGGGATGAACCGTGACTTGTGTGGAGAGCCCCCAATTGACAATTTCCCTGAAATTAGTGACCAATCACAACTGCAGTTTGTTTCCCCAAATCTCATACGGTCTCCACGTGATTGCCTGTCATGGCCGCGACTCCCTTCCCTTTCCTACCATGAAGGATGCTCCTTCTGCTGTTTTGAGTTCCAGAACCTCCGTGGTCGTTATTGTGGTTTTGGCGGATGCACCTCATTTGTGCGTGCATTAATCTGATGGAGATGTGATGCACATCGTATTATTCATAGACAGCAACCTCACAACCAAACTCAGGCCGGATGGGTGGGTTTTCTTGTTTTTTTTTTTTTTTGCTCTCTCCCATTGTTCTGCCGATTTTCTTAATTAGGACACCCAGCGCGTTCCCCCCCCCCGACGCGTCACGCGACTTTCCTTGTTCGACCATCTGCATGAAGCTCTCACAAGGCACAGCAGATCTGACCTAAGCTGGAAGCGGTCACCTGAAGCAGCAATTATCGTCAATCACCTTAGGCATCTCAAATCCGGCTGCGTATCATTTGACATAGGTTGCGTTGGTGCCTATTAAGCAATGTGATGGTGTGCTGGTCTTCACAACACCATTAAATGGAGCTCATGCTCTTCATAGGCTTCTCTCAAATCGCGGCGAACGGGTTTCATTAACATCATGCTCAAGCTTCCAAAGCCGTCACGATGCCATTTCCTTTTGTACTCGTTTGCGACCTTCTAGAGCAAGCTCATAGACAATGCAAATCTGGCAGAAAGAACCTCAAACAACTAGTGTCCGATTGGTTCGCGCGACATCGCCGAAGCATCGACAACCCAACAACTGATGCATCCGCTTTACTCTCTATCCTCCTCCCAGACAGGCGTACCGATCGTGTATATGGCTTACAAGCCATAAGACTGTCAAACATTGTGGGCAGAGCTCTCGGTGTCAGCAGGACAAAGAGGCAAGACGAGCTGCGGCGCTTTGAGAAGCCTGGCTTGAGTTTAGATCTGGCCGACTGCATTGAAAATATCCTCAGAGAGACAGTAAGCGACCCGTTATTTTGTTCGCTACGTGGAGATTCGCTCATCAGCCCTATACGAGATCTCATGGTGTGAGAATCTGCCCATACTGACACCACCGTAGCCAAACCCGTTTTTCTCCGAACAGGGTGCCGTCACTGTCGAGGAGATCGATACTGTTCTAAACAGCCTCGCAGCAAGCTGCAAATTTAGCTCTCCTGCAATTCAAGCGTCACAGCCTCGTCCAGGGAGTAGCGAACGGGAAGAACTCGTTGCCAATTTGTACAAATGCCTACAAGCCAGAGAGGCCAAGTGGCTTACCCGTCTAATCCTCAAAAACTACCAACCAATAATGTTTGATCCAGGACACGTCTATTACTGCTATGATCCGATGCTTCCCAACATCTTGAGAGTTCAAGAGGAGTTCTCTGTGGCGTTGTCTCTGGTGCAGAAGTTGAGAAGCGATTCCTCGTTTCGCATTGGAGGTGACTTACTGAAGCATTTAACCCCTGTTCTGGGTGTGAAGGTTGGTAGGCAACCATGGCTTAAAGGACGCAGCATCAAGCACTGCATGAATATTGGCCATGGCTGGATGAGCTGCGAGAAGAAGATTGACGGTGAATACTGCCAAGTCCACGTAGACTTAAGCAAGGGACGCAACTGCATCCAGATCTTCTCTAAAAGTGGCAAGGACAGTACATTGGATCGCATAGCCCTGCATGGGTAAATCTTAGCCTCCCGACCATAACTGCACGAGCTAACTATGACTCAGAGCAATCTGCGACTCACTAGACATTGGAAAGACTACCTGTAAGTTGTCGAGGGGATGCATTTTGGAGGGTGAGCTGGTCGTCTACAGTGATAAGGTAAATCCCCTCAAATCATCTATACGCTAGGCTTCTGACATCCTGCAGGATAAGAAGATCCTCCCTTTTCATAAGATACGCAAATACGTATCAAGATCGGGTAGATATCTACATACCGAAGAGGACTCACAGTGCGGAATCCAATTCCAAATAATTTCTTATAAGCTAATGCGGATAGGCGACATCATTATGAGCATCTAATGATTGTTTACTTTGATGCTCTTCTGATTGACGATGAGTCGCTGCTTGGTGCCTCACACAGTGAGCGTTTCAAACGTCTCACTGATCTGATACATTGTCGAGAGGGACATGCCGAGTTGGTAGAACGTCAAGTTATCCGCCTCGACCATCCATTGGCAGCATCTCACCTAAGAAAGGCCTTTGCCAAATCCATAACAGCACGAGATGAAGGGTTGGTCTTGAAGCCGGACGACCCATACTTCAATTTTTGCAAGGACCGTCGGTCCTTTTCTAGTTGCCCTATCAAGTTAAAAAAGGAGTATATTGGCAGCTTTGGGGACGTGGGCGACTTTGCTGTTGTAGCAGCTCGTTACGATGCAGACAAAGCAAAATGCTATCCTATCCCAAATCTTCAATGGACACACTTCTACCTTGGCTGTCTCGACAACAAGGAAGACGTTGAGAGATACCAGGCACGGCCTGAATTCACAGTGGTTCACCAGGTGGAGCTCAACGAGACCCTCCTCAAGACTGTTATCACCTACGGCAGGCCCATGCCGGTGTCATTTGAGGACAACACCACTCTCATACTCCGCATCAAACCGGGCATCGCTCAACACGGGATGCCAAGCGTAGTTTTCACCGAGCCTATGGTGTTTGACGTCCGCTGTTTCTCGTTTGATAAGGAGGGAAACACCGGCTTCTGGCAACCAAGGTTTCCTCAGATATCAAAAGTTCATTTTGACAGGTCCTTCATTGACACCATCTCCTTTGCCGAATTGCAGCAGATAGCAGAGGATGCAACAAAAACGCCTGCTATGGAAGACAGTCAAGAATTGCTCGACTGGATCGCCGCGTTAGAAGGTGCAGACCCACGTGGTATTCCCGTAGATGCTATCAGCCAATCGACGACCACTTCTCTCCTGACACCATCTCGCACGTCTTCTGTCAGACCATCGACCTCGCCAGCTCCGATGTTCTTTGAAAGCCCAAGCTTGGCGCGTCGATCCCTCCCGGCCTTGCTCGAGGTCTCAGAGACTCCAGCTGTTCCCACGCCAACTGCGCTGGCCCTTAAGGGTACAACCACCAAGCCTTTGGAGAAGCTTGTTAACGAGACAACAACCGAGGTGCTCAACACCAGTAAGCGAGCCCAAGGAAGCACCAACCCATCCTCACGCGAAATGAAGAGACTGAGAGTTTTATCAGAGTCTGGCATGGACAACCAAGACCCACCTAGTTCGCAAGCCCGGCAGCCGTTGAGAGAAAGGAGCGTCAACCAGGACAGTTCGTCTCCCCATGCCTCCCAGCAGTCGGTATTGGGAGGTCACGGGGAAACAGCTCCAGCATTGCCTCTGCAGACGCAGACCAAAACGGTACTCCCGCCTTCCAGTGACGCCCAACTACGACATGTTCCGGCTATTTCAAAGCCGAACGATAGACACACCAAAATGACGCAACTGCGGCAGCCATCTCTAACCAACCAAAAGTGCGAAAACGCAGGCGACAACTGTCTCTTAGCAAATCGGATTGCTCTACTGGCCCCATGCATCGCCAACCAGTCCTGGGTCACCGAAAACCTCCTCGCTTCTCACGGAATTCGTGAGTGGACAGCGGAGCTACAGGTATGGATCAACAGGACACCTCCGCCGACCCCATCTCAGTCGAACAAGAAGCGCGTTCGGAAGATTTGCTTCGTCGAGCATAATCGCAAAGAGGCTACCCGAGCTTTCATGAAACAAATCCTTGATAACCCACACTATCTGCCTAGTGGCAAGCGTGAATGGATCGAGGTGTACGACTGGCGTCTTTTGGAAGATATAAGTTCTTTAGAGAAGTTGCAAAAGGGCTCTCGGCCGTTGGCAGAGCACCCGAACCCGAAGCGCAAATGGTTTGTCGGGCTAGTTTGATACTCCTTTTTCTTTTTGTTTTCCAGCATAGCACAGGAGTTTTGTATGAGTACATGGATACACACAGTATATATCATGAATGAACGAGGTATCTGATGAGGTACCACGAGTTTTATACCAAGCTCTAGCTTGTCTATGCCTTATCTTCTTCCTTGTACAAATCCTTATAGCTCTCCTTCAACCTCATGTGAAGATGTTCGTCCGCAGTGAGCACCTTTCTCTCCGCATACGGATTCGCATGAGGTGTGCCCTCTGGCGCGACAAAGTTCTTCACCCTCTCGCTCGGCACGGGGTCTAGCGCAACGGATCCGACGGGATGGCAGAAGAAGGCCATGGAGTACCTCGGCCCCGTGTCAGTCTCGCCAGGGGCTCCCTCACCGCCAAAAACAACACGGTGCACGGTGCTGCGGAAGAGACCGTTAGTCCAGTACGAAAGCAAGTCGCCGATGTTGATGAGGATGGGCGGGAGGGCGTCGTTTTCGGTGCCGGGGGGCGTGACGGGGACGGGTGCCCACGCGTTCTCGCGGGTAAGAATTTCCAGCCCGGCTTGGCCGCGTAGGCGGAAGAGGAGGGTCAGAGAGCCGTAATCGGAGTGGGCGCCGGCGCGGACGTCATCTGGGTTGGAGGCGGTGGCAGACGAGGGCGGGTAATAGAGCATGCGAAGGATGGTGCCTGATTCGCCCTTCTCACGGAGGTGGGCAGAGGAGAAGAAGGTTGGAGGGTCGACCTGGCTTCTGGTAAGATCTAATGGGTTAGAGATCATGAGAGAGGTGAGGCTTACTTCAAGGCCGATGCCGAGGAGGTTCAAGAGTTCCAAGCAGAGTGCATGGCACTGGTCTCTGAAAGAGTTGAGAAAGGGCTCATCGGACTGGATGGTCGGGGGAAGTGGTTGTTGGGCTTTGCCATCCTTGAACTCGCCAAAGTTGAAGGCCCTTTGGCATTGTTAGTCTCTCCCCCAATTTTCTGGTAGGAGCTTTACATGATCGGGATGGATGCTTACTCCTTGTAGTCTCCGACCTGTTCTTTAGTTAGCATGGTCTCGTCCAAGTTTGGCTGGGGATGTGATTGACTCACTTTCTGATTTTTAGGATCCAACGTCTCAGAATGCATGCCTGACCAACCACGGTTGTTCTGCTGAATAGTGCAGGCAGCCTTCTCCTCTACGGGAGCCTTGAAGAGCTTCTTCGACTGTAGTCATAGATTTAGTTGGATGACTCTGACTCTTATAGGAGGCTTTATCGTTACCAGGTCAAAGGCGGCATCAATATCACCAAGGTTGATGAACTTGCCCGTGTTACGGATGTAAATGAAGCCATGATCGACAGCGGCATCTACCAGCTTCCGTGCGATGACAGTCTTGTCGACGCTGGGCTCGTCGATGTCGATAATTGGGATGTTCGCTTTGGGCGCCATAGCTGCTGTTCTTCTTGCTTGGCTCGGGTTCACAGGTTGATAATGAGAAAGATTAGTCGAGTCTACTTAAAGCACTGAGCAGCGACATAGAGGGGCGTGGTTGACCCGAACTCGCGCGAAGTGGGATGCGATAAGCGATAAGAGTGGGATGATGGAGGGGCGGATAGGACCGCTCATGACGGGGCAGCAACTTGGGTAATATTCATTACGCAGCTTTTATAGCAACTAGGGAAACGGATCTCATTAGAGACAGTAAATGAATTTGTGTGATCCAAGCGATACTTCCAGGTCGAGTGCTTCTTGTCCGGACGTCTATGAAATCCCCCAACGGAAGATATTGAATGTGCGGGGGTTGATCTAAAATTGAATATTTAGCTAAGGAGGTTTCTAATGAGCGATTACTTTGTCAATGTCTTCCAATCCGTCGTCCGATTGGTTGAACTAAAAACCAAACTTGAGCGGCCGATGTGCTATAAGTAGGAAAAGCCTGAGATGATGGTAAACGAATTGTGATTTCAGCTTTATCAATCAAAGCATTGGAGATTTCTGTAGTTTGCAAGAGGATTTCAACACAGGCGACAGAATTGGCTGGCACATGTCGAATAAATTAGGGCCACAATCAAATGGCAGGCTGCTAGGATACTGCAGGTTAGTAGAACAGAGCTTCAACTATGAGCAAACGACCTCCGAAGCCAGGGTTGGGCTGGCAGGCTAGGAAGGGCGCAATGAACAAGTTAATGACCAATTATGATGCGCTTACGCCGGCTCCAGTGACTATTTATGGTCAACAGTCGCAGTAGACGATGACCAGCAGGAATCTGAAGCGGCTCAATGAAACACACCACCATCTGTGTCCTCACATCCAAGGATATCTTTAAGGAAGTCGGACAGAATCAAGCAGAATTTCGCTTAATGTATCCGTAATGAAGAAAGGCTATTTAGCTGTGGATTTGTAGAGAACCTAGAAGATGGTATGGGGTTCTTTTGATATTGCCGTCGTTCTTGTCAAAGTCTCAATTGTTAATACCTTCTCATGAACAGCGCTTGCTTTGTCTCGTGGAGACGAGAGCCCCTGGGTCTAAATGCTACCGTATCTAGGAAGCAAGGGTCGGTCGAAGCAGTGTGCGTGCTTTTGATACTCCTGCATCCCACGGGCCACATCCCTGACTCCGGAGTCGCGTGAATGTATCCGTAAAGAGCGGGGGGATCGGGAGAGGCGGGGCGGGAGCTGCTGCAAGGTCAATTTCTTTGAGCGAAGCTTCCAGTGGCTCAGCCGTCAGTGGGCTGTAACATCAAGTGGCTCCTGCTTTATGGGTGAATGGAACTAGAAATGTGTTCCTGGACGCGTTGTTGTCTTGATGCAGGAGATGAGCTGTTGTGGGTTCTTGTAACTCCGGTACCTCCCGAGAGGTGTCTTCCAAATGTTGTTGTAGTTCTTTTCTACGTAGAGCAGAAAAAAGAAACAAGAAAGCTAGAGAGAGACAATTGTTGCCTGTTTCCTCAGTCCGCCATTTCCCTCTGGAACCTGCCCTTGTCTTCAGCAAGTGCCCAGGAGCCGTGAGACGTCCGGTGAAGCAACAGCTGTCAACTGTGGGAGACTGCAAGCCACAGAACACCGCCACAACAGCTGTAACTCTAGGCAGGCGCTAACCCTACTACTTTCCTAGCGCCCCGAAACACACGGGTTGCCAACTTGCTCCCCCTGTACAGCGGTACGGTACCTCGCACCTACGTTCCTGAACCCCCAAACTTTCCCAATTTACCTCCCCTCGCCAGCGTCCTTTTTAAAGCTCCCCTCTTCTTTGAGACACGCTTGTCAGTGTCATTGGCCTATCGGTGGCCATCTTTTTTTCATGACAAGCTCAGTCATTCCTTTAGAAGTCATTTGAACTTCTCTCCGACCGCGCCCGACCACTTCTGCTCCCCTGAGTGGTCTCGCGACCCAAGCTCCACCCAACTCTCTTCCCCCCCAAACGGCTCGTTGTCAACTCGAGCTTGACGAGCCTCCTCGTGGTCGCGCAAGGTCCGACAAGATGCCTTGTGAGTCCATCCTCTGCTTCCATGCTCCACGAAATTCTTCCTCTCGATGCGCTCGCTCTTTGCTACATCATATGTCCTGTCCGGAGCCTCGCCCTGCCGTCACATGCCTCCAAGGCTACCTGCGTCATACCCGCTTCGTCCCCGTTTCTAGTGAACGTCCTACACGAACCATAGCTCGACAGGATGGGAATAAGCTTCCTATCTTGCCAAATTTCGGCCTCGGACTTCTTTAATCTTACTTATCGAGCTGCTCACTCTTGTCACATCGCACCACGCTACACCTGGCCTCAACCGATGACAACATCCGGACACTCCCGCTCTCCTACTTGATCTTGCAACTTGGCATCACGGCCCGTAACACAGCTTCCAATACGAACATTGCTAACTTAGCCCAACAGGCCTTGTAGAGGACGCATGGATTAACGGCCAGGCAGCGTAAGCCGATCCTCTCCCCCCGACTCGAGACCCTGACAGCTAAAATCGCGATACAGGAGCCACGATGTCTCCGAGCTCGAGGACTGCGCGATAGCCATTGATGCGACGTACTACCTCCAGCTCTTCCTCGACACTCCCCCTTTCCATGAACCACTCCTGCCTGCACTGGGTGGCATGACCGGTATTGAGTACCACCTCCGAGCTGATATTGAGCAATGGAAGGCACACAAAATTGTCCCCTTCTTCATCTTCGACGGCCAGTCTGTGACTGGTCAGGAGGAGGTTGCTGTGCAGCGAGGCAAGCTCGCCAACCAGAAGACAAATGAAGCTTGGAAGTTATACTTCAACAGTGAAGCGCAGAAGGCCGTTGATGCTTTTGGTGCGAACAGCGGTACGGACTATCGATAACGCATGGGACGGGCTTTGCACTGACGAGAGAAGCTGCAGGCGCCTTCCGCATCCAAAACCTGTACCCCTTGCTCAAGTCGATTCTGAAGGACAACGATCTCCACTTCCTTGTACCCCCATACAATGCCTCTGCCCAGGTAAGTATATGACGGTGTAGAGATTCTTGGAGAGCCGCGCTGAAGAAATGACAGCTCGCATACTTTGACATGATCGACTCTGACCAATGCGCTGCCGTGATGGGCTCACAAGAGTTGCTTCTTTATCCTATCAAAGATACCTTGATCCGTACAATAGACTGGGAAGCGAAAAGTGTCACGTCACTTTCCAAGAAGAACCTGCTTCGGTCACTCAATATCAGCGAAAGTATGCTAAACGACGCTCTGTTGATGACAGGAACCTCCTTCTTATCCCCGTTCCCTCCACTTCAGGATGTATCACTCAACCCGCGCCAGCCGTTCACTATCAACGACGCCGTAAACCTTCTTAGAGCGTCTGAGAAGTCTGTCCAATCCGCTTGCAGCTCGTATGGCGACATCCTTAAGTCCAAGGACCCCAATTGGTTGGACAAGTATAGGCAAGCCAGAATGGCCATCAACCACTTCATCTACATCTCAGAAGAGGGCGAGGTCAAGGTCAACGATTATGAGCACATTACGAGCGACAATCACGAGTACCTTGGCCTTCAGCTACCTGGGGAGCTGTTCCACTACCTCAACACCGGGTTGATTGGTGCTCGTGTTCTCGACTATATAACACATAGCCGAATCGTTGTGACGCCGACTCTAGATGGCGTTGCCTCGGAACAGTATAAGAAGTTGATCACGAACCAGCTTGTACCCCTCAAAGAGCAAAGCATCGCCCTTCTCATTCCTAGGCTGCATCGTGGCCTCCAGCACAACCCCATTTTTGTCAAGGTCTGGTTCGATGACAGCTTTTCTTACAAGATCAACAAGTCACTCCAACCATCTCCCTCTCAACGTGCTGCCACCTGGGATGTGAAGGAAAGTTCTTTCAAGACTGTTGACAACATCGACGACCCACCCGGTTCCATCGCCTTCGAATTTTCGGCACTGCTGTTCCCCGATTTCGTCAAGGCGACTTTTCCGAAGGACAAGAAGCGCATCAATGGCATTGACTCGGTTCAGAACATCGCGGCTGTATCTATTTGGCGATTCCTTCATCTTCGCGGTTACGTCGACGATTCGCATACGCTCACTAACTGGGGCAATGCTGTCGCCAGCGCAATTTGGGCTATGAAGGATTTCCTCAAGGATACTCAGCTTCCTGAAGGCCTCAACATCTTTGAGGCTATCCTGACTGCATTTGAGCTCATTAGGTTTGATGTGCTCAATTCACGGCACAGACATGAGGAGCTTAATGGCGCGCCTATTGCTGGCAGTGACGATGATAAGGCTAGCATTATCCTCATCAGTCGATGTGCTTCGCTCCTTAAACTTCGACATGAATCCAACGGGTACACTGGCCCGCTCAACAAGAACCTTCTCTTGTTCCGATCTTTGTCGACCGCGGTTCGTGAAGCCGACCGCGATCTTATTGAGGCGATTGTGGCGTCCATGTTCCTATACGCCCAGTCTAAGAGAGACAGAGACGACTACTTGGAGATCAACACCACGTGAGTAGATTTCATTCTTGCGCTTGACGTCATTTATTGACATGCCCTAGGTTGCCTTTCCTCCATAGTCCAGACATTGCTCTGGGCATCGCTGTGAAGACGCTCATGGATGAGCTCCCTGCGGGCGAGAGCAAGGAAAAGCGCCAAACCAGAATTGACGACTTCCCCGGGAAGTTCTTCCCGTACGCTACCAACTTCAAGGATGATGTACAACTGGCATTTGCCTTCTTCGACGCGATTCATAAGGGCGTTCAGACCTTGAACAAGGAGGTCTCGACGGCCGACAAAGCCGTGTGGTCGACGGCGAGCAAGTACTTAGATCAGAGGCGGTTCTAGGACAGAAATTTTCTGGCCCTGTAGCGCGGCGTTGGAGAATCAAAAAGCAGAAGGGGTTCAGGACGGTATGAGTCATGCCGGGCTGCCGCTGTGCAAAAGCAGCGTGTCTCTTAAGGGCAGGATATGAAGTAGTTGGTCATTCATAGCCCCCAGACGACTACAGCCCCGGGTATTACTCGGACCTAAGTCTAGCGAAGATGAAGTTTGCGTTACAAGTTACATAAAGCCGTAGGTTAACTGTTCTGTATCAATGAATAGAAACAGGTTTGGCCTATAATGACCGTGTTGAGGTAGGCGTATTGTTGCCGTCAGTGAGCCATGTTTGCCATGAGATTCTTGGCGACGTAACACTGAAATCTGAGGTGTTCCAATCAAAGTGTCATTGGGCACGCCAAATCTCGTGTTACTCTCCGGTCGAGGTTTCGGCCGCAGCGTTGGCCAAAATCAGCCAAATTTCATTTCAAACAGTTCCTCAGGAGGTGCCTACCTAGCGTCTTATACCGCTACAAGAAACGATACTGTTTAGCGGATGTTGGATGAGAAGTATCTTGCATCTAGTTTTGGCTATATGCAGATCAATTACCTAGGGCAAAAGCTTTGCTTCAAATGGCAGGTCGTGATCGTAAGCCAAGTCTATTCGCCCTTCCCCCTTTTAAAACGCCGGCTATCACAAAATGCCATCTCAGGTCTACCAATGATGTCCCCAACGCCATTTCCGTGCTGATGGTATCTCCCACTTCATGCCCATTATACCCCTGGTTGCTCCTCCCTTCCTGGTCACATCCTCCCAATCTGCTCAAAAATAAATGTGAACAGGCCTACTTAGGATATCAATCGCCGTTTAATCGGCTGAGACAGTGGCGTGCCATCGACCGATGACTCTTCCTTTTCCAGATCCTTTTGGCCCATGCGGCGGATCTTCTCGAGCAAGTGGCTGTAGCAGAGCAAGAATAGTTAGAAAAGCTCATCTTCAAGTGATGGAAGAAATTCAACGGTGGGTTTAATCCAGTATGCCTAGCAAAACACCATCCTCGCTCATTGACTCTGTGAGTGCAACAGAACGACAAAGATGCGTTTCACTCAGTTGTAGATCCACTTGGACGAGACTCCCAAAATGGTGAAAGCTCGGGATGGTCATTAGAATGGCAGATATATCTGAAATAAGAAGATGCAAACGGGGTGTCATACTCAATGGGAAGGTGGTTCTTGACCCCCTCAGTCACTGCCAAGTCAATGCGTGTGTCCCGGCTCTCGTCATCCTCATAATGTGCTTCCCGAATGTGTTCTTGGATCCTTTCGCGGCCTTCCTGTTGATCTGCATTGCGTACAACGAAACCGCAGTCGTCTTCGTCGCATACCCAAGTACCGTTAGGCCCTTTCGGTTCAGTCGTAGGGACATTCTCAGCACGAATAACTAGCTTCAGCGCAGCTGGAGACTCAGCGGTATCAGGCTCGGAATCATCATCGTCATCGCCGGAACTACTAGCGTCGTCCATAGCCTGATCTTCCTCCGAATCGTATATGTGTGATATCTTGGCTGTCTTAAATCCCCGAGAAGCGGTGGTGGGGGTGTCATCGGTAGGGTCAAGTCGTCGCTTGCTTCCTTTGCTCCCAACTAGGCGAAGAGCCGACATCTTACCCGCTGGGCGTCCAACGCGTTTTGGTGGTGGTGTCTCCAGTGCGATCACTTTGCTAGATGCGCTTGGCTCGTTCTTCATAGTCTTGGCCTTCCTACGCACGAGACTGGCCGAGATTTGGTCGACGGTAACATGTTCAAGTTTGGATCGAGGGCCGCTGGCAGTCTCTTCCAGTGTTTTCCAGAACCCAGACTCACCCCACGCATTCTTATCTAAGCGCTCCAAAAGTTCCTTGGCGTAGTACTTCAAGATCTCACCCGAACCCGGATAGTGTCTGATGGTGCACTTGTAGTATAATTTTGACGAAACCTTGGAAAATGTAGTCTTTGTGATAGGTTCCAGTTCTGGTCGGAGCTCTTCGAGCCCTTCCAAGATCATATCAACATGTGAGCGTTGACCGGCAACATGACCATTTTCGGGCTCTAAAGGTGGCATTTGAGGGACGACGTCCACCTCCATTGCTTCGGCAGTTGATATTTGATTTACGGCAGGGACTTCAGGGGGCGGGCTTCGCGATTGAGTTTTGGTCTTGGCCCTGGACCTCGACCTGATGCTGCGTTGAGAGTTAGAGGTTGCAAAGTCATTGGCGTCGACCTCGTTGCTGGCAAGGTTGGTATCCTGGGAAGGATTTCGCTGTTTTCGCTTTGATAGACTCTTCTGGGCAGGGGGCTCATCAGTTGCGCTAGGCGAGTCGATAACTTCGGTCTCTCGAGGAAGTTCATCTCTGCTAGCTGCTCCTGCCGACTTCTTCTTCCTGGATTCCAAAACATTTGCGTGAATGTCCTGCCATGGTGAGATAAAGCCAACAGTAGTTAGAGGCAGTAATTGCTTACAGGATGGCGTTCAACAAGCCATTGAAAAAAAGATGTAGGCGGCCAGTCGAAGGCATTGCTATCCTCATAAAAATGAGAGATGAGGAATGGCGCATGATCATCACAGCGGGCGACGACCTCATCGTACGTTGCGCCATCACCCATAGCGACAGCGTACTAGAACTAATCAGCATATACTAGTGGGCTAAACACCGCGGTCAAATTTCACCTTGAAGAGAACTTTCTCTATGCCCAAGTGTTCCGAAGAAGCGGCCTTCCTTCCCTTTTTCTTGGCGCTTTTCTTTGCCGGCTTGCCTCTCTGAGCCGCATGCTCCTCCAGCAGTGTCAAGACGGTGTAGTAGATTGAAACACCTTCAATCATTCGATCATATATAGGTTTATATGCTGCTGATGGTGGTCGAATTTCGTACCAACCAGCCTGGCCACCAGCCCAAGCGCCGTAGGTAACGAATCCTTCATGCTCACTGCTACCGATAGCATATCTGATGCATTGCTTCGTTTCGATCAGGGCTGTTTTGGTAGTGGGCTTTTTGGCTTCAGGAAATTAGCCAGCGAGCTTAGAGACGATCAAACGTTTCAATCATGCGACTGACCTCTTGATTTCTGTTCTTCACTAATTACCACCCGGCCGCGAATAGTGAACGGGCCTTTGGTCCTCACGGTGAATAGCTCCACGGGACGTCCTGCCTTGTCATAAACGGTGGCGTCTTCTAGAACGAAGGTTTGTAGCATGGCATCCTCATCTTCCAGCGCCTGATCGAATCTCTTAAGCACAGCCAGCTCATCGGTGTAGACATGAGCTTCAGGGTCTAGAGTTGCGGTTGTGGAGTCGGACGTCCTCCTACGTCGTCCGACCATTGTGGCGATTAAGTGGATGGATCGGCTGGCGTAGCAAACATTGGCGACTTAGAGGCAGCGTCGTGTAGTTCTCAAGAAAGGGCGATCGTTAAAGTTGTTGGAAAGGCAGGTTGTTGCGGGGCGGCAAGATGCACCGGCGTGGGTGTGAAGAGCAGGTACGGAGCGCAGACGCGATCCAAATCCATTAAAGAGACGCGGAGTTGCAGTGAGACAGTGCCTGTCCTTCAAGCGTGTTGGTAACCCATGCGGGGCACTGTACGCCACCATTGGATCCCCCACTAGTGTTGTAGTTAGAGCTGGGAAGAGACGAGGGAGACTATGATCACGCAGGGGGGTTGCTGGTTCGCGGCTCCAGTGGCAGGGGGTCCGGCACACAAGAGCCAATCGATAAGCCGATAAGGCGCGCTGGAACGTCCCTTCCAAAAAAATTTCCCAGGACTGCGTGCAGTGAACCGCAGACCGAAGCGCAAAAGCTAAAGAAGGCGCATCTCTCCCCCCACCGACTTGGACCTTTCCTCTTTTTTTTTTCCCCTTCCATATTATTGAGACTTAGACGGATGCGAGCTACGTCCCGTCTCTGGAAGATGGCGAAAGACACCGTGCTCGAAGGCGTCTTCGGTAAGCTTTGATTTCTTGTTTCCCTTCCTTCCGATCCCATGTTTTCAGTTTTTCCTGCTGCCAATGCCTCAATGCGCAAACTGGTCTTGCGTCGCTGACCATGACCTCGATCAGCCATCAACAAGCCGTACGGCATGAGCTCCGCGCAAGTAATTCGTGATGCTCAGTCGCAATTCAACCCGTCGGCAATGTTTAAGCCATTGATCGAGAGAGACCTTGCTGCGAAGATGGCAGAGCCGAAGCAAGAATGGAAGCGCCGCCGGCAAGTCAAGAAGGATACGCGCGTGAAGATGGGCCACGGTGGAACCCTCGATCCTATGGCTACCGGTGTGCTCATCTTGGGCGTTGGATCGGGAACTAAGTCCCTCGGCTCCTTTCTCGACTGCACCAAGACGTACGAGACCGTGGTAGTATTTGGCACGAGCACAGATACCTATGACCGTGTCGGTAGGATATTGAGCAGAAGACCCTACGACCATATCACAAGAGAGCAGGTTGAGAAGGCGATGGAAAGCTTCAAGGGCAAGTTTGAGCAGATCCCGCCTTTGTACTCTGCACTCAAGATGGAGGGAAAGCCTCTCTATGAGTATGCGCGAGAGGGTAAGGCTATCCCCAGAGAGATCGCCGGTCGCGAGGTTGAGGTTACGGAGCTTGAGCTTGTGGAGTGGTACGAGCCCGGTTCGCACAACTACAGATGGCCTACCGAGGAGGCCGAGACCGCTGAAAAGAACTTGGCGGAGCAGGTCTGGCGGGTAAAGAAGCAGCAAGACACCAACGGCAACAGGAAACTGTCCCCGGCTGAGGAGAAGGAGGAGGAGAAGGCCATCTCGGAGCACGAGTCCTTTAAGAAGAAGTTTGAGGAACGGCAAGACGAGCTCATCCGCGACAAGCCTCCTAAGAAGCAGCGCCCGCCCAAGAACGCGGCTCTCATGTCTGGTGCGCTTGGGCAGTTGCCGGCTGGGAAGGGTTCTAACCTCATTCCTCCCCCGCCGTCCGAGGAAGAGCCCTTCCCTTGGACTGACAAGGGCCCACCAGCTGCCAAGATCCGGATGACGGTCACCTCTGGCTTCTACGTGCGCAGCTTCTGCCACGACTTGGGTGCCAAGGTTGACTCTGCGGGTATCATGGCCGAGCTGGAGCGTTCGCGACAGGGAGACTTTGAGGTCCGTACCGAGACCTGCTTGGAATACAGCGACCTTGAAAAGGGTGAGGACGTATGGGGCCCCAAGGTGAAGGAAGCGCTGTCCTCCTGGACGGAGAAATACCCCACGGGAGCGCCTCAATCACAGCGGGAGCGGAGCAACCAGAACCAGCAGAACAACGGCCGCAATAACCACCAGAAGAAGCGCAAGTGGGAGGACAACAGGAAGAATGACAGAAATGTCAAGAAGAGGAGAAATTCAAGCTCAGATGAGGGCGACAAGCCCGCTAAGATGGCAAAGACGGAGGAAACAAGGTCTGAGCAAGTGAGGGGCTCTCCGAAGGGATCGCCTAAGGGATCGCCCAAGGGATCGCCCAAGGCAAAGACGCCCACAAAGTCACAGGAGGCCGCATGGGAGGGCATCAAAGACTGAGCCCCTAAATGCGCATAGAAGTGTGACGTCTATACACGCAGAGCACGGAGTACGATTATATCCGAACTGATTGCAACTGGGAGAGGCATGGCGTACAAGGGCATCATTTTGTAAGGACCTCCAAAAAAAGCATTTCTGGATATGTGGCAGTAGTAGCCCGCTGTCTCACATCTTTTTTGCTACCCTTTTTTTATGGGCTGGCTAGTTTGTCGGTAAACACAGAATAGACTTAGGCCACAATTATTCAATTCATTCATTTTAAATGACGTTGACAACCTATTAGCAACATTCCTTCCTATAGCTTGAGACCAATGACCTCGATGCAATTAAAAAAAAAGAAAAAAAATCCTTTCTTTTTGTCCACGTGCCTCTTTTGGTCCCATACCATTATGCTATCCAAATATGCCCTCATTACCGCCCCGGGATTCCGTAGATATCCATCATTGTTCATGTGTATCCAAGAAAAGCCGCCCAATGCTAGTCATGTCGTCGTAAGTAGTGGGCGTGTCTCGCACCACTATGCATCGTATACTCATCGCTCAGCACGACGTTGACACCTCAAAATTGTGATGAGGAGGTCGTCGACTGAGATTCCCTCTTGGGCTCCCCTACTTCTAGGCCTCCCACGGGCCGCTCGGCCTCCGCAGCCTTCACCTCTCCCAATAAAGATCTCACCCTCTCGATCCGCCCAACGGCTCCTTCCAGTCTCTCTAATCTTCGCTTCTTGTCCTTCTCCCGTTGTTCAAGTACCTCGACCCGTTCCTCCAGCTTCGCTCTCGCTCGGCGCTCCGTGGCAACCATCTCGTTTGCCTGCTCAAACAAGCTCACACTCAATTCTTCGACCTCCTGACTCGTGGTGCTTAACCTTGACTCGGCGGCCAACCTTAGATTCTGCTCGCGGTTGAGCGCCTCCAACAAGTCCTCCGTCGTAGCGGGGTCTCCCGGCGCGGGCGGCGTCGGCGAACGCAGGTTCGGTGTGCTCTTCATCCCCCTCGGACTCAGCAGCTGTGACAACCTGTTCGCGCCGCCCGACAGGAACGACGTGCGTGTAGGCGAGGGACTAGGCATTGGTGCGGGGGTTTGGGAGGCGGCGATGCGCAGGCGGGTGAGCTCGTCTTCATAGTCGGCCCAGCGGTCGACGGCAGCGGCAGCCTTTTGGTTGAGCAGGCGCACCTGAGCCTCCAGGTCGGCGATGCGGGCCTGAGCTTCGAGTAGAGAGGCAGGGGCCTCGAGGACGACGCCGCAGGACGGGCAGGAGTGCTGCTCGGAATGGTCCGTCGAGAGGGAGAGAGTTGGCGGCGGCAGCGGCGCGGCGGTCATGGTCATGGTAGCGCTCATGGCTGGTTCGGTAGGTACAAAATGCCCAGTCGTTCTATACAGGCTTGCCTGTCTACCAATTTCCCCAGGACCAGAAGTGGTAGAGAGGGAGGGGCAGATAAAATAGTAGCTGGGAGCTAGAGTGAGCGCTACGAGTCGGGCAGGCTTCCTTTGTCCGTGGTCGGGCCGCTTTGGGGCAGGTAAGGATAAAGTGAAAGCTCGCGGGCTAAAGTTTAAAAAAGATGTGACGTTTAGGTGCCAGAGGATTCGTTCGGGAGGGGATTGAGGATGCGAGGAGTGGGCGCACGACCATTAGGTATATTCGGCGGAAGTCAATAATATGCTTCCTCTTTGGGCGGGTTGCGCTTGGAGGATTCTCGGTTGCCAGCAAACAGTTTGCTGAAGTGGTGTGTTGTTGCAATGTGGCATTCAATGATTTTTCGGGTTATTGGCTTGTCTAAGACTAGGAGACATCAGGAAGGAAAAGAACAAAATTAAGGTGTTCACCACAAATTTCTCTTCTTGTCTCTGCCTGGTGTCCCGCCGCCCACATGCCTCCTCACCTTAGCCACCTGCTTTATGTGAAAGGCTTGGTGGTCCTTCCAGTAGTGGGTGTGACACATGCGACCTATTAACCGCAACCCAATGCGACGGGTATAGGCTGGACTGGGCTGCGCCTCCCTGCTTTCGTCGCAATTGGGATGCTCATTCAAACGGGCGGAGCGGCCAAGAGCGTCGGCGATTGGCGAAGCCCTCAACTTGGGTGCTAAGAATACTCCACTCCTGTTCCAGCAACCTCCTTGATCAGCCTCATCTACCGAGATGGCAGGGAGAACAACCGCCGAGTGTTGGCCGCACTTGTTGCGTGTTTTTCTTCTCGTTGCGGGCCGCAACCGTTTGGTTTAATTTGACACATTTTTATTTTTATTTTTATTCTTTTCATTCTTTTTTGGGGGTCTACTTAGGCTGGGGTTGAAGAATGTTTGCCCCTGCTGCTGGATGTATTGTATGTTATCAAAGGCCATTAAGGGGGTGGTGTTCGTCATGTATCATGATTGCGGCTGCAAAGTCTTGATTCTTCTTTCCCCATTTCCCTTTTGACGCCTGACATTCCTCTTGACAACCCACGGTCATCCCCTTGCATGAACAAGGCTCTAACATCGGACTGTCCACACTGGACACATGCTCGCCCGCTCTCCCCGACGCCGCAGGGAACCCGCCGGGCAACCTGCCGAACTCGACATGCAAACCCCTACAAATGACACTGGCCACTGTGGGTGTGGTCTGTGGTGGGCCTTTCATAATGCTTCTCATGATTTCATGCGCAGCAGCTTCAGAAAGAGAGGAGAAGCTATGCGTCGGCCCTCGGGTTCGGTTCAAGACTCTGAAACCGCCAAACTTGCTGTCATGTCGTCATTCTGGCCTATCCGTTTCGAAACGTGACGAGAGCTCTTCCTTGTCCGCTGTCAGCCTCGTCGGTGAGGCGGAGCAGAAAACTCTAATCAGCTTGCGTTGCGCGTATTGCCATGTCGGCAGCCTTCGCATCGTGGCTGGGAAAATCTGCTCCAAGTGCGAAGTCGGATGAAAAAGCTGCCCATCAGTTCGGCTTGGCCACCTTGCGCGGCTCTCCGATACCTGTCTCCGGGTCCTTGTACTCCTTCCAGCTGACCGGCACCATGTCGTTGCCGGCCTCGCTAGTAGCCATGATGACGCCTAGTTCATTGCTTGCCGTAGAGAGATAGTAGTTCGCCTGATCTCCCAAAGAAATCTAATATGCAAGGTTAGTCGGTACTTTCTGTCACTCATTCACAATATGCAACATACCACCTGCGCCCGCACCACATCGCCAGGCTTGAAGCTCTCGTAAATCTTGACCTTATCCTTCTCCGTTGCCCTCACGTCTTGGGAACGGATGACGCCCTGCCACTCCGTCTGAAGCACCGTGTCACCGACTTGCTGAATCGTCACGATGGCCTGCTTCGGCATCAGCCGCACCACGCGACACAGCACCACGTTGCCCACATCTGGAAGCACCTCACGCTTCTTGCCGCCGTTGCCCTGCGCCTGACGTGGTGTTACAGACAGTGTCGGCAGCTCATCTGCGGACGGCGCCGTGATGCGTGTGAGCCGCTTCACCGGTCCCGTCGGCGCCTTAGCTGAGGGCGTCACCGTCACTTCACCGAGGAGCGAGGCGACTACATTGCCGTTGTAGATGTGCGTGCCGGGACCGGCGGCGTAGCGGGAGGTCGGGCCTAGTGTCTTGCCCGGGACGGCAGTCTGGGGAATCTCATCCGTGGCCATCTTGAACTGTCGATGGTTGTGTATATGACGTATGTGACAGAGTGTTTGCTCTGACCGATGGCTCTACAGCTCTTATTCGTACTCGTTCCTCAAGTAAGATGAGTCGAGCTGACGAATGAAAACAAGCGAAAAAAGATGACCGACGAGATTTTCCCCTGCTCCGAATGAGGCTGTGTTGAGAGTCCGCTCCGTTCGGTAGCTTTGATGCTTGTGAAAATCCGAAAGTCCGCAATTTTTTTCAGTGAGCTGCCACGCTACCTGCGGCCAGGCGGTTCCGCGGGGGCCGTTTAGACGAAAGGTGCGCCGGAGCCCCGCTATCCGGAGTGGTCCTAGTCCACTATAAGCTTGTCAGGCCACTGGGAGGTCGAGCTTCCGGGCGGTCGCGCAAGGCAGAAATAATGTGAAAATGCAGGGTCCTGGTCGAGCTCAACCAAAAACATTGGGCGATGCGATTCCGCTACTCAACGATACTTTAATTACCGACCATCTCGTCGCGGAACACCTTAATATTCCCCCCCCCCCCCTAATCACCATCGCGCATCGCCAGTTAGGCCACAACATTCCTTGATTTTTCCTCGGATCTATTTGTGTGTTTCTAGATTTCTTAGCACTCATAATGGCGTCAATTAGCCGGCTGTTCACGCTGGCTCTGTGGATCGGTCTCCTGACCCCCATCTACATGCTCCTCGAGAAGAACCTGGAGAAGTTCTACATCTTCGACCATGAGCATCTGCACGATCTCTCGAAGCGCGCGATCGCCGCGCACGGTAACGACACTCGGTCTGTGGTCAACTACATTGTGACCGAGCTCAATGGCATCGTTCCCAAGCACGTTAACCTCGACGAGGAATGGGTCTTCAACAACGCCGGTGGTGCTATGGGTGCCATGTACATTATCCACGCCAGTAAGCTTTTCCCACACCGCTAGATTAACTACCAGGAAAATCACTGACATATTTCTTCTCTGCCAGGTATCACTGAGTACCTCATCGTCTTCGGTACCGCCATTGGAACTGAGGGTCACTCCGGCCGTCACACCGCCGACGACTACTTCAACATCCTCTACGGAACACAGCTCGCTTACGTGCCCGGCGAGTACAAGCCTGAGGTCTACCCTCAGGGCAGTGTTCACCACCTCCACCGCGGCGATGTCAAGCAGTACAAGATGGACGAGGGTTGCTTCGCGCTCGAGTACGCCCGCGGCTGGATCCCTCCCATGCTGTTCTTCGGTTTCGCGGACGGCCTGTCCAGCACGCTTGACTTCCCCACCTTGTGGACGACTACGCGCATTACCGGTCGTGAGATGATTTCCAACTTGCTGAAGGGCAAGTTCTAAGCATTGATCCTTAATGGAGGGTGTATAATTAGTTGATGGCTGCGAAAGGTGGCCCCCATGATGCGACGACGCGCCATGTTAGAGATGAGGAAGAAGCCGGGCATATGACTAGGCCGGTAGAGGCTGTTGATGCTGCTGCTGCCAGCTTAGACCTTCGACTATGAACTAGAGACTTGTCTATAACTATATTTAATAAAGCTGCACAGGCAGCAAGTCACTATTCACAACAGTAGAAACTCGTCGCTTGGCATATTTGATTGTGTACTCAACAATGATGCCGCGGGCGAGCACATACTATATCTGCGGGTGGGAGACATACGCTGTCCAATAAGGCAA